TATACCAAGATGGTTTCTCCCAAACGGTTCACATGCTATGTCTACTGCTCTTTTTTTCTTTCTACGAAATAGATTTAGATGTTCCATAATAAAAACCAAAAATTATATTCAAGGATTCTAATAGTCCAACTGAAAATTCAATAACATTTTATATAACAAGATATCCGTATATTTTAGATTTGTGGGATTACTCTTGATTTTTGTTATAAAATATTCCGGCTAAACTCAAAAAATAAAAGAAAATAGAGGACCACCAAAACTGTAGTAGTAAAAGGATCAAGTGGCGAGACCCAAAAAAAAAGGAGATCGAGTGGCGTCGTCATATACCGAACCTTTGGCGTTATACTCGGATTTTCGAGTCTTTGTTTTCTATTTGTCAACTTTCATTTGGGTCTTTTTGTTTAATGACCATTTGAGTCTTCCTTAATACTTTTTTCGACCATCTTGCTAATCTATGCATTAGTCGTTTTTAAATCTTTTGTTTCCTCCCAGCTTCACATAGAAGTTGTCTCTCTTTTTTTTTCTCACTTATTTGATTATTTTGCTATTACATTAATCCCACCAGCTATTTTGTGAGCAACGCACGACTACATGTACACACCTGACCTAACTATGTACCGGTTTGGGTTTTTAGTAACTAAATTTATATGTTAACTATGTTGTAAGTGAGGCGGTGTTTTCACGTTTGACCCGACCTGTCCGGTCCGACCATTTAATCTGTGATTCAGATATTTTTTTGTTTAAGTTTAGTGATAATTATATCCGGCAATTTTAAAATCATAAAAACCCACAATTAACCCGCAATTCGGTGAATCTGTTGAACCGCCGGATATTTTTTCAAAAAAAAAAGAAAATTTAATTTTGGAATAAACTATAAGGTTTAGACTGTTAGAATTTTTTTTAGTACTTCGTATTCACTAGTCTATCTTAGTATTTTTTTACGGTTAGCTAGATTTAAATTTTTTTATCATTTTATTATTATTGTTACACTTTATATTTTGTTAAACAATAAACATAGTAAAATTATTATGATTCTTTGTATAAAATTATATAATCTCTGTAAATATTAAATACATTAAACAAATTTTAATTAATTGATCCATAATCGAACATGATTGACCCATTGATCCGGTGATCCAAAAAGTAGTCCGGTTCACCATTCGGATCGGATTTAAAAATTTTGATGTGAAAAACATTTTAGTAATAATTTTATTCGAAAAATATACAGTATGATAAATACTAATATGATTTGTAACTACATAATTGTATAGGAGTTATGATATAATATACCACGTTAATTATATAATAACGGTGTGCACAAAAATCATATCATAATATTTCGTAAAATATATCTATTTATGGTTAAAAGTTTTTTGGAAAGTTGTCTCAATTTATATAATTTTTCGTTTGATTTTTTTTCTGTATAGATTTTTGAAATATTTTCCTCCGCGATATCATGGGGATCTGAGTCCTATTATATCTAAAATAAAAAGGAATTATGTACTAATCTAAAAAAATAAAAAGGAATTATGTACTAATCTAAAAATAAAAGTATAAAATTAGAAAAGATAAAATATATCTCAATCATTGATCATCTAATTGGCATTTTTCTTGGCAAGGATTGTTTGTGGTTTTCCTGTCGTGTCTTGCACTATGTTAAACATCAATCTAAAAAACGAAACATAAATCTTTTATAGAAATATGTGTCGTAAGCGAGTGGTGGTCACTTTTTTACAAACATGTGTCGTAACTCGTAACTCGTAAGCCCTTATACGCAGTCGTTCATAGCTCATACCATTCCAAATTTGAGCAAAAACGTATAACTAAAAGTCTAAAACCCGACGAAACTGATAATTAATATTGACTCGATTTGTTGCTTTAAAATATTAGTTTTGATTGATTATACATACCAAGTGTAAATTTTTCTTATCCTAAAGTGCTAACAAAAAAAATTTAGTCAAACAAGAAAAAGATTTACGAGGATGATTGATAAAAACTTTTACTTTTAGCTATAAAGAATTTAGTTATAGGAAATTTCGCATTAGAAATTGAGTGCAAAAAATTTGGCGGTAGATAAATTTGGCTATTAAAATCTGATTAGTAACAAAAAAAAATTGTAATACAGTGACATTTATTTATATTATTATTAAATATTTTTATAATTATAAATTATGCTAAAAATGAAATTCATGTGATAGCATAGTGACAAAAATTAAATTTTAGAAAATATATGATAAAATAAATGTAAATTTGTAGAGAGTTTTCAAGTATTTTGGGGTAAAAAAAAATAAGTTTTCTAATAAGTTTTTGATATATAAAAAAAAAGTGGATTTGAGAACTGTGAAAAGAATAAAAGTAAAAAAAAAAAAAAAAACTGATTGGTAGAAACTAAATTGTTAAGACTTTAAAATACTCCAAAGTCTTTAAAATCATGCGTCAATTACCTCTTAAATAAAATATTTTCATCCTCTGCATGTCAGCCATTCACAGCCAAGATAACCGATAAACTATTATACAAGTTGTTTTAAAGTTAAACAAAAATGTAAAAAAAAAAAGGAAGAAAATTAATATTGACTCGCTTTGTACAAGAATTATGTTTGGTATTTTCCTTGAAAATATTATTACAGTTTAGAATGAATATATAAGCGTGAAACTAATACACAAGTTGTTTGAAAGGTAACCGGAACAAGAGACAAAAATGAAAGACTTCAATTTTTTTTGTTAAAATTAATGACTTTACACAATCTGATGTCACTTACGACTTTACATTTTTCTTTTTTTTTTTTATTACATTTTATAACAATTTGCATAATTGTTTGTCGGTTCTACTGCATGTGATTCCAACTACTATTTTGGGAAGGAAACAAATTACTCTACTTTGTATAACCAATCACCCACACCTTCCTATATCTGATATTGTACATATAATAATAGTCTTTAATTAATTTATTGGTCAATTTTCATGTTAAGACTTAATAAGCTTTCACATGCTATGTCTATTGCTCCTTTTTTCTTTCTAAAAATAATTTTAGATGTTTCATAATAAAAACCAAAAACTATATTCAAGAATTCTAATAATCAAACTGAAAATTCAATCGTGTACATTTTATATAACACTATAGCCGAATAGTTTAGATTCTTAGGATTAATCGGGATTTTTGTTATAAAGTATCCCGGCTAAACACAAAAAAAAACCACTACATAGTATTCAAAGGATCGAGTGGCGTCTTCATACACCGAACCTTGGCATTACACACGGATATCCAGTCTTTTCCTATTGTCAAAATTCATTTGAGTCTTTTTTTTTTCTAACGATCTATTTAAGTCTTCGTTTATACTTTTCCACCATGTTGTTCATGTATGCATTAGTCGTTTTTAAATCTTTTGTTTTCTCTAAGCTTCACATATAAGTTGTCTCTTTTTTTTTCACTTATTTGATTATTTTGCTACTACATTAATCCCACCTGCAATTTTGCGACCAAGGCACGACTACACGTTCCTTTATTTTTCCATGTCCACACGCCTGGCCTATGTACCGGTTTGGATTCTTAGTAACTAAATTTTAACTATGTTGTGTGAGGTAAAACATCTAACGATAAAGTTATCAAATTTTCCAGAAAATATATAGTATCATAAATACTAATATGATTTGTAACTATATAATTGTACGTGTTATGATTTACCACGTTACTTATATAATAACGGTGTGCGCAAGATAATAGCATAATGAGAATAATATGTGTTTTACAATATGTGGAGTATTTAAACATTCAACGTATTTAATTATCTAATCAATCAGCATATGCAGAAGAATTATGTTCGAAATCTTATTTTTGAGATGAGAGAATATCTATAGTTGCGCGGGTACAAAATCTAGTATCTATAGTTATGGACATGGTTAAGCAAAATTGCCCATTTAGTAATTGGAAATTTTATCATTTCTGCAAAATTATGTTAATAACTAAAAACAAATGGTTAAAAGAGAAGTTAATAGGCGTTATACATTTAAATGTTTTAGAAAATATAATGATTTTATTGGTTACAATAAATCTTAGATATTTGCAGAGATTGAGCTTTTTTTCAGGGGCAAACAAAGATACGTGTTATACAGTAGCATTATCTTGAAATGGCGTATGAAACTATGAAAGAACCATGAGAATTTAGCATAATTTCACATATCAAGCCTTCATTTTATTTATTTATTTGGTCAATCATTGCTTTTGTTTATTTATAAAATCTATTAGATCTCTAAAACGCTATCAAGACAACTATAAAGTTATCAATCGAGAGCTTGTGGAAGGAAAAAATATTAAACCATGTATATTATAACTAACGATGATGCATCAACAACATTGATTATCTTGATTATCAAGTATATCATTCAAGGTTTGAACCACTTCAGATTCTTGGAGAGAAGACATTAACAAGCCTTATGGTAGTCATTTTACTTTCATTGGCGTAATCCATCTGAAAATTCTATGGTTACTTGGATGCCAAAAGTTCGTGTTAGAAACAAAGAAATGAAACATTTGGAAAGCTTGAATGATTGGGAAATTATATGTACATACACATCAGGAAACTGATCATAAACATTTAGGTTGAGTTTAGAAACAAAAACCAAAGTGGGCCTGTCAGGCCGAATCATGGCTGTGTTCTCATGTGTCATTCACGTGTAATACTTAACTTTGATGATGACATGCACCAACAACAACAAAAATGTCAAAATTTAGAAATCTCATCTTCTCATAATTTCACAATCTAAAGTTAACATGTAGGTTAGTACTTTTTAATTCATCTCTTACGTACAAGTAAATGCCGTCAAAAAAAAAAAAGTAGATATAAAAAATATTTCTCAAATGGGCAGCGACCTCATGTACCTAATCTAAATAGCATTCATTATGACTTATTGACTTACAAAATCAACAGATTTTTTTTTTCAAAATTAACCTAACTTACCAAAAAAAAACACTATATATATGTCCCTTAAAAAAAGAAGAGGAGGAGAAGACGACACTGACAAAATGGCATCTCAATCTCAGGTCAGTTTTCTCCTTTTTACTACGAAGATCAGTTCTTCTCTCTCTCATTCAATTACTGATCACAGGTTTTGGTGGAAGTGAAATCAAGTGTTAGAATCTTGACATTAAACCGACCAAAGCAGCTTAATGCTCTGTGCTTCAACATGGTATTGAATCTTTCTATTGTTGTCAAATTTCTTCCGGCCTTTGGTGCACTAGTTAGATAATTGGTTTGAATCAATCTTCTCTAGATTTCTCGGTTGCTGCAACTATTCCTTGCATATGAGAAGGACCCTAGTGTGAAACTTGTCATCCTAAAGGGTCAAGGAAGAGCCTTTTGTGCTGGTGGCGACGTTCCACCTGTTGTTAATAACATCGTACAAGGTATATCAATATATTACCCTCCCATGACCATCTTTCTTTTTCCTTTTGCTTATTTTCAGCTTTTACACACTCTTTCTCTTTTTTACGTGGACTAGGTAAATGGAGACTTGGTGCTGATTTCTTCAGAGATCAATACACGCTCAACTATGTTATGGCCACGTATAGCAAACCCCAGGTCACATTACACATACTTTTCTTTTAGGATATACTTTAAATTGTATAAGCTCATAAATTCGTTTTCAAATTATAGGTTTCAATTTTGAATGGTATAGTCATGGGAGCCGGAGCTGGTGTCTCCATCCATGGACGATTTCGCATTGCAACTGAGAACACGGTACTTATTAATTATTATTTTCTTAAACATGTCCATGTATGGATGAAAAAGATATGATATCTCTGAAATATGTCACTTTCCTATCTTTTGATTTTCTCCAAGGTTTTTGCCATGCCGGAGACAGCTCTGGGGCTCTTTCCAGATGTAGGCGCCTCCTATTTCTTGTCAAGGCTTCCTGGATTTTTTGGTAACAAAAGTCGTTTCTTTTTGCATGTCCACAAAAGTTTGAGCCTACCTCCCTCTCTCATCCTTCAAGTCTTATTGTTCAGGAGAGTATGTTGGCCTCACAGGAGCTAGGTTAGATGGCGCTGAAATGCTTGCATGTGGTCTTGCAACTCATTTTGTGCTTTCATCGGTATGAATTCCTTTTTCTTACGTCTTTAGTGTTTCCCATCATGTAATTCTTTTTCTAATTTAAGTATCAATGCTCTTAATTTTTGTTAGTAATGCTATCTCTCATAGTATCATTAATTATTGATTCTTCATTTCCTCCAACAACTTCTTTTGTTAATCATTTACTATTCATTTTTTTGTTTAAACTTAATTAATAATTTTGATATATTAGATACTAAATTTATGTCAATATACCATTTTTTTAATACTAGATACTAGGCCACCTAAACGTAGGGGTGGGCACAAGGCGAGTACTTGCTCTTTTAGGGATACTTATTACTTGGATTGCCTTGTACGAGTAATAAAAATTAGTACTTGTGCTTGGCTTGTTGAAAACGAGTACTTGTAATTTCGAGTACTTGCTAAAAAATGAGCGACTTGCTAGTTACTTGCCTTGCTTTATTACTTGCTACTTGCGAGTTACTTGCAAGTATTTACGAATTACTTGCAAGTAATTTACAAATAACACTTTCAAAATTTTTACATATTTAAATTTTACTTTACTTTTGATGTAATTTTTAAATATATTCTTAAAACTAATATAATATGAAATATATGTATATAAAATGGTAAAATAATGACGAGTAACGGGTCAAACAAGCCGAGTATTAATTTTTTTTCCACTACTTGTTGCTTGGCTTGTACTTGCAAGTATCTAAATTATACTACATGATACTTGCCTTGACAATAACGGGTACTTGTTTTTTCAAGGCGAGTACGAGGCAAGTAACGGGTTCCGTAACGAGTACTTGTGCCCAGCCCTACCTAAACGTAATAAATTTAAACTTAGTTAATAGTTTACGTTTCTTGATTTTAGTAACTCTTTGTTTTTAATATTTTAGAAAAGTTCTTTTAAGAAACGTAATAATAAGAATGACGACGTATATATCATTCTACTAAGACAAATTCATTATATCAACCTAATTAAAATAGATAATCATAATGTTTTTCTATTGTGGACGCTCTCTTTTTTTTTTTTTCTTTTAAATGTGGATTTCGGTATTTGCCCTCTCTCCTATTAGAGGAGGCACTGATACACTCCATTCCATTGATAACAACTTGACATTTGACAATATGCTAAAAAGGAGAATGCCATTGTTTTTGTTTATTTCTTTGAAACTAATGGACTATGACAGCTGGTAGTTCAAAACTCTTAGCTCCAATTTTGTCCATGGGCTTTATTTTCTCCAACTTGATGGTTTAGTGTTGGCTGCAGTTATAATTATAACTTATAAGTGTAGATAACCAAACTTGCGATCTGTAAATTTTCTTAGAGTTCCTTCATTTCCTCCAACATTTTGAAAGACTTTAATACGTCAGATCTTTTTATAGCTAGCTACTGTTTGTTAATCACTATTTGCTTCGCCAAGGTTCGTTACTTAGTAAGGTTACACCTTTTCACAGAGTTTGGATGCACTAGAAGCAGATCTTTGCAAAGTTGGTTCAAGTGATCCAAGCTTTGTCTCAACAATTATTGATGCATACACTCAGCATCAATACCTTAAACAGAAGAGTGCTTACTACAGGCAAGTGTGTATGATTTTTTCGAATATATATCTTTTGTCATGCCAACATCGCAAGCATTCTAGGCAAGTGTGTATGATTTTGTCGAATATATATCTTGTATTGGTGTCAGCTTTCAATTGCTCTTTACATGATCCATATTTAACTAGATCTTTAATGAACAATTTGTTTCTATACGCAGGTTAGATGTTATTGATAGGTGCTTCTCGAGGAGAACAGTGGAAGAAATTATTTCTGCACTTGTAAGTTTTTCATTAATATATAGGATATGTTGACTTGCGATCCTAAGTTGACTGAGTTCACTTTGGCATTGCACTCTACCATCATATATGTTGGTTAGGAGAGAGAGGCCACTCAAGAACCAGATGATTGGATCTTAACTACCATTCGAGCTTTGAAGAAGTCTTCACCATCAAGCCTTAAAATCTCTCTTCGATCGGTTAGTTCCCAAAATGTGTTACATGCAATAATTGCACAGAGCTAACTATGTGTATAAATTTCAGATAAGAGAAGGAAGGTTGCAAGGGGTGGGGCAGTGTCTTATCCGTGAGTATAGAATGGTGTGTCATGTGATGAAGGGAGATTTAAGCAAAGACTTGGTGGAGGTTCTTTCAGCTTTTCCAGTTGTATAATCGTCCTGAAATTGTTCTTGTTGTAGAACATAATTAAAATAACGTGTCTTACTTATGCAGGGGTGCAGAGCCATATTGATAGACAAAGATAGGAATCCAAAGGTTTAACAAATCTCTCAATTTAGTATTTGTTGCTATATGTCATATTGTTGATATAATGTTGTATTGTTGAAATTATAGTGGGAGCCAAAGCGACTGGACGACATGAAGGACAACATGGTAGATCAGTACTTTGAGAGAGTGGAGGAAGAGGAGCGATGGGAGGATCTCAAGCTTTCGCCAAGGAACAACTTGCGTGCTTCAAAAATTGCTTCAAAGCTGTGAAGTGGAAAAGGTGATTAGCCAGACATTAAACCAATGACCTAACCAAGGTTCTTCTTTTATTTCTTTTGTTGTAGAAAATAAGAATACACATGCTTTGTTTCCTCCTTTCAAGGAGTTTAATATCTCATGTTTCCCTTACTTTCCCTTTATGTAATTACTCTCATGTATGTAGGAACTTATGGTTCCATGTTTTGTATTGAAAATAAAAGAAAACAAAATCAAGGCTCAGATTTTTCCTACGGAACTATTGTGTTCTTGTACTTACACATGCTTTGATTGGAGGTTCCATGTAATATTAGAGCCTTCATTGTATTTTTGATTCAAACCACTTTATGGTATCCAAACCACTCATTCATCACATATTTTGATTTTGATCCGGGTCGCGATTTGTGGTATTAAGAGAAACACACATTGTGGATGCAAGATCCGGTTCCAATGATGGTGTGAATAAATTGGAATTAATCTTTCTTGATAACTCCATAGAGAAGAATTCTAGACTGAAAATAAAAGGAAACAAAGAAAAACTTGTGTATTAATGATGAACTGTATGACGAATACAAAGAAATTGTATAGTACACATGTAACTTGCTAGCTAGGATTTTTGTGTGGAAGAAGATTATTCTCCTTGATGACACTCCTCTCATTTTTATACTAGCTCGAACCTTTTGATATGTTGTATTTTTGGTGTCTTTTGTCCTATGTTTAGTAGTCATTTTGGTTCATTTGTTGTGTCAAAATCCGTCTTTTGTGCTTTTTGGTTACGTCTTGAGTCTTGTATAGGTATTAGGTACTTTTGCTAAGATCGGACGGTTTTGAGCTTGTTCGAGTCAAATACAGGCGATCAAAGCTGAAGTGAGGAGCATAGACGGTTGGACCGATCGGTCGGATAGCTGACGGATGGCATAGAATCAGTCGGATCGATTGGTCCTCTCCTAGACTGATCGGTCTAAAGACGACAAATGGCATAGACTCGGTCGGACTGATCGGTCCTCTACTAGACCGATCGGTTTGGCTTTGTGATGCGTTTTCTTTTATTTTTCAGTTTTGTAGTAAACTCATTTTTAAGAAATATATATTCTGACCGAAACATACAAAGTATAAGATTTACAAACCACTTGATATAATTATTTTTACAACTAACAAAAATAATTCATATATAATATACCAAATAAGAATCTATCTTTTTTCAACCATACTAGCAAAAGTCAATGTTAAAAGAACCATAATAGCGAAACCACCTTTCTATTTCTCGGTGGCACGCATCAATCCAACGGACAAAAAAAGGAAGATGAAAGGAAAAAAAGGAAAGATGAGTATATAAAGACATTCTATCATTTCACGACGTGATTTTTGTTTGATTGAAAAACTGCAAGTGAAAAGATGGGTCGACTATAAAATAAATAAATATTTCTAACTAAACTGAGAGAAAATAAAAACAATATGTTTAAGAAAACAAAGGAAAAATCGATCATGACGAAAGTTAGAAAGGTTAGGCACATGTAGTACTGTCAATGTTGTCATATCTTATTGATGCAATAATAGGATTTTGAAATTAAGCCAAAGCTCTCTTGTAGGACAGGTATGAGCTGACAAGTTTCAACCCCTATAAAAACGTGTAGATTGTGGAATGTGATATGATATAATTAAGTAGCAAAATTAGATTCTAGCTTTTAGAGCTTAATGAGATAGATTATAGTTCATTAAAGCTTTATTAGGTTAGGTGCAATAAAAAGAAGGAAAAATTGATTTGAAGAAATACCAAACTATGATATTCTTTTCCGTTGATATTAATCTTGAAACTATGAAAAAGAGAGTTGCACAAAGCGACAATTCTTTAAGTTACTCTATTGATGATTCACGATATATATTAATCTACTTATTAAGAAACCCTAATTACATGGATTTTTGGACTTTTATTATAGGTTTCTTATGTGTTCTTTAGCAGTTTCTTATGTAAGCTTTAAAGTTGCTAGTGGATGAGTGTGAGACACTCAGATTTTCATACTTGTGTCTTCATGATAATTATTAAAATTTTCATATATTTGTTTGCATAAAAATGAGATTTATTAATCAACCAAAAAATAAATAAAAACTTTTAAAATTTATTTTAACAAAAAAAACAAAATATTTTTCCTATAATATATATATGTCCGGGAGGATACAAAAGGTGAATGAAAACTGTAAGAAAAAAAAAAGAAGAAGAAGAAAATGGCCTCTCACTCTCAGGTCTGTTTTCTCTTCTTTTCTGCGAATCGACAACTGTCATTTCTTCACTCTCTAAATCAGTTTGGTCACAGGTTTTGGTGGAAGAGAAATCGAGTGTTAGAATCTTGACATTTAACAGACCCAAGAAGCTCAATGCTCTGTCCTTCAACATGGTATTGAATCGTTCCCTTGTTGTTTCTTACTCCTTTTCGTACGTGCCATAGTTACATATAAAGTCGGTTGAATCAATCTTCTCTAGATCTCTCGGTTGTTGCAACTATACCTTGCATATGAAGAAGACCCTAGTGTGAAACTTGTCATCCTAAAGGTAATTAATCACTATCCTTATTATCTTTTCTGTTTGCAAAAACTTTATAACTATGCAACAGGGTCAAGGAAGAGCCTTTTGTGCTGGTGGTGACATTCCACCTATTGTTCGTGATATCCTACAAGGTATTTCAATATCTTCCTTTTAGTTTTTGCTTAGTACAGCTTCTACACATTCTTTCGCTATTTTCGTGGACTAGGTAAATGGAGACGCGGTGCCGATTACTTTAATGTTGGATACACGGCCCACTATGTTTCGGCCACGTACAGAAAAGTTCAGGTCTCCGGTCTCATCATACATACTGTCCCTTTAATAATATACTCTAATACTCAAAGTGTATACTTACCTCATTAATTCTTTTTTTTATATATAATTATAGGTTTCAATTTTGAATGGTATTGTCATGGGAGCCGGAGCTGGTCTCTCTACCCATGGTCGATTTCGTATTGCAACTGAGAACACGGTATTCTTTTCTTATACATGTCCTCATGTCCATGAATGATATATATTGCTTTGAATTATATATACTCATATCTTTTGAGTTTCTCCAAGGTTTTTGCAATGCCTGAGACAGCTCTAGGGCACTTTCCAGATGTAGGGGCCTCTTACTTCTTGTCAAGGCTCCCTGGATTTTTTGGTAACACAAATCAATTTGTTTTTGCATGCCCAAAAAAGTTCTGGTTCTCTCAACCTTCCTGTCTTCTTTTCAGGAGAGTATGTTGGCCTTACAGGAGCTAGGTTAGATGGCCCTGATATGCTTGCTTGTGGTCTTGCAACTCATTTTGTGCCTTCAACGGTATGAAATTCCTTTGCTGACATCTTTAGTATCATATCCTCCATTGTAGAGGTTACGTTGATTTGAAAAGTATAAACTCATGTAACTTATATAGCAAAATATCTATATATTAATATTCCATAAACTAATACACTATGATATTTCTGGTTCAAAGTCATGCAATTGTATAATTTAACAAGATTCAATAATTTATGGATTTAGTGTGTTTTTAAAAAAATTAATTTTTCGTTAAAACTCGTGAGGATCGTTACTTGGTAAGGTACTTCTTTTTTCACAGAGATTGACTGCATTAGAAGCAGATCTTTGCAAAGTTGGTTCAAGTGATCAAACCTTTGTCTCAACAATTCTCGATGCATACGCTGAGTATCCGCACCTGAGACAGAAGAGTGCTTACCACAGGCAAGTGTGTTACATATTTTGTCATGCCAACATCGCAAGCATTCTAGGTCATGTTTAAAAACGTTTTCTCTGTTATTGATCATGATTACTTTACATGTTTTTTTATTAAAAAAATGCAACCTTGTATTGGTGTCATCTTTCAACTGCTATTGACAGGATCTTAATTTGTTTCCGTTAAGCAGGTTAGATGTTATTGATAGGTGCTTCTCGAAAAGAAAAGTGGAGGAAATTATCTCTGCACTTGTAAGTTTTTCATTAATATATAGGATATGTTGACTTGCTAGTTGTGAGCATGACTTCACTGAGTTACCTTGACATTGCACTCTACCATTATATGTGTTGGTTAGGAGAGAGAGGTCACTCAAGAACCGGACGATTGGATCTTAGCTACCATTCAAGCATTGGAGAAGGCTTCTCCATCATGCCTTAAAATCACTCTTAGATCGGTTAGTTCCCAAAATGTGTCACAAACAATCAGTGCCGGTTTAAACATTTAAAGGGCAAAAATTTTAAAATAAGCCCTTAAACTTGTAAATTGTAAAGTAAATTCTCTAGATCTCTTTTTGCTCACAACATTTTTCTTTGGACCCTTTTTATACATAAATTTATGGATTTGGGTCCTTTTTACCCACAAGTTTTTCTTCAGAGTGTTTTTGCCCAAAAAAATATTTTTTGAACACTGATCAATAGATATGGGACGGTCGCACACTCGCACTGCTGGCCTCTATAGTTATCATGGTAAAGAGCTGACTCTATGTACAAATTTCAGATAAGAGAAGGAAGATTTCAAGGGGTGGGGCAGTGTTTTATCCGTGAGTACAGAATGGTGTGTCATGTGATGAAGGGAGATTTAAGCAAAGACTTTATGGAGGTTTTGTCAGCTTTTCCGATTGTATCTTCATCCTGAAACTGTCATTTCTAGACAATAATTACAAAAACGTGTCTTACTTATGTAGGGGTGCAGAGCCATATTGATAGACAAAGATAGGAACCCAAAGGTTTAACAAATCTCTCAATTTATTATTTGTTGTTATGTCATATTTTTGATATAATGTTGTCTAGATGAAATTTTATAGTGGGAGCCAAGGCGACTAGAGGACGTGAAGGATAGCATGGTAGATCAGTACTTTGAGAGGGTGGAGGGAGAGGAGGGATGGGAGGATCTGAAGTTTCCGCCAAGGAACAACTTGCCTGCTTTAGCAATCGCAGCAAAACTTTGAAGTGGAGAAAGGTGATTCATGAGACAACAATTGGTTAGACATCAAACCAGCGACCAAACCGAGGAAAGAGACAAAACCCGAAATATAAGAAAATTTCTTCTAGTACTTTCTTTTGTTACAGCAAATAAGAATAGACGTGTGCTCTGTTTCATCTTGATTATACTATACTACATTATGTAGTCTACATACAAGAGAAATAAATTGATTAACACAATAGATATATACACGGATTCCTTGAGTTTCCAACTTTCCATTCCTCTATTTTTCCTTCTGCCTTTTTTGGTTTTTAAAATTGTCATTTTATTTGTTTTTCAAAGATGATTGGAATTCTTGAGGTTTTGCAAAAAGTATGTGTTGAATACATAAAATTTTAACAATATAATTCAGGTTTGAGAAAACAAAGAATGTTGTCTTGTGAAATCATTTGAATAAATAAATCAAACAGAGCATATGGTTTACATAGTCAAATAACACCGTTTTGGTTATTAAGTTCAGCAGCTAGTTTTATACTCCCTCCGTATTTTAATAATTGTCGTTTTAGGATTTTCTTTTTTTAAAAATTAGATGTCGTTTTCAAATTTCAATGCAAAATTTCTTACTTTTTAATGTTTTATGATGTCATAAAACATTAAAAAGTAAGAAATTTTGCATTGAAATTTGAAAACGACATCCAATTCAAAAAAATAAAAATTCTAAAACGACAATTATTAAAATACGGAGGGAGTAATAAATACTACAAAAAATACTAAGAAAATTAGAAAACTTACTGTAAAAATAAATATTAATAATTCGGATATTCGTAGGCTGCTGACCTGATGACCATCAGGCTTATCCTCAGTCTTAATTTCTAGTCCCGCGGGTTTGAACTCTTCGCAGGCAGGTCTTTCGAGGGCTCGAGCTGGCCAGGCGTTATTAACCCGTTTTAACAACCCTGAGTCTATGTCTTCATCACGTTTATTTTTGTTACTTGCTACCGACCACGGTTGGTAATTAAGTGCATTTATAGCAGCTCGCAACTGCAAAACATTAGTATGCAAATAATGGTTTTTAGACTCAAACTATACGTAAACAAAAAAAACAATTTGATAAAAAGGAGCAAATCTCTGGAATAACCTCAGGTAGTCTCCTTATAGGATGATTTTCATTATAATCAAAGTAGGGAATAAAGTTGTAAGGCCTAAAGATTTTGACTAGTTGTTTGATCTCAGTGTGAGCTTCCAAAATCTACAGAAAACAAAAAATAAGTGAAAAGATATTTTGGTAATATATTAACTCGGGCAATAGTATAAATTTCCTCCAAATAAACTATTATAATCAGATTTACCTCAGGAGGAAGTTGTGCTTCTTTCGAAAGAAGCTCCAAGACTTTGAAGAGAACACGAGCAGTTTTACATGCATGTATAAGTTGATCACTGAAAGTACATAAGATAGAAGAATGTAATGTGAGTATGTGACTAAAAGTAGAGAAATAAAGATATACGAGGAAAAAAACGCAAATTTGAACAAACAATTAATATTTGCAATAAGCACAAACCTGACGGCTCTGACATTGACAATTGCGGAAGCTTGGTTATCATTAGGGAGAGGGGTGGATGCACTTGAAGTTGAATCAATTGCTATTGCAAATAAGGATAGTGAAAAACATTTAAAAAAAAAAAAAAGAGAAACTGGGTTTTCACTGATTATCTAGTGTGTGTCTATTGAAAAGATAAGAGATTAGAAAATAATGAATGGATTGCAAAAAATGAATGTAGTAGAAGAAGATGCAAGCTAGTTACTTATATGTTGTTGTTTAAATTAATATATCTATATCTATATATAGGAGAAGAAAATTATTCCTAGATCCGGCGATGATTAGGGGCACTATTTTCAAATATTTGATGCCAATGGCCGTGATCAAGGCTACGATGGTTTTCTCGTAATAGTCTAGACAGAAACTTTGCAAATAAGGTATATCGGTATTAGGCAGAATTTGTCCTTGTTCACCTGTTTCATCATTCTACACAAAGTATAAAAAAAAAAAAAAAACATGATGAGGATGTTGAGGAAACAAAACGCACAATGACAATAACAATGTTAATACCCTTTGGATCCAACACATAAGGGAAAACCTAAACTGTGGAACACCACGATCAATTAATGAAGGGTTAATCCTTTTTGACTCCTCAAGCGCACCATGAACACCTTGATAGAACCAATAAGCCACTCAAAAGATTAATCAACTGAAGAGATTAGAAGATGGGCAAGTTCTATCATCATGTATATTTGTATCCAACTCACATAGGTAAGCAATCCGAGGATAGGTGCGACGGAAGTGATGGGCCACACGTAGGATCGATGAACACTTTGCATGTGACGATGGTACCATCTCACTGTTCGGAATATCATCTACCATCTTTAAAATCTAGGATTTGCTTAAGTGATTTTTTCTTCTTCTTAAAACTTGGTAAAGGGATGATCTTAGATCTAAGGTTTCTTCTTCTTCCTCCTAACTTCTCTTGATCTCGTCTTTGCATTTTGGGATTATATGTGGGTTTTAGTATTTCTCAAGTTATCTCGAATCTGTGGTTAGTTACTATTTACTAGTAAGAAAAAGTCCAATAATACGACTTGTGTAGCCGGTGAAAAAAAAAACGACTTGTGTAATTGTGTTACAAAAAGAAAAATTAAAATGACGAAAATACCCTCGTGAAACCTAAAATTGTAAGGTATCAAGAAGGTGCCCTTTTTGTCCCATGAAGAATAAATCTCGTCGGCCTTCTTTGCCCTTGTTCTTTCTCCAGATTTTCTTCTTCAACCTCTTTCTCTTGCTTACCCGCCAAATTCCTCCTCTTTGAAACTACCCAATCCCTTTCGCTTCGGTGATTCTGCAGATTAGGCTTCGTACCCTTTTGATTCGTAAGTTTCGATTCCCAATCTCTCTTTGTTTGTTTCCTGTCAAATTTCGGTAGAATTTGTTCCGAACATTGAATTTTCTCGTACATGAATCTCTGTTTTTATCCGTGTCTGTGTGATCAATTTGTGAAATTTCGAATTGGGTTTGGTGGCTCGAGGGTGTTTAATGTTTTGTTCGTCGGCTAAAACCCCAACAGAGAACAGAGATGGTGGTAGTTGGGGACTTATGCTTATTGTTATAGCTCCCTTTTATATGGAAACTAGTACTAAGTTTTGAATCCTGAGGAACGATTTCTTATTCTCACTTCTGTCAAGGTCTTATGTTAATAGTGTTCATACATTGTTTTTCTTGTTTGCAGGTCTGTAAAAGCCAGTACCGGTTGAATTAGAATTCTGGAACAGATATTAGTGTTTGTTGGCCAATATTTTGTTACTGTGATGAAATGAAAAATCACGAGCTGATGATGGCGGGGAACCACGATATCTCGTTTATGGAAGCTCGACAGAATAGTGAACTGTTTACTACTCATGACTACAATTTTGCTTTGGAACCATTACACGAGACTAACCTGCAGATAGGTGTTTCCCGTGACCAAAATGAGGTTTGGAACCACAACCAGGAACATGCACTGACTCTTCAAAACTCAAGGACTCACAGTGAAGAACAAGATTTGGAAGGAAAAGATGAGGTTGATTCTCAGGAAAACCAAAATGAAAGCTATGACCATACTTTTGACCTCTCCTTTCCTGATAATGATGACTCGGAAACTTCAGAGAATGATAAACTAGCTTTAATAGTTTCTCAGGATCTCAATGATAATTTACAGTTAGCCGTCGGTCATTGCATGAATAGAGATCCTATACCTGGCCTGAACATAAGCCTTTCTCAGCAGCTAGAGTTGGCTCCTCCTATCATTCAGTGTCGGTCTCTGCAAACAGCTCCTGAGCACAATTTGGTTGTTGGTATGGAATTTTCGGATGTCCTTGCGTGTAGGAGAGCACTCAGAGATGCAGCAATTGCCTTACGCTTTGAGATGCAGACTGTTAAATCTGACAAAACTCGCTTCACTGCCAAGTGCAATAGTGAGGGTTGCCCTTGGAGGATTCACTGTGCCAAGCTTCCTGGTGTACCAACCTTTACAATAAGGACTATTCATGGGAGTCACACATGTGGTGGTATTTCACACCTTGGTCACCATCAAGCTTCAGTTCAGTGGGTTGCTGAGGCTGTGACAGAAAGGCTGAAAGTAAATCCTCATTGCAAACCTAAGGAGATACTGGAGGAAATTCATCAAGTTCATGGAATTACACTATCATACAAGCAAGCATGGAGGGGAAAAGAACGTATAATGGCTGCTGTTCGCGGGTCATATGAAGAAGATTATCGCCTTCTTCCTCGATATTGTGACCAAATTAAGAGAACAAATCCTGGGAGCGTCGCTGTGGTTCATGGAAGCCCGGTTGATGGGAGCTTTCAACAATTATTTATTTCTTTTCAAGCATCAATCGGTGGATTTCTTAATGCTTGTCGACCTCTCATTGGATTGGACAGGACTGTTTTGAAGAGCAAATATGTAGGGACATTGCTGCTTGCCACTGGGTTTGATGGAGACGGCGCGGTGTTTCCTTTGGCTTTTGCTCTTATTAGTGAAGAGAATGATAGTAGCTGGCAGTGGTTCCTCTCAGAGTTGCGCCAGCTGCTTGAAGTTAATTCCGAAAACATGCCAAAGCTGACAATTTTATCTAGTAGAGATCAATCCATTGTTGATGGAGTAGATACTAATTTTCCAACGGCGTTTCATGGCTTGTGTGTCCATGGTCTCACAGAAAGCTTCCGTAGTCAGTTCAACAACTCCATTCTTGTGAACCTTTTTTGGGAAGCAGCAAAATGTCTCACCGACTATGAATTTGAAGGAAAAATCGAGGAGATCGAACAGATATCCCCAGAAGCTGCCTTGTGGATCCGTAATAGCCAGCACAGTCGATGGGCCACATACTGCTTTGAAGGAACAAGGTTTGGACATCTGACTGCAAATGTTTCCGAGTCACTTAACAGTTGGATTCAAGATGCCTCAGGTCTTCCTATAATCCAAATGATGGAGAGTATTCGTCGCCAACTGATGACTCTGTTCAATGAACGCCGTGAAACAAGCATGCAATGGTCTACTATGCTAGTTCCATCTGCTGAGAGACATGTCCTTGAGGCTATAGAAGAATCTCATTTGTACCAAGTTCACAAAGCAAACGAAGCACAATTCGAGGTCATGACCAGTGAAGCAAAATGGATAGTGGATATTAGATGCCGTTCTTGTCAGTGCCGTGGATGGGAGCTATACGGTTTGCCTTGTAGCCACGCAGTTGCAGCCCTCTTCTTTTGCAGACAGAACGTATACCGGTTCACAGAGAGTTACTTCACGGTGGCAAATTACCGGCGAACTTACGCAGAAACCATACATCCAGTTCCAGACAAAACCGAGTGGAAAACAACAGAACCTGACAAAGAAAGTGGTAAGGATGGTGAAGAGATTGTTATCAGACCACCGAGCGTGTTAAGACAACCACCACGGCCAAGGAAGAGGAGAAGTCAAGGAGAGGACCGTGGACGCCAGAAGCGGGTTGTTCGATGTAGCCGGTGTAATCAGGCTGGCCATTTCAGAACAACTTGCACAGCTCCTATCTAAAAATCTCTGCCATCTCTCTTTAGATTCTTTACTTCTTCTCTGATCTGAATTTAGTTATTTTTTTACTTAGGTTTAGAACATTCTTTTCAAAGCCTTTCTCTGTAACTCATTTTTCCAATATCTTTAGATTTTCAAATATCCAATGACAGTTTCTTCTTATGTTATAGACTTATATCCTTAACAAATAGATTTTATAAAACCTTTGCCAAAACACTATTATATCATATATAGGGATTGAGATTTTGGCTATAACAACAAAATTGTCAGTCAAATCACAAACTTCCGGAGTAATAGGACTCGAAGCTATTTTAGTACAGCACACGTGGAGAAAGCAGATACATTGTCTCGTAACAGAAAAACAAACTCAAGAATGGACCCAATCTTAGAGTTCTAACAATCTTAATCTCATGTCTCTTGATGATCCCCAAAACAAATCCAGATCAATGTGTGTTCCAGAGTTAAACAGCAACAACAACACGACGACCTTCACACAGATTTTGGTAATCTCATCCATTGGCTTACTCTTAGCCCTTGCACTGCACTTCCGTCTAAGGAAGCTACGTCACTCCAAGAACATCCCTCGTCTTAGATCGTCTCACAAACACAAAGGCCATGAGAAGCTTGAGAGATTCTCTCACTATGTTGGTAAAATCAATCTACATAGCCTCTTTGAAATCTTGATGATCATAGATTGTGATACATTTTGAGGAAATGTTGTTTGTGGTTTTTGTAGTGCGGCAGATGGGATTCAAGGACAGGAGAGAGTGTCCTCATCTCTGTAAGTTAGCTAATGAGTACATAAGGAAATCAGGTAGTTGCGAGGAAGACATTTACAGCTTTTTCTCTGAAGAGCCTGGTGCTGATTCTCTCTTCATTAAGCTTGTTGAAGAGTTTGAGAGATGTATTCTCAGTTACTTTGCTTACCACTGGAAGCATGCAGATCTCATGATCAGTCAGGTTTCTGCAGAAAAACCAAAAGATAAACTTTCATTATCCTATCTTTGTTAACATCATAACTAATAGACCGAAAACATTTCATGGATTTGTTTCAGATACTCAGCGCCGATGTAGAGCCTAAGAAGAAGCTAAAGCACATTGTCATGGCGGCTACGCGGTGAGTCTAAAAAAACAAAAAGCAATCCAAATTAAGTTCTCTTTAGTGATTTTTCCCAAATGACTGTTTGTTCCTTGGTTGGTATATAGGGAACAGAGGTTTGAGAGGGTGACTAAAAATCTAAAAGTGGCAAGAGTGTTTAACACATTGGTAGAGGAAATGAAAGCAATGGGGATAGCATCCGCTGATGACTCTGAGTGTACAGAAGTTATGGCTCCAGTTGCACACAAGGACCGAAGCCCGGTTCTACTTCTTATGGGAGGTGGTATGGGTGCAGGAAAGAGCACTGTGCTTAAAGACATTCTCAAAGAGTAAGTAAAGTATCAAAATAAGTTCACTTAAGATCTATATCAACATATCTGTCATTGACCTGTACATGCTTGTGTGCTTTGGATCAGACCGTTTTGGGCAGGAGCTGATGCTGTGGTGATCGAAGCTGATGCTTTCAAAGAATCTGATGTGATATACAGAGCTTTAAGCTCCAGAGGCCATGTTGATATGATCAAGACTGCTGAATTCGTAAGGTTCTTTGTTTCCTTATAGGTGCAATAAGAATCCTTAACGTAAAAAGAACCTGCAGCGCGACAAAATGTGCAAGGAATCAACTCAAGTTTAAGTAACTCATACAGATATGGAAATGTACATTAGAAAAGTAGCAAAGACGGTCATTATACTTCATGTTAGACTCAATATCCAATGTTGTGAAACTCTGACAGTGAAATGGAAATAAAACAGGTTCACCAATCATCAACGGATGCAGCATCATCGCTGCTCGTTACAGCTCTTAACGAAGGGCGAGATGTGATAATGGATGGAACACTCTCTTGGGTACCATTTGTGGTTCAGACCATAACCATGGCAAGGAATGTGCATCGCCATCGTTACAGAATGGGAGCTGGCTACAAGGTTGGTGAGAATGGAGATGTTATAGAGAACTATTGGGAACGCATAGGCGAAAGACAACAGCTGCAAGAAGATGGAAGGGAGAGAAAGCCATACAGGATAGAGTTAGTTGGAGTGGTGTGTGATGCATATTTAGCAGTGATTCGAGGCATTAGGTGAGAAATGTTCCAACTAACTGCTCTTCTACTCATTATTTTCTTAACATAAGGTTTTGGTTTACCATATATGCAGGAGAGCAATAATGTGTAGAAGAGCAGTTAGAGTGAGATCTCAGCTGAGATCTCACAAGAGGTTTGCTGATGCGTTTCTTACCTATTGCAACTTAGTTGACAATGCTAGACTTTACTGCACCAATGCTCTTGAAGGTTCTCCAAAGGTTAAACCTGTGTTTCTTCTACTCGTCCGCCTATAAGATGCAAAAACTATGCAAGTTATAATATGTGGTGCAATGTGCAGCTGATAGGGTGGAAAGAAAAGGAAAAGACATTGCTAGTGGATCCAGAGGAGATAGACTGTTTGAAGAATGTAGGGAGGTTAAACGAGAATGCGGATTCTATCTACGAGCTATACAGAAATCCAAATCCTGCTTGTGAAGCTGGATCAATATGGAAAGACATTGTTCTTTCTCCTTCAAGATTCAACATTCAACAGGAGCTCAAATACTCAATTCAGAAAGTCGAAAGATTCAAACAGTATCTCCAAGAAACACCAAGATTGAGAGACGAAGATAGATAAACGAAGAAGATCTCTAGCTTTTTTTCCCGGTATGTCATTCATTTATGTAACTCCTTAAGTCCTGAAACGCATAAGCTAAGGAAGCAAATGTATGACATGATTCAGAGGAAGACATATAAATCTTACCTTAACATTGTCAAGCTTGGTCTCAAGACCAGTTCCTTCAAACCACAGCTGAAGAAACCACAATGTCCTATCTACACTACCCTTAAGACATTGATACATTACTTGAGATTCAGTGAAGAACCAATTAAGACAGAACTAGACGAACACTAACCACACAGAAACATATCTCTCTGTGAATGTCAATGCTTGAAATGTAAATCTTCTTTAACAGTTTCTAAACAAGTAAAGAGTGAAGAAACCATCACATTATAGCTATTGATTAAAAGCTTAAAATTCAAACAAACCAAAAATTACAAAGAAAAAAAAAAAAGTTTCAACAAGAAACCAAGAAACAAGAAAGTAAAAAAAAAAACTTTGGAAAGCAAGCTCCTTCAAGGATGATTCAATTATACAAGACTACCCTATAGAAGCTAACCACCACCATGTATTCAATCTCCCCCCAAACCTATCCTAAACCCATCTTCTTCACTTCTTCGTCTTCCTAGTCGAAGCTCTCTTCGCCGGAGACTTCACAGTCTTAGCCTTCACACTCTTAGCCGGTGCCTTCTTCGTCGCAGCAACCGCTTTCTTAACAGGAGCAGCAACTTTTTTCCCAGGAGATGTTCTAGTCGAAGTCCTAGAAGCTTTAGCTGGTCTCTCCTTAGCCTTAGGCTTAGCAGCAACAGCTTTAGTCTTTGAAACAGCAGCAACAGACTTAGACTTAGGTTTAGCAGTAGTAACCTTAGCCTTAGGTTTAGCAGTAACCTTAGGCTTAGCAACAGCTTTAGTCTTAGTTCCTTTAGCAGCCGCTTTAGCTTTAACAGGAGCAGCAGCAGCAGCAACCTTACCCTTAGGTTTAGCTACTACAGTTGCCTTCTTCTTAACCGGAGCCGGTTTAGGTGTAGCGGCGGATTTAGCAGAAGGAATCTTGAAAGAAGCTTTGACTTTAACCAATTTCTCAGAAGCAACAAGTCTCTTTAGATTCACAAGTAAAAGCTTCCTAAAATTAGGAGGAAGAGATTTATGTTTCTCCTCTATGAATTTCTGAATCGCGTATTGACTAGATCCAGTTCTCTCCTTCAACGTTACTATAGCGTCCTTAATCATCTGCATCGAATTCAAATTAAAGAAATTCAAAATCAAAATCTATGAATCTGAAAAAATTGAAAAAAAAAAAAAAAAAAATTAGATCGAATCTTGACCTCTTCATAGGGAGGGTGAGAAGAAGAAGCTTTCTTCTTCGTTGGAGCAGCAGCTTTCACCGGCTTCTTCGTCGTCGTTTTAGCTTCTTTAGTCGTCGTTTTCTTAGATTTACCACCTTTCGCCGTCGTTTTCTTCTCCGGAGCTTTCACCGTTGTATCAGCAGCTCCTGAATCAACCGTCGTTGGAACGTTTTCTTCTTCTGTTGACATCTTTAAACTGATCTCTTGATTTGATCGGAAGAAACTGTAATGTGTCGTCGGAGAATTGTCTGATGAGGACAACGAGAACTACGGGAATGATGTTTATATAGTCAGATGTGTTATGAGACAGAGTTTGTAATCTCTTCTCTGATTGGTTAAAATGATGAGTACTCGGATCGGTGTATCAACTCAGGTTTGAATTTCAACCGTTAGATTTAAATCTATCGACGGTTTGGAATTAAGGATTACGAATGTAAGGATGAGGAGGTTAATGGATGTGGATAGGTGCTTTTGTGTATTGTTGTGTTGGTGTGCTTTTTGCTTCGATTGATTTTATCATAACTTTTTATTTACTTTATGAATTTTTATTTTGTTTTTTTCGTTGTGTAGATAATTCTTTAAGGTTTTGTTTGAGTGTTTAAGCGATTGAAATGGTTTTGTGTAGGATGAGAAAATGGGGATTGAAGCAAGGTTGGTCAATACTATGGTTTGTTTTGATAGTATTACGGTGTTTTTGGTTTTTTAGAGAATGCTTGTGGGGGTTTTTTGGATGGTTATGTTCGTTGGAAACTAGACTAATCAAGGAGTGTAATGAACTAAGATTTGTTAAAATTGGATGATTTTAAGGTGGAAAATTGTGTTGTTGAATCCGACCAAAGATGACCATCTTCTTGTGTGTGGTGCCACACAACTTGTTGCATGTGTGATGTGTCTCTCTTTAAGAGAGTCCTAACTAAGATAACCAAAGAATCATGCGTTGGAATCATTTAACATATTTGAAAATCATTATATCTTGAATTGAATCACGAGTTTGAATTTGTTTTAAAATGTGGAATTAGTGAAGCATATGCGTATAATGATGATGTATGCAACTATGCATTGTAGCTTCTAAAAGCTTAAATGTCTTTATTATCAATAGTATATGATATTCATTAGCGAACATGAAATCTTTGCTATGAATTTCGAAATTCAGGTAACATGTTGATATGCCTATTCTCTAACACATGGTAATAATTCTATAAATATTTATATATCAATTTTTGCGCGTTCTAAACAATTTTTACCGCGAAAGATTATGTACCATCGACGGCATGAATATATGTGTGGTGATGTATGCATATATGATTCGATGTATATAAAAATAAAACAATTTTATTTTTCAAAATAAATTGTTAATTAGGATAAATATCCTAAAGATGTTGTTAATTAGAAAATATACCCTTTTTTTTTTTTTTTTTGTAAACCAATTAGAAAATATACCCTATGTTGATATACACGCAGCAAAAAAACCATTACTAATTAACTTATATCATCAATTCATCATATATAACTGATATTGAACCAGACCAAAATTATAAACTAGATTCAACCCACATATGCATCAAAGTTTTTCCAATTAAAAACTAACCCAATTAAAAACTGTCCACGGATGTATGAAATGCATATATGAGTTGATGCATATAAAATTTTTATATTCAAAAAAAAAGAGATTGTAGAATAGGATAAATATTGATCTACATACGGTAAGAAATCACTCATATATTATAATAAAATTAACTTCTCTTATCATATATAGTTGATTTTGAAACCAGACCAAAATCAATAAAGGAGATTCAACCCACATATGCATCAAAGTTGCTTTCAATTCGAAATCTAACCAAATAGTATCTACTTGAAATGAATAAATTCAGTCTTGAAACAAAGTTTCATTCACAACATAAAAGAGATCGTATAATAAACCAGTAATCTCAAATAAAAATTGATGTTAGTTCGGAAATTTCCCACGGTTTAAGTATTTTACTGCAAAAGATTATGTATTGTCATGGTAAGAATTTATACATGGTTTGAATATTTCTCACATTTTCAATGATTTTTTCTTCGAAATATTATATAACGTCTTCGACACGAATATATGTGTGGATGACATATGCATATAAGATTTGATGTAAATAAAAGTTTCAGAGAAATTATTAATTAGAAAAATTTCTTGTATAGATATATACATACAGTAAATATAACATTCTAAAAATAACTTTTCTCATCACAAATATAACTGAAAATCAAACCAAAAGAATAATATAAATAAATAAAAACTGGATTCAACATTTCAACCCACATATACGTCAAAAATATTCCAATTCATCTAACCCAATTCAAATTAAGAACGAATAGATTGACCTAAAGCTGAATGTCATTCACAAATCACAACTGAAAAGAAACCATATTATAAAGTTATAATCGATCTGACCATAGTCTAATTATTTTCGTTACAAATAGTTTATAAACGAGGATACTCTTTAGAAATTAGTGAAATTCAATCAATATATTTATATCGGAAAACTAAGCCGATAAGTAATGAAGGAACTTTAACACAAACATAAATATCTTGAGAGTAAACGTGTATGCAGATATTAATCCAACAATCTCTCATTCATAAATATTAATTGCGTTCTAATGGTTTACTCTTACTCTTCGATGTCAGTTACATTTTTACATTCACCAACGGAAGCTAATGTTGGTTTTAAAATACTGGAACCATATTATCTAGAATCTTAGACTATTAATTATCACACTTGACAAACATGCAGTTTAACAATGAGTTTTTTTTTTCGTTACGGATATAGTAATGAGCTAGTAAATGATTAACAAACTTAAAATATGTTTTTCATCTACCATTTACGAAAAAGCTAACGGAAATTTTGTCACTAATCTTTCGATAAACACAAGTATGTTAGTTTTTTTTTTTTTTGGTATTGTCTACATATGCTAAGAATCTTAACTAAAACAATTAGACCTTACATTATTTTTTGATTATCTGGAATACTTATCGCCATCCCTTACTTCACACATGTCCATCTTTCCATAGTGCACGACCCCCTGATTCTATCAAAATCTAATAAATGTCGTTACTCGAAATTGTTTAAGCAATATTTACGAAATTTTACCAAGTGTTGATAGCTCAACTGATAACGATTCTCCTATAAAGTTTAGAAATCGTCGATTCGAGTGATATTTGAGAAGAACCCATATAAAATGGTTTGATCTCTGGTCTGAGGAAATGTACAGGTTTAGGCTCATAATTTTTTAATAATTCAAATAAAATGGTATTTACAAAATTAACGTAATCAAACTAATACATCGTCATTAAGACATTGTGAAGCTTATCACCAAACTAATTTTCTTATTTGGGATAAATTTTCATTTCTTACGACATACAAACATAAACGTGAAACACGGAGACTCTCTTTGTTAATCTCCTCACATTAATAATTTTCATAAACTTCCTCACATTAGCACTGCTTGAATATCTTTAGTTCTAAGATGAAGAAAAACTTTAAATATATTTAGCATACTATTTAGTTAACTGTGTTCCAAGAAATTTAAATAATTCTTTTTGTCTTCGTTATAAGCTATTTAACCTACCTTAAATTAATTTTTGAATTATTTGATTTTTTTGTCACATACTTAATTAATATTACTTTTATAAATAGGTTATAAATAATATGTGTTTTGATACTATTGGTTAATTTTTTTTTGAGGATTTTCAATTATAGATTTCTAGAAATATAAATAAAATGAAAATACATTTTGGTCGTAGATTGTACGAACATTGATTTTAAAAAATCGATACAGATTTTGTCAACCATATCTAGGCGAAAGTTCAATCACTAGTTGAATAGAACTAACTTTATTCGTATTGATTACTTCAATATCTCACTTATAGGGGACTTGTGGCCATTGTAATAGAGCCGACTTATGCGCACTTATTGATTGCAACCATTGGGTGAAGTTGACTTGTCTTAATAATCATATTTCTCGAACCATTGGGTCAACCATATCTAGGCGAAAGTTCAATCACTAGTTGAATAGAACTAACTTTATTCGTATTGATTACTTCAATATCTCACTTATAGGGGACTTGTGGCCATTGTAATAGAGCCGACTTATGCGCACTTATTGATTGCAACCATTGGGTGAAGTTGACTTGTCTTAATAATCATATTTCTCGATCAAATGCTTCAAGCAAGAAACGCTCTTACAACTTACCTAGTTTGCCAGAAATTTCTCAATTCATGCTATATCACACAGTTGGCTCCAACAGAGACCTCACTAGTATATTCTCAGCTGTTACTTCGTCATTTGAAGGTAAACACACACAATCAATTTCCAAAAAGGTGTGTAATTAAAATCTCATTTGTACATTTTATCATTTTTTTATAATTTTTTTCACTTATTAGTCCCTTGATAATTATGGAGGCATAAGAGCACTATTGCTATGATTAGTCTCATCACCATTTATGGAGGAAACAAAACATTTAACTGGTAGAATACCAATCCCAGGACAATGAAGTAACTAACGGATATACGCGACGAATGTTTTCTATCAACTCATTTTTTATTTTTCAATCATTTCAAATTAATTTTCTGTACGGCTAATCAATTTTTTTGCATGCAAAAGTGGAGGGTCCTTGTTAGTGTTCGAATTTGCACCCACAACAATACCGAATTACACCAAGCATAATCTAAATTAATCGAGCAATTCGATTAAACGGGGAAGCCCATGTTAGACCAGTAATTGGACCATGGACAAAACCCCATGGAAGTCATCCACCGACTTCCTTCAACTAAAAGGGAAAGGTCGCTAACCGACCTTCCCTAAAACGAAGAAAAATAAACTTTCCTCCTTGAAGATAATGTCAAACTCCGAAGAAAAGGGAAGATGGGAGATTCAAGCCAAAAGTTAAGAAAACAAGACTAATCTCCAAACAGACTTCGCTCCTATATAATTAGATCCGCAATTTCATACACAAACCCCTAGCTTTTCAATTGTTCTTGAGCAAACCTAACTTTTTCTTCAAGAGATTAAAAATCCCTTTGTGATCGAGTTTTTGATCGAGATTTTAATAAATAGAGTTTATCGAATTTGTTTTCTCCCTTTAAACAAATTCATTGTGTGAATTCTGAATTCAAAAATCCCTTAAAATCCAAAATTATGGTTGAAAGTTGCTTGGAAGTCAAAGGCGAATTTGTGGGATGGGGTGAAAGGCATTTCGTATACCACCCACGGTGTAAGAATCTTGGCTTAACTCATCTAAGTTTTGTGGATGATCTTATGGTGCTCTCGGATGGTAAGATTCGTTAGAAGGCATTGTTGTGGTTTTTGATGAATTTGCTAAACTCTCGGGATTAAAGATAAGTATCGAAAATCGAATGTATTTGGCAGAAATTTCAGAAACAGGTTTTCAATAAATTGCTACTCGCTTCTCCTTTGATGTAGGCTATTTATTGGTACGATACTTAGGGCTCGTTCTAGCCAGTTTAAGAAAGCACAACTATAGGCTCTTGGATCTAGAAAAAAACTCCTCAAGTATAGAAAAGCAGCCAAATCATTTTGCAAGGTTGACGTGGGCAATGGTAAGCTTACTTCTTTCTAGTATGATAACTGGTCTAACTTGGGTCGTCTAGTTGATGTTGTGGGATTGGAGATAGGGGCGTCATTGACATGATGATTAGCAAAAAGATTTCATTGGCGGAAGTGTGGGTACACCGCCGAAGGAGAAGACACCGAGCTGAGCACTTAAACTCCATTGAAGATGTTTTACATTTACAATGACAAAATCGCAGGGAGAGGGACGGTATTGTGTTATGGAAAGGGAAAAATAACATATTCAAAGCTAAGTTCTCTACCAAGGACATATGGAATCATACACGAACCACTTCAAATAAGGTAGCGTGACATAAAGAGGTCTGGTTTACTCACGCCACACCAAAATACTCCTTTTATGTTTGGTTAGCAGTTCAAGATAGGCGTTTAACAGGTGCCTAGATGGTTTAGTGGAATGAGGGGAGGGTCTCGGGAGACACTTTACTTTGTCAAAATAGCATGAAAACCAGAGATCATTTGTTCTTCTCATGTTGTTTTGTCTCAGAAATTTGGACTGCTCACACCAAGGACATCTTCAAAGTAAGGTACACAACTGATTGGTCTACACTTATAACTTATATTTCAGAGCATCAACAAAATCGAGTAGAAGGGTTTTTTGCTCGATATGTCCCCCAAGCCATGGTTTATGAAATCTAGAGGGAGCGAAATGGACGAAGGCATGGCGAAAAACCTAACTCACGAGCTCAAATAACCAAGTGGATTGATAAACAAATTTGAAATCAATTTTCAACAATCAAAAGTACGGGGGATATGTGGTATGATGAGGGCTTCAAGTTTGGCTCCAAACCCGGATTTAAGTCTCTTCTTCATGTATTAGCCACAATGTAGTTTGTCTTATTTTTCTCAAAAAAACGTTACACAGCTTACACTAGTTGAAAAATAATATGTTTTTTTTTAATATAATTTAACATAAAAAAATACATGTGTAATTCTCTAATTTGAATAGAATTGAAACTAAGATATTCGTAGGATACTCATCATAATGATAAAATCCCGCAAAAGACCCCACAAACTTTGCATGAAATCTTTCAATTTCGTATGTCGTATTTAAAGAATCAAAACATATGTCACTAAAGTCTAAAACATTCTAAACAAAAAAAATACTAAACTATACTTATCTAATATGATTAGCTCGAAGTGATTTATGGGTTCGTTTGATATCACAATGGTCACATTCGACATAATTTATAGTTATGAATACTTACTGGAAACTAGTAATAATAGCTAAAGATCGAAAGAATTGTGGATTATAGGTCTCATCATGGTTTTGTCGACCTGACTAGCTTGCTTTGGTCAAAACCGATGTTTATCATTCTCATTAGGAAGTAATGATATGGAGCTTGGATGCACAAGAAGAAACATGGATCATGACTTAATAAATATGTTTATTCCCTAGAGACCTTTCCTTTACCCTCACACATAGAGGTTTCGGTGCAGACAGCAGACCACTAGCGGTTTCTAAGAAAGAGAATCTTTTCTTTCATGACAAAGAAATGAGATTGTTCAAATATTGTCCAGAGACAAACGGAGTCCATTGTATAGCTGTAAACATTCATGTTATATTTCTTTTCGTTGAAAATATGGTCCATCTTCGACATTCGGATTCCGCTCCAAAAATTACGGTATACCCATCTAGACACCACGTCACGGACTCCTGGATATCCTTAAATGTTTTAGACAATTCGAGTTGCAGATCCCACCTACTATTTTGCTTACCACAACTCAATGGTTCTTATAAAACGATTTCCAACAATATGAATTAAGAAAGTAAGATAAAAATGAGGTTAACCTTCGGGAGAACAGGGTTGACCCATTGATGACTACCATAAGATGTACCCACAAAGTACAGCACCCCATTGCTATTCCCATCAAGTATATACTGAAGCTCCTTGAAACTCGATCTCCGATGTTGGAACCTTGAACTAGAGGTGAAAAGATTTAATAACCGAGTAATTTGGAAATATAAACCTGAAGATGTTTACAATCCTAAGATACATGATTCTTACCTTAAGAGTGGGGAACCATCAAAACCAACCCATACTTCCGTTTAAATCAGTTGCTTAACCAGAATTAATACTAAACCGGAAATAATATTAAACCAAACCCCAATAAACTCTGAAAATCGATTCTATAAACTCTTGAAGAAGAAAAGAGAGACACAAGGGAGAAGAAGAAGAAAAAAAACCTAATAAGATGATGTACGTAGTTCCGGAACTACTAGAAGAGATCTTCCTTCAACTACCATTGAGATCCATCCTCAGATTCAAAACCGTCTCAACACAATGGAGATCAATACTGGAGTCGAAGAGGTTCGCGGAGAGGAGGAGGCGTATGAGTAATCATCAACATATTCCGAAAATCCTGGCCGTCAGAGACGACCGGACCGAGTCGCAGTTCCAAGGAGACGAAGAGGTTAAGATGGTCTATCTACAATGTGAAGCCGCCGCCACACAACTCTCGATGACGTGTGATGGTCTAGTTTGCATCCCCATACCATGCTACGTCAACGTTTTGAACCCTTGCACCGGAGAACTCTTAAACGTTCCTTCCGGCCCAAATCCAGTAAATACCAGTCGCTATGATCGCGTAATTCAAGGAGCATCTTGAGCATGGATACATTTTCGCAGAAGAAACATGGACCAAAACTTACTCAATACGTTTATTCCCTAGCTATCTTTGCCCCAACCATGTGACGATGAAGTGCATTCCACTAATGGTTTCGAAACAAGGGAATATTTACTTCCATGACAGTGAGAAGAGGTTGTTCAAATATTATCCAGAGACTGATCAAGTCTGTTGTATCGCTAAACACATCTGTGTTCTATCTCCTTTCGTTGAAAATATGATCCCACTTGGACATCCGAAAACCATGACATATCCACCCGGATTTCAGTATGCAGACTCTTGGATATCTAAACTTTGTAGACGAATTGAATTACCGACTACTATTTTGCTTAGCACGACTGTTGCGGCTCTTGTAATTTTTCGTTTTTCGTCTAGGTCTTGATATTAGTATTTATTGTGATACTTTTTTTTTCCTCTTTTCTTTCAAGACTTAGATTGATGTAACTTAAAAAAAAGAGAATCTGTTTCATCAGTTTTATGCAAGAGATTCTTAAACCAGTCATAACAAACAAAGTAGAACTCATTACGCTACAGCCACAGCCGGAATCTCTTGCATAAAAATCAAAACAATCTAACTGGAATCAACTTTAACATTTGTTGAGAAAAACTTTCAGGTTCAAAGATCACTGTAGAACAAGAACAAGAACAAAAGGTAAACAGGATAAAAGAGAAAATCGTGTGTAGTAGAAGACAGTCAAAAGGTCATTCATTGCAGACGCTTCAACGGTAGTAACCGTAGAGTTCCAGGTAGCAAATGCAAAAGTTCCAAGGAGTTGATGTGTCTGCGGTTGGACCGGTCAGAACCAGCCTGAAAAACCTAAAGGGAAGTAACGCATTTGCTGCTGTGATTGGCCATGATGCAAACTGACCGGCCTTGCACATTGTTTGGTCATCCTCATGGACTCTCAAGTCTGTCCATGTTTTCCCATCCATCGATCCCTTCAACCCCATCAAGACAACAACAACACAAAATTTTGCTAAGCACCTTGTATTAAGAGGACATGAAATAACTGCAGCATATATAAGATACCTGAAACTTCCAGGATCTTGCGAATGCTCTTGATCCGTCTTGTCTGAAGGTGTAGTAGTTGCACATAAGCTGTATCCAACAATCCTCACCGTTATATTCTCAGAACGTAAACTAAATTTCATTTTACTCAAATACATTTTCTCTTAGTTCGTCAAAGCATGGTTTATGGAGCTTTTAGACCGATGGTTTCTTTATGAAAACAGAGTATGTGATAGAAAGAGAAGTTATGGAGGAGACCTGATGATCTTCGCCTAAGTCCACCATCCACCAGGATGATATATGGCCGTCTTCCATCCTAGGCCCTGCAAAGGAAGTACCCTGGTGCCGAAAAAACGAAATCATATGGTTATATTCTGTATCCAAGAGGAAAGAAGGTTCACTGCATTTAATTTTATGCTTTGTCAATTTTGTAGTTCAAGCCAAATTCTAATCATATAAGACGAGCGAACTTGGGTGTACCATACCACATAGGTTTTTGAAGCCAAAGCCTTTGGATCAGTGAATCTGGAGGTGGGGCTGCTCGATGTAATGATGATTTTCTGGAAACATAAAGAACTCAAAGTATAAGGAAATATTTTTCTCCAGCAGAATTCCTTGTCATGGTTCTTATAAAACGATTTCCATCAATATGAATAAAGAAAGTAAGATAAAAATGAGGTTAACCTTTGCGAGAACGGGGTTGACCCATTGATGACTACCATAAGATGTACCCACAAAGTGTAGTACCCCATTGCTATCCCCATCACGTATGTACTGAAGCTCCTTGAAACTCGATCTCCGATGTTGGAACCTTGAATTAGAGGTAAAAAGCTTTAATAACTGAGTACTTTGGAAATATAACCCACTGGAGATGTATACAATCCTAAGATACATGACTATGTAATTCTTACATCGGTTCATTTCCTGGGCATATCAATCCGGAAATTAGGAAGCTCGCAGCCTCCTTCACCTGTACACAAGAAAAAATGAGGGCTTGGAGAAAATCAATCTTGAAATGAAAAATTAAATATTCTACGAAAAAGATGGAAATAGATACTAAAAACTTACAAGACGATTGAATACAGGGATTTCTTTGCTTAGGTTGCTGTTTTCTAACTGCGCGATCATTAAGCATAGATGGCATCAGCACAATCAATTTAACAAAAAATGATAAAGTTCATTCAGTATACTCAGGGTCAGGATTCACTTACCCTTTTAAGCAATTCATATGGCAACAAAGAGAAGCGTACATGAGGCAACAGGTCATCAAGTGACTGAATCCTTTCTTTGAACAAAATTTTTGGATCAGAATAGTTCATCATCTCATCAATTACTTCCCAACTGTGTGACTCCTCAGCTTTCATGCACCACATGAGAACAGCATCAAGAATCTTTTCCTCAGATGTCACTGTCAGATCTGCAGACTGCAATTCCAGGATTTAATACTGGCTGAAATGTTTATTACATGCCATAACGAAAGGAGATGTCATACATCACTCTTGGTGATGTCCATTACAATTCCATAGTACATATTTACTTCCACGATAATTAACACTGATCAGTGCATGAGCAACCCTTTGTTTCCACAAGCACTAATGTAGCAGTTTTTTTAGGCCAAGTCTCCAAGTGGGTTCAGAGGTTCTTATAAGAAAAAATAGGTTGGTGAAAGAGAAAACACACCTCAAGAATATCACTGAAGGTGGTCTGATCTAACAAGACAAAGTTCAGACTTGCAGTGGTACAATAGTCGAAGTGCATGGAGAACTTCCTCTTGCACATCTCCTCGATGAGTTTACATGATGAGATAGACGAAACCACTTGGAGAACTGAGCATACAGAATCCTGCAACAAAGTTTAGAGGTTAGCTTGAGAAAAGGCCCTAGTTTGTCTGCTTCCGCGCCCAATAAACTCGCATAAAAGAATTATTCTTGTTGTATGACCTTCTTCCAAAACGAGAACGCCATCCCTGCATGTAATATATACATGGAACAATATTAATATTTTTTTTACTTTGTAGTTTGTATGTGGTACTTCGTTTCTTTTCTCTTTTAGTTTCAGAAGGCTTGAAACCGCAACCCACTTCACGGCTCATTAAGCATTTAAGCTCTCTATCATACAGAAACCATATTGTAACAGATGCACTGAAAAGAAGAGAAACATGATAATGACAGAGAGACGTATCATTTACTCTAGAGGATTGTGAAAAGAAAAAAAATTACCTCTGAGAGGCACTCCAAGAGCATTTTGCAGCACTCTTGATGAAGTGGAACAACTCCAAACCGGTCAGCTAGAAAGAGAAGATGGATCAACTCGGTGCCAAAATTCACTGTGTCTTCCATGTTCAACTCTCCGCTATACATGAAATTCATCATAGCCTTGAATGCTTCTGGTGATACATCGGTTAAGTAAATCGTTGATGAATGGCTTTCACTCATCCCATTTGTAAACATCTGGATGTTCATTGAGAATAAATAAAACTTGAGAATCAATATATTCATGTACATCAGAACTGCTACCCTAAAAGAGATTCTCACCTTGGCAAATGCGACACTCCAAAGACTTAGAATGACTTTGTGAGATTGGAAAGTGAGACTATGGTCACTGAGATAGATTTTTATGTCACTATACTCGCCGGTTGAGTACAACTTTACCAGCTTCCCCACATCAATAGGGAAAGCACTTGGGAACATAAAACCAGATAACGGGTGAGAAATAGGACACGAGAGTGTGACTTTTCTGCAGGGGTCAAATGCTTTTTTGCTCAATTTTAAATGGTCTATACTTTCTTCACACTGTCTCACCAATGGCATCACTTCAAACTTAGAACTTAAATCCCGCAATGGAGCAAGTTCGGATTCCAAAATCTATATCAAAAACAAAAGGTTCAAGGAAATCATGACGAAGACAAAGAATCTCTATGTTTAGTTAAAAAAAAAGAAGGTTCCTAACAAATCATTTAACCTGGCAAAAAGGGACAATTACGTTAAGGGAAGAGGATATAAGAAATTGTACCTGACTTCGTCCAGTATAGATATATTGAAGAAGTGCATGAAGAATCGGGTATGATACTCCACGAAGTTGAATGACATCCCCATCTGATGATCTCAAAGGAAAATTACCCGATGCTTGTAATATAACCTTGTGAGCAGGGATATCCATTTCCTCTTCACCAACAAGAAAGATTGTGTCAGATAATTGCCAACTCTCCAAAAAATTCCCAAGTCCCCATTGTTCATAATCATAACCAGTCCCTTCCTCCACAAACTTCTCGTCACCAGACTCATCTCCTTTAACTTCACGGCAATCCACTTGCTTCCAAAGCAAGATATGATTGTGTGTCACAGGAAAGACACTCACGTTTCTATATCCAACATGTTTATCCCAGCTGCTCAGACCAACATACTGGACATTACAATTGGGCTTGGGGTCTTGCCACTTAAACACCAGGTTCTGAAACGGATACCGACCTTTACCAATGCTAATCAACCCATCATAGATACTAATCCAGTAACTCTCAAACTCCAAAGAACAACGACAAAGATCAGAAGCTTCCTCATCGACCACAGATTTCCCATCTACCTGAATCTTCAACCTACGATTCCTATTGCTACCAATGATAACAATGTAATGAGGACTATTATCTTTCTTATAATGGTAATGTTGAGTCCCCACATTCTCTCTGAACACCACCGTGACATCATTGTGAGCAAACGCATCAAACGCAACACAACCTCTTCCCGCCTCCCGGAACTTCAGATCATCACTCCACGCACACTCGAAAGGTGCCACCGTCAGAAACTTGTTCTCTTTCGCCGCAACCATCTTTCTTCATAAAACTTCTTGCTTATTCCTACAATATATCCAAACCCACAAGCCATCAACCTCTATATAACCAAAGACAAAGACACTAAAACCATAAAAAGAAACAAAATTTCACTCATTCAGACATTTCAACAAACACATAGATGATGAAATCAACTAAACTCACTTGTGACAAAACCCAGATCACAGCTAAAAGATTACGTTTTGAGAAGACAAATAACAAACGGGTTTTTAAAAAGGAACGTTATTTTCAATGAATCAACTAGAAAACAATCAACTTGGCAAAAAAATCTGAATCCAACTGGCTCGTACCCCACCGTGAACTTCCGCCGTCAAATCTCAACCACAACGTGGTAATAAAACACGAGAAAAACAATGAAAAAAAGATCAGATGCAGAGTACATCAACTTTTAAATCGAATAAAGACAAAGATTTGAAGAAATATAATCAGAAGCTACAAAAGGAAAAAAAAAAATGGGTGATTTGATCAAAATCAGATATTTAGATGTGTGGATAAAATTATACGAGCTTACCTAATGAACTGTCGTGACACGTGATCATGAGTCAGATCTAATCCATTTTGGAAAGAAGAGTCAAAAAAGGAAATCAGAGAAACGAAAACGAAGAAGAAGACATGGTGAGAGATATTTTTGTGTCAGGAGAAACGAGTTGGTGGATTATTGTCACTTGTAGATTAATGGGCCAACTTGATCTGTATAAGGCCCCATTATATTCTGCAACTTGAATTAAACCTTTTTTTTCTTTTCTTTTTTGGCAATGAGAAGCGGATAAGCGGAATCGAAGCGTTTAATAGTATAGAAGCGGTTTTTGAAAAGAAGTAAAATTAAGAAAAATATACGTGTTGAAATTGTTGTATATGTATGAAATATGTAAAAAGTAAGACCATATTAAAAAAGTTTTTACATAAAACACAAATCTAATACATCAAATTTAAATAACTTACCTAAAATGGTTGAAAGTAAAAGAAATTAGATTTTTTTAAAAAAAATAGATCATAATTTTCATTTTTATTTTTCTCTACCATATCAATCATCTCGAACTGTGTCATCAAGTACTATTTCATTAGATAAAATTGAATAATTTTCACCCTTACATGTGTTTTTTATAGATAAAAGAAAAATATTAATAATATTCATTAATGCAAATCACTAAATTAGTTTTTATATAAAAAAAAATTAAAACTAACCTTATGCTTCCTATTTTTTACATATCATACGCTATTCAAAAGTAGTATTTTTAGCGTAAAAAGTAGTATTATTTAGACAAAAAAACAAAAAAGGTAAGAATTACAATTACTAATGATTTCTCAAAAAGTGTTACTAATGTGAAGTATTAATTTAATTTTCCCGTTCAATTTCAATAAATGGGTTTTACAAATTATAATAAAATCATTGAGTCAAACTACAATTTGATACCTTTTCGGTTGAAATGTTTGTATACTTTTTGGACTTGTAGTCTATTCCTAAAATGGAATCTCGAACTCAACTTTGTCTTGAAATGAGTTTCATTCATTGTGCTTAATACATTGTTCCAATATGATTCATGTACTTCTCAGCTCAAAAACTCAGAACAGAATCCAACATTCTTTATCCCTAATCATATTTTGAGTTACTTAGCAACAATCTCCACATTCAAATAGCACCAAACCAAATAATAATAAGCGAACTTGAGAAAAAAAAAATACATAGCCAGAAACAAACTTTTAATCATTAAGAGCAATAAACTTAAGAGTCTTTGACAAATCCTACATTAACCCCTTTACTCAAATCCAACAATTGCAGCAAGCTCTCGCAAGCAAATCCACCCCAACAACAGCACTTGCCCCAATCATATATCACAACATTGCAGCAATCCCAAACCCGATCATCGCGCACAAAACATAACATACATGAGAAGATTTTTGCTGGACCATAAAGGTAAAAGAGAGTTAAGTTGTTATGGCTTGAGATGGCAATTTCGGGTGGTTATGCTCTGCTTCATAAGTAACAATAAGCATTGCCGGATCTTCCAAACATCTCTCAACATGCTTCCTCGCTGGACAACCTCTCATGCTACTACATTTGTAATATCCCCTGCACACAGAAAATTCAACACAACACTTCTTAAAAAGACTCACAGTTGTGTCATCTCTTAGCCATTTCTAGACCCTTTAGTCTCTATGAATCTCAGCTCATCACACAACTCAAAAGCCTTGAACACTTATAAAAGAATGGTTCTTCGCATGTGATCTCAATCTTTTTTATCTCCACCAGGAGTTCTTAAAATAACAGAGAATGATCAAGAAGTGTATACCTGGGATAAGGAGAGCCTTTGATGGGTTTCTGACCATATTTTCGCCATGAATAATCATCAGGAGGAATATCTGCAACCTTGTTACTTATAGCGGGTACTCTGATCGATCTCCTAACCCGATGTTTCCTGTCAATTTTTCCAATCAGATTAATTTCACCATCTTAGTTAAGAGAGGCTATGAAAACGAAACAAAAATATGCAACTGACCTCTTCTTAGCGCAGTGGCATCGGCTAGAGCTCCCGCATTTTAAGCCTCCATGTTCATCTCCTTTCAGGGGGCATTTCCTCTTAGAGTGTAGTGAATTCTGATCCGTTGAACTCGGAACCCCAACCAAATGAAACGAGTTCTTTCTTTCTATGTTAGCAACACTACCATCTATGCTAAGTGAAGAAACAAAGGACCTAGTAGATGACATGGTTGGAGTACAACTCGAGTTATCGAAACTCAAACTTATCCCACCATTGCATTTCCTAAGCATAAGCTCAGCTTGATGTTTCTGCAGCTGCTGCTGCTGATGAATATGGTGAGCTTGTAACCGTTCATGAAACTGCTGCTGCTGTTGTTGTTGCTGTTGTTGTTGTTGTTGTACTGGAAACAAAGTAGGATAATTCGAAGGAGGCATTGTCTGCTGGTTAAGCTGAAGGAGAGGAGCTTTAGCATTTGAGTTTAAACTGAAAGAGCGAGTCCCTAAAGTGAGTGATGAATCTGAAGGTTGTCTCAAGCTCAATTCCTGGAAACCAGACCGGAGTACCGGTGTTTTCTGAGACGATGATGATGGAACTTCTGTTGTTCTTTGTTGACATGGATCAAGGAAGAGGCTTTGAGACAAATTAGTCTGAACTTTCTTAGCTCTTCTAAACCTAGCATGACCCACACTACTGCTTAACAAACTCCCAACTCTCTTGAACCTAACCACAGCTTCTCTAGTTTCAGACACCAAATTCCTGTCAAACCCAACACGATCTTCTTGTTGTGGTCTTTGTAAAAGATTAAGAACCCTATGACAACTCTCTACAGCTGCTCTGTTTGTTCCTTCTATCTCCTCCATCTCTTAACCAACCCTAAGAACCCTAATTTTCCCCTGAAAACAAAAATTCCACTCACAAGACTCAAGAACAGAAAATGGGAAAGACCCAAGTAGTCAAGTTTCAAGCTTTACACAAACCCATCCCCAAAGAAGTTCCCTTTCTTAAGCTTGAAAGCTCTGAGTCTCTTATAAGAAGAAGATCAAGGTTAAAAAAGAGGAGGAATTGAGAGAAAGAGAGAGAGAGGGAATGAAGAAGAAGGAAAAGTAAGAGGGTTCCTTGGATGCTTGTAGAGCTAAAAAGAGGGTCAGTGTTAATGAGTTGTCAAACCCAAGATTCCTCCACCATCTTTAAAGGAGAGGTTCGAGAAAACGAAAGGTGTGAAAGAGAAGACTTTCTTGCACACACACACAGACACTCTCTCTTCTCTCTCTCTCTAAGTTGGCTTCAGCAATCACTCAACCAAAAGAAAACAAAAATTGAAAGCATCCTTATGAATTTTTTTTACCCCAAAACAAAACAACACAGTGAAACAAATCATTTTATTAAAAAAAAAAGACAACTTTATTTTTGGAAAAGCAAAGAGAGGAAAAAAAGGAGAGAGAGAGAGAACGAAACCGGCGTCTGTCACAGATTCAGAGGTGGGTCCTACTCGAAGACTCGGGTCGTAATTATTATTTTTGCAATTTAGGTTTTTTTCTTCTTCTTACATATATAAAACAAATCTAATTTTCTGACAAGAAAAATAACTAATCAAATTTAGCATCATCATACTTAGGACATTTTGTTGACCTCTATTATCTAAAGATTTTTTGCATATAATACCGTATTGTTTTCTTTTAATTAAATAGATCTACGACTTGTTTTTTCATAGTTATCCACGAATTTAATTAAAGAGTGAAAGTTAATTTCCAAGTTTATGAATTATGATAAAGTAACTTGACAAAAAAAAAGTTTTTGATTAAGTAAAAGAAAAAGTAGTATTAGCTTCTTTTTTTTTGGCAGTTTCTAACGGTTACTTAGTACACTTGAGGTGTCTTTTTTCTTCTACGGATCAATGATGTGTTTTTAGCAGAAGTGTTGATAAATGTAGAAAAATATCTACTAACAAACATTTTGACGATTACATATCTAGATATTGCTAAATTTGTACATGTTTTTGTGTATTAGAACCTTTTTTCTATCTATTAATCTAACATTTCAGCAGCCATTAGTTATGAAATTCCAATTTGTTATTGTTGAGGGTAATTTTTATTTTTTACGTATAAATCAATTACAAGATTATCTTGTGCGCGTCTAGTTAATAAGGAATATATCGAAAATCTGCTTTTAAAATTAAAGTGACGGATATCATCATTATTAAGCGACAAGAGAATTTACATATACATCATATGTAAGACAACTGGTGATGAACGAATCATACGTTACTTTCGAAGCAGCAGTAAGAAAGACATCGTGACGCCAACTAGTCAAGTGTGTCTGTTCTAGTAACGTTTGTTTGGGGAACTAGCCACGCTAAGTCTAATTCACGTGTAGTTCTTGTGGTAGAAAATCAACAAATGGATTAAAGTATTGTTGGAGATTCAAATCTGGTTGAAGTAAAACCCTATTAATACCTCACTATTGCTTTTTCTTGTGATCTCAATGTAACCGCTTTTAAATGTAAAAATAGTCCGCCATCTGAATTAAAGTAACGCACATCATTATCATTAAGCGACGAAAGAATTTATATATTCATATACAAGACAAATTGGTGATGGAAGAATCGTACGTTACTTATGAAACGTGAAGAAGACATCGTTACGTCAACTAGTCAAGTACGTTTGTTCAAATAACGTATGTTAGGGGAACTAGCCGTGTCGAATCTAATTCACGTGTGCTATCGACAAGTGGATAATTTATTCGTCCATAAAACATATACCCACAATTCAAATCTGGTAGAAGTAAAACCTTATTAATACCTCAATATTGCTTTCTCTTGCAATCATAATAAATGTTGCTAAATGTAGAAAAATATCTACTAACAAACACCACAGCGATTCCAATACTAGATATTGGTAAACATGTAATTTTTGAGTATCATAACATGTTTCCCATATATCAATCTAACATTTTAGCATCCAAAATTTGTTATGAAATTTCAATTATTCTTGTTGGAGATAAATTTTATTTGTTAGGCATAAATCAATCACAACGTGATATGTGCATGCTTAGTTAATAGGGTATCTATCGAAAATCCGCTTTCTGAATTAAAATAACGCATGTCATCATCATTAAGCGACAAATGAATTTACACATTTCACCATCATGTGCTAGACAGTTGGTGATAGACGAATCGTACGTTACTTTAGAAACAGTATAAAAGACAATTACGCCAACTCGTCAAGTGCGCTTGTTCTAGTAACGTCTGTTAGAAGAACTGGCCGCGTTGAATATAATTTATGTGTGCTTTGTGTGAAAAATCGACAAATAGATAATTTATTCGTCCATAAACAATGCCCAAGATTCAAACCTAATTGAAGTAAAGCCCTAGTAATAACTCAATATTGATTGCACTTGAAATCTCATTACAACAGTTTCTGATTAGCACATTTGACGTGTCTTTCCCTTCGACGGATTTTTGGTAAAGTATCTTAGGTATTTAGCAAAAGTATATGAACTCTTTATTAATGGAATATATGGAAAATTCGTTTTTCCAATTAAACTATCGCACTCAGCATTAAGCGAAAAAAGTGTTTACACACTTTATCAATCATGTGCAAGACAATTTGTGATGAACGAATTATACGTTACTTTCGAGACAGTAAGAGAAACATTGTTACGTCAACTAGTCAATTATGTTTGTTCTAGTAACGTATATTAGGGGAACTAGCCGCGCAGAATCTAATTCACGTATAATTTTTGTAGAAAATCGACAAATGGATAATTTATCCGCCCATAAAACAATGATACAAGATCCAAACCTAGTTGAAGTAAAACTCTATACATAACATACCAAGTGATTTTAACTATTTTTGTGTGCAAATTTATTGATTTCCCAGCAGTTCGCTTTTCGGAAATATCTACAAATAAATGCAAAAAGACAACCAAATTTCTGTCAAAATTATGATTTAAAAAATAAATAAGAAAACTCAGCTTTAATTTTACATTATGTATAAAATTGTTAGAAAAAAGGTACACTTCATGAATAAGTTTTTTTGTTTTGTTTTGTTCCTTTTACTTCTCAATAATGCCTAAGTCATTCGATTCACAAAGATTCCGTGTACTTCTCCATTTAGTCCAAACAAGGAAACAAATGGTTATAGAAATGACAACATTATCCTATCATACATTCAAATGCCCAAAAAAGGACACAATCTCCTTAAAAACAGCCATTTTTGAATCTTCTTGGATAACAAACAAAGTGTCTGTCTCACACCATTTTTTCAAGATTGTAATTAAATAAATATAAATTGTTAAGTTTCTTTCTACACAACACATTCCACTGCTCCTGCACTTTTCTTCTTCTTCAATGAATAATGCTTTAGTTGTTGCATTCAGGGAGCTTCCGAGAATAAACTAGCACCATTACAAATTCCTTTGCAGAGGAACCTATTGACGCAGCGACTCTTTGATGCTTAGAAGTTGTTTCCAACCATAGCTCTACTAAGCTGTGAAGCTGCAACGTTGGGATCACTGGTTCTCCCATACATTTTATCTCTACCTGTTTAAGAAAAAAAAACATAATCGGGTGAGCTTTTTAATCCACTAGATCCTCAATTTCTTGTTAAAGTTAATATAGGCATTTCCATGGTTCAAAGAATCAAGCCAATGGTTAGAAAAGTCCAGATCAGATATGACTCGCGATACGCAAGCAGGAAACAAAAAGGGAGAGTTGATTGTAGTTCTAACATTTAAGGATCTTAGTTAACCAACATTTAAGGTCATTGTCTTATTTAGCTTTATGGACCGGTGAGACTCATTAAGCCATGATCACGCTATAGGTGTGGCTCGTGAGTCATAAAAGTTTCAAGGTAATACCAACAGTTACGGACTTTTTCTAGTCATCCTAGTAAGCACAAGAATTGACTCGATCTATAGAACTACAATCTATGGAAACAGAATAGTAAGTTCAAAAAAAAAAAAGGTTGGTTACCTCAGCTTCACTCTTGAGATCAAGCTTCCTCATAAGGTACTTTTGGATAAACGAAACTGGAATATTTCCATCCCTACCATATAATGAGACAGGGGATCAACTCTGGCACAATATAATTCTCCCAAACAAAAAAAATAGACACCCCCCAGTCAAGAATTATGTGTGATGAGCCAAAAAAGAAGAAGGCTTTATCAATAAACGTATACCACATAAAACAAACATAACATGGAAACTCTGGGTACAACAACTGCGAAATGGAATAGATAACCATAAACCCAATGAGTCACAGTTGACATATAAAAACTTAGTGACAAGAAAACAGAGCCAAGCAAAAAGAGAAACTTACTTTATTCTCAAGTAGTTTGCTGGAATCTGAGGCAAGGATGCTTCTCCTTCCCTGAAACCAGTAAGGCCTTGTCAAGATACCAAGAGATAAAAACGAAAAGACAAAGAAAATCTTGAATTAAAGCTCAGATACAGAACAAGAATCTCACTGATTATTTGACGCCACAAGTGAGAACCAAACATGACCATTTCTCCTCTCCTGTTTTAGGCTTGCTGCACCTGGTAATGGTGGAATTCTTGAATCCCCAAAATTGGATGACCTTTTGCGGCGAGTCCTACGCGTTCGTTTAAGTGTAGCAGTTTCTGATGTTGTGGGATCACCGTTATTGTTGATCTCTTCCTCAAGTTTACACTTTCTTTTATGATCCTTTGTTTTTGTTTTACTCCCCTGAACATCATTGTGAGATGCATTTCCATGCTCAGATTTTGGGTCCTTTGTTCCGTTTGCCACATCCACAAGAAAATTTAGAGGTTTCCAAAGATGTAATTTGGAATCCCATGGTTCATCAACATCCTTGTTTCTTCGATTTGAGAGGGACTGGTTAGGCTCGGCATATGAAGACTGCAAAAAAAAACAATTAATAAATAAATAAATGTATGGAACTATATGAAGATCAAAATCAGTCATAACATTGTGTTTGGACTTGGTAAAGAGAGAAAATAAAAACATAAAGGTAAAGAGAGAACTGCGTTAATCACCTTCTTTACCTGCCTTTTATTCTGAGTAAACTTTTTAAGTGTTTCAGGCGAGCTTGCGCTCTCTATATGATCATCTCCAAATTCTTCTTCCTTCTTCACTGTTCTCTTAGTGAATGAGCCACTACCTCTTACATCTTTTCTCGTAGCAGCTTTTGTTCTTTTTCCTGTTGTACCAGCTTGTGCTGAAACCCTAGGTGTGCTTACCACCAAAGACGAGATAGACCTCTCCTTCCTCCTTGCAGGTAATGTGATAGAGGACACAACTTCAGGCGCTCTCTCTCTCTTTCGTTTTAGAGGAAATAATTTGGCTCTCAAATCTTGCAAAATGTGGTCAGGCCTAAAATGCATACATAAGAGTGGTTTCTTAGAAAATGTTTAAATTCGCCACCAACAAAGCTCTTATTGGTGACCAGCTAGTAAGAGAGAGTATAGTTCTAACAAAAATTGTTGGTGTCAGCAAAAGTATTACACTATCCAACACATAAGTGATTCTGAATCAAATGACTTTTCTTAATAACTTCACATTATGCCACAAAAATTATGGGAAAACCTTCCATATGTGGCACATCTCAGCATAATCATGTACAAATCTTCAGCATTATGTAAAAAATTTTCGTTTCATCAACAGTAAGAGCCAAAAGGCTTCTAACAGTCTATGGTACAAATATAATAGTTATGAATTTTAGCGGACAACAGTAAGAGAAAATTGTGTAAGAAATAGAAGAGAAGAAGACTACCTTAGTTTCTCCAGTGGGGTACCCCCGAGGTCAATATCGCATACTGGACAGCTCTCTATCTCATCCTCTGTGATTTTCTCATATATGCATTTTCTACAAACTGCATAAAAATTAAAATAAGAAATTGTCGCATTTCAATATATAGTAACTATCAAGTAAGAACAAAATCTCTTGTAACAAATGCGACCAAATTACATAAAAACAAAAGTTTAACTAAAAAAATGAATAGCATAATGTTTGAGGCTCAATGCAAGCTGGCTCGCTGCCAAGTTTGAAATTTATTAGATACAAGTTTAGATTCTCAGACTCCTTCCACCACATCCATTGTAGCAATGCCAATTGTCATGGCAGAAGCTTGTAGACAAGTGGTTCATTAGCATCATCCAGTTTGGTTTTAAAATCATGTTCATCTATAGCTAACAACCTAAGCAAAAGAGATGGCATCACAAAATTGATGAGGATACTGCATGCATCCCCTGAAACAAAACCGTGAAGAAACGAGAACACCTAATTTTGGCACTGCAGTAACTCAAAAAGGGATTCTGCACTATGCAGACGTTCTGAAGATTAAAGAATTGAGAAAAGGCTGCTAGATTCACATTAACTTCCGATGTTAAAAGGAAGATGCTCAGTTGTGCAGTTTAACCACACTGCTAGCATTTAACTTTCATACATCAGATGATATGAGCACATCAATCAGATTTACCTAACAAGTGTAATTTAGTCAACCCCTACAATTACAGAATGACATCTGCATATATTTGTTTGACCGGTTTGGCCATCAGAGTAAACACGGTAAATTTCTCCGCAAACAGTAACAAAGAGCTGGTTGTGTAGAGTTTGGATTTGTAGATCGATTTAGTCTCCAAAAGGAATATAATTTAAGATTTAAATGAAACACAGAGTGCAGTAAATAGTTCTACATGCAGGAAGATCACTAATACTCTGGACTATATGAAAACAAATTAAGCAAGTACAAACAGAAAATGATCGAAACTATCTTAATTGTACATTAATATCCCAGAGAAGAAAGAGGCTGATAAACGCTACTTAATACAAATATCAACAGACATTAAACCAATAAGAGCAGATTAAATCACATATTACTTGAACTTTATAACACAAAACTTACAAGTTGGATATAACAAAGAAGCTGAATCTAACTAACAACATGCAGCTACAATACATGATTTAACCAAAACCAAATTCAAGAAGAAGCCTAATTTGGACGGCATGAGTTTGACCACATACCATCTTTGACGAAGAAAACACTCAGCAAAAATTTACCTAAACAGAGGAACAAATGAGGATTCTTGCAGTCTAAATGTAAACAAATTCTGGTCAACAACAACTATTAGTCCAAACAAAACTATTCATTGACCCGAGTTTCATCTAATCGACTGAGACAGAGGAGATTATAAGTGGCATACGAGACTAACAACAAGAATCATACAAAGATTCAACACATAACAGCAATCTAAATCAACATGAAGCAAAAAAAAAAAAAAAAAAACACAAACACAACAGAGAACCAATCAAAGAACGATAAAGACGAGAAATTGCGAATAGCAAAGGAAATTGGAGTAAAAGCGAATCGAAACGTAAATCGAAAAGGGGAAAGAAGAACTAACACGTGTGAAGACACTCAGAAATGGTAGTGGCGTCACGGAGGAGTTTCTCACAGAGAGAACAAGTCATGCATGCCACCACCGTTTCTCTCTTCACTTTAGCCACCATGTCTCCTTCCATTGCTCTCTTAACGACTCTTTTAAAGCCTTAAAGTCTGTTGAGTCGATGAATCGCACGTACTATCCCCAAAACTGCATGTAGAAGAAAAACGACGACCCACAAGAAAAAGAACCCAGATTTACGTTCACAACAACTCTCGTGGGTGATACCTACATTCAAATCCAAATCCGATAGAGACTCGAGACTGAATTTAGCCGAAAAGGGTCGAGGAGAAGCGGAGTTAAAGAAGTCTTAATCGGAAGATATAGAGTGATGAAGAAGAGTCGACGGAGAGAAGAGCTTGGAGAAGGGAGAATCTGGGGATGAGAGAAGGATAAAAATGGAGATAGATTCGGAGGATTAGGGTGAGTATAAAACTGAGGAGGAGACGATCTGAATCGAGGAAGAAGAAGAAGAAGAAGAAGGTGAAGATTGAAGAAGGGTCTCTCTAATAAAGAGAGGGTCTTCGTGTTGAAGAGAAGAATGAAGAGAAACGATACCGTAAAGAGTAAAAGACGTTTCTTCTTTTTCTCTCTCTCTTTTTTTTTTTTTTTTCCTTTTTTTCGCCAGTTGTGTAAATGGGCTTTCCCGAGGTGAAACAATGGTGATGGGCTTTTTCCTTTTTTTTTTTTTTTTTTTTACTTGAGTTTCTGCGGTTTTACTCTTTTTTTTTATATAAGATAAACCTTATACTTTTTTTGTTTCTTTGACAATTTGACATCATTAGGGAATACTTGGAAGTGGAACTAGAGAAAAAGTTAATCAAGTCATTAACAAATTTTAAACAATGAAGAGGAGGAATCAATTACACTTGACAGAGTATTTGGTTCTCAATGATTGAATTTGTAATTTAAATATATATACATAAAGTTTACAAGAAAAGACCAGAAACATTCAATGATATTTCCATTAATGAATTCTAATAAATAATGTAAAATCTATATGTCCAAATGTTTTCTCAAGTAAATTTCTTCTAAATATTTGTCAATCTTATCATGTCAAGTCAAGATTCGTTGATGTCTAATTTATAATGTGGATGTCAAATTCATAATAGATATTTTGGAAGATTAATCTCTCATGCATTTTTTTTTTCTTCGAGAAGTTCTGAAAATGGCATAAACTGAAAAAAAAAAACAAATACATCTTATCAAGGTAGGTCGCATACCTCCCGCAAAAACACACAATTTTTATGGAAGATCGACAAGTAAATAATTTATTTGTCCATAAAACAAAATTCAAAAATTCAAACCTAGTTGAAGTAAAACCTTATTAATACCTCAATATTGCTTCCTTTTGCAATTATAATGTAACAGCTGCTAAATGTAGAAAAACATCTACTAGCAAACACTACACCGATTCGAATACTATATATTGGTAAATTGGTAATCTTTTTGAGTATTATAACTTCTTCACATATATCAATCTAATATTTTAGCATCCAAAGTTTGTTATGAAATTTTAATTATTTTGGTTGGGGATAAATTTTAGTTTTTACGCATAAATGAATCACAACATAATATGTGCATGTTTAGTTAATATCTATAGAGAAATTAAAGTGATACACATCACCATTAAAGCGACAAAAGAATTTACACATTTCGCCATCATGTGTAAGACGAATCGTACGTTACTTTCGACACAATTAAAAAAACGTTTTAACACTAATTCGTCAGCTACGCTAGTTCTAGTAATGTATGTTAGAAGAACTAGCCGTGTTGAATCTAATTCCCGTGTTCTTTTTGTGAAAAATCGACAAATAGATAAATTTATTCGTCCATTAAACAATGACTAAAAAAATGTTGTACATAACATTCAACACCACATAATAGAGACCAATCAAATATAAAACTCATCCACAGAAAAACAATTTCAATTTCCAAATTCGACCTCAAACATTCAGGTTGTTCCTCCAAAGTCCAAAGTACAAAAGCCGTGAATTTCCCACTCTTGAAAATCAATGACTGTACACTCTATCCACGTGTCAAAACATCAATGGTGGCTTGAGAGAATTGTCCACTAAGCCAATCAAAAGAAGACAAATCGTAGTAACTTTGCTTGCACATGTACACCGCGCCGCACTAGATCCGTATCGCCTCCAGGTCGCAACACTTGATATCTCAACATTGATCCTCGCCGTATAAAAATAAAATAAATACATTGATTTTTAATTTATTTTTTTCTGAATTAAGTGGAAAAAAAAAGAGCAGAAGTCTCTAATCATGCACGAGGAAGCTCTGAATCTCCCAGATATGAAATCGTAGAAACAGACTCTCTCGCATTGCAGAAGAATCTGAAAACCCTAATCTGTTCATCGTTTTCTTCAATTGCTTGTTGAAGAAGCAGAGAATCTCCGAGATCTGTGTGTTCTCTCCCTCTGGGAATGTGCTTCTTCTTCTTCGTGGAGAACGATTAAACGGAAACGGAGATAAATATATGAAGCGTTTTCTGAGAAGTGACTCACATTGATGAATCAAGTTCGTCGTTGGCAGAGGATTTTGATCCTCTCGCTGCTATTATTATCTGTGTTAGCTCCGATTGTTTTCGTTTCGAATCGGCTCAAGAGTATTACTTCCGTCGGTGAGCTTCTTCTTATTCGGTTTCTTGAATTCAATGTCTATTTTAGTATTGCAGATGTTAGATTGATGGATATCGCCTTAGTATAGTGGAACATCATGTGTAGAGTTACTTGATTGCGTTAATTAGATCTCTGAAATTCGCTATTGGCTTTACCTTTGTTTGATGTAGACTCAGCTTTTGATTTTGAATTTGTTTACTGATGTCTTTTGGCAGATAGAGGAGAATTCATTGAAGAATTATCAGACATTGTACGTATTTCCTGACCTATAAGATCCCTGTTTTATTCTGTTCTAATCATCACCAGGAACTCTTCGATATTGCTGTTTAATTGTGCCATGATTATATATGGTAGCTTTGCTTATTATCGGATTCATTTTCTCAAGAAATGAATAACTGAGATGCTGCTACCTTTATTCTGCAGACATATAAGACCGATGATCTTGGACTTACTGCTATTGAACAGGTTCTGTTTGTTGCCACTCATCTCCATAAACCTTGTTTAATCTTTCATTTTGTTGAAGTTTGGTTGCTTTGTAATTCAGGACGAAGAAGGCTTGAAGGAGCCTAAACGCATTCTGCAGGATCGAGATTTTAATTCTGTGGTTTCATCAAATTCCTCGGATAAAAGTAATGATACTGTGCACTCTAATGAGGGAGACAAAACAACCTTTCTCTCAGAAGTTGATGGGGGTAATATATATTGGATCTTGTGTTATTTTGATTTGTTTTCATTATCGTGGAAGCTTTCTTATCTGTAGATACCATGTATTTCAGGAAATAATCACAAACCAAAGGAGGAAGAAGCAGTAGTTTCACAGAAAACCACAGTAAGCTCGAATGCGGAGGTGCGTAGTTTAATCCAGTCGATTTTGAAGATAATAACGAACTTGATTAGGGATTAGGTTTTGAAGCAATTGACAATGAGAATTCTAGTATCTTATTATCAAATCACAGGACACTTTCTCCCATGGGCTTTGCCACACTTATGTATAGGAAACTGAATTTAGACTTTGCATCGAGATAGTCAGTCAGATCATATGCTTTAATTTTGCAATGTCTGTTCTTTTTCCTGTCTCAGGTTAATCTTTCAGCAAGAGATATTCAACTTAATCATAAAACGGAATTCCGACCCCCTTCAGGTAAGAGTGAAAAGAATACAAGGGTTCAGCTTGAAAGAGCAACAGATGAGAGGATAAAGGAGATCAGAGACAAAATTATCCAAGCGAAAGCCTATCTGAACTTGGCCCTACCTGGGAATAACTCCCAAATCGTAAAGGAATTGAGAGTTCGAACGAAAGAGCTGGAACGAGCTGTCGGTGATGCTACTAAGGATAAATATTTGCCAAAGAGGTAAGCACAGCTGATTGATTCAAATGGATTCCTGTTCTATCCTGTAAAAAGCTCTGGCATTTAATTATGAAGCTAAATCATAATGAATATTGTGTTAATTTAGAAGAGTCATACATAAATGTTTTGTTTCTTTTCAGCACTCCTAACAGATTGAAGGCCATGGAAGTTGCGTTATACAAGGTCAGTCGTGCCTTTCACAACTGCCCTGCCATTGCTACCAAACTCCAAGCCATGACTTATAAAACCGAAGAACAAGCTCGGGCGCAGAAGAAGCAAGCAGCATATTTAATGCAGCTTGCAGCAAGGACTACCCCAAAAGGGCTTCATTGTCTCTCAATGCGGTTGACAACAGAATACTTTACCCCGGATCACGAAAAAAGGCAGCTTTTGCAACAAAGTTATAATGATCCTGATCTCTACCATTACGTAGTCTTCTCTGACAATGTTTTGGCCTGTTCGGTTGTTGTTAACTCTACAATCTCCTCATCAAAGGTAAATGCTTCACCTTTGTTCTCTTTCTTTCAACATGTTGTGGTTCATTCCTTTATACGCCTTAATTTGATATCTGGACAAATGCTTTAGGCTTCTATTGTGGTTAGTACCATGGGATTTTGTCTGGTTATGAAACTAGGAAAAGGAAGTTACATTTTGTGTGATTTTTTCATTGAACAACTACGGTTTTTTTTATTAACTACGTCTTTTTTTTTATTACTGTTGACAAACTTTCTGTTGTTTTATGTTTTCATGATTCAAAATTTAGGACCCTTATTACTCAAGTATCATTTTAAATCATGTTGCAAGCATCTTACACTTGTTAATGCAAGAGCCATTTTCTGATCAAAACTTTTGGTTTTTAATGCTCGGATGAGAATATTTCCGAATCTCTGCTGAAGCCACATGTCTTTTAACAAATGATATTACTGCTTGCAGGAACCGCAAAAAATAGTATTCCATGTGGTGACTGATTCACTCAATTACCCAGCAATCTCAATGTGGTTTTTATTAAACCCATGTGGCAGAGCTTCAATCCAAATCCTAAACATTGATGAAATGAATGTCCTGCCTTTGGACCATGCTGAATTGCTGATGAAGCAAAATTCAAGTGACCCAAGAATCATTTCAGCGCTCAACCATGCACGCTTCTATCTCCCAGATATCTTCCCAGGTCTAAACAAGATCGTACTCTTCGACCATGATGTAGTAGTTCAAAGAGATCTAAGTAGACTGTGGAGCCTTGATATGACGGGGAAAGTTGTTGGAGCTGTAGAGACGTGTCTTGAAGGTGACCCTTCATATCGTTCGATGGACACATTCATTAATTTCTCAGATGCATGGGTTGCTCAGAAATTTGATCCCAAGGCTTGCACTTGGGCATTCGGGATGAATCTATTTGATCTCCAAGAATGGAGAAGACAGGAGTTGACTTCTGTATACCAGAAATACTTCCACCTGGTACAACATTTTATCCCCTTTTAGTTCTCTGCATCAAGCAAGATTCACACTGTTACCTTGATGAGTTCTGAGTTTATTATATAGAAGAAAAATGGTTATGTCCATCAATAGAAGTAGCACATCTTACTTATTTGTGTGTTGTGAAATTGTTTTTGTTGCAGGGAGTTAAAAGACATCTTTGGAAAGCAGGGGGCTTGCCGATAGGTTGGTTAACTTTCTTCGGGCAAACTTTTCCGTTGGAAAGGAGATGGAATGTGGGTGGGTTAGGTCACGAATCAGGAGTCAGAGCAAGCGACATTGAACAAGCAGCGGTTATACACTACGACGGGATCATGAAGCCATGGCTGGACATTGGTATAGACAAGTACAAGCGCTATTGGAACATACATGTACCTTACCATCACCCTTACTTACAACGGTGCAACATCCACGATTGATTTTTTAAACAAGTTACCACAAAACTTAGATTCAATTCGATTCTTTTCTTCTTTCCAAATGTTATCATTAGCTTCATTCTTTAACGATTTCTTGTGTAAATTTTTGTTCTTTTTGATACAACACACAAAAATTCCTCAGAGCATAATATCAGATTTAGTTCACAGCAACATATATAGTGTTGTTCGTTGGTTGTTATATGTGCAATCTGGATGCAGTTTATCATACTAAACCAGTAGAGAAGAGAGAAAAAGATTGTGTTGGAGGGAAAGAGATGAAATATGACACGTGGAGGGAGCTAATTGGTGGAGTATGGATAGAAGCATATCCAAGTTAGATGGCTTGTGTTGGTTCGGACAGATTTGTTATCCACCACATATTTAGTCGCTATGTTTGATCCAAAAGCCAACACAAGCAAAGAAATTAAAAGTGTTCTTGTTGCTATAGAACACAAACAGAACAAACACAAATCAATTGAAGAGTCTCTCAGTTGTTAGGGGAAGCAAATAGAGAAATGGCTAGCTTTACTGCCTCCGCTTCCACCGTCTCCGCCGCTCGTCCGGCTCTCCTTCTCAAGCCCACCGTCGCCGTCTCCGCTCCTGTTCTTGGTAAAAAGCCTTCCTTATTCTTACTCAGATCTCATCTTTTAGTAGAAATTCATTCTGGTTATGTGCAAAGTGAAAATCTTTGGTTGCTTCTATTTGTTGAGTGATTTTCGGAACATGTAAAGACAGAATCTTACTTTGGTGGTGAATCAACAAGAAGTCAAGAAACAATTTTGATCTAAAGGTTTGGTGTAGTCAGAACTAATCAAAGGAGTGTTGATTTATAGTGTTGATTTTGCTGATTTAGTGTTGTGAGTTTAGACCAAGCTTAGTTTTGTAACCACAATAAACCAATTTTGATTGTAACCACTTTAACTGGATTAATTATTGTTGCTCAGGTTTGCCTCCAATGGGTAAGAAGAAGGGAGGAGTGAGATGCTCAATGGAGACAAAGCAAGGAAACGTCTCAGTCATGGGGGCTGGAGTTTCAGCGGCTGCAACTGCTGCTTTGACAGCGGTGATGAGCAATCCCGCGATGGCTTTGGTCGATGAGAGGATGTCGACGGAAGGAACAGGATTACCTTTTGGCCTAAGCAACAACCTCTTGGGTTGGATTCTGTTTGGAGTCTTTGGTTTGATCTGGACTTTCTTCTTCGTCTACACTTCATCTCTCGAGGAGGATGAAGAATCTGGTCTTTCACTCTGAAGAATCAAATCTTCTTCTTCTCGTTTCCATTTTCATGTGAGAACATGAATTAAAAAGTGTCCGTTTCTAGTTTCTTGTAATTGTTAAGTAAAGACTAAAACTATTTTCATGTGTGTTTCCTCTCATTCTCTTTATCTTGTCACAACAATGATGAGGAGGAGATTATGTGATTATTAAATATCATGCATGACATGTTCATCAAAACCAAACAATTTAAATGGATGAACTCGAGAAGCCCATAAAGATAAACAAAATTAGCTCATTGTTTATTTTCGGAGTCTCTTGAGAAACTGGTTTAACAGTAGTAGTACTTAGTATTGATATTCAAGGCAGCTATGGACCATATATATAAATAAGACAAATAAAGCAAAACCTCATTTATTCATTCATTAGATTTGGTAATAGTAACCACATTCACTGCATAGACATGGAATACAGACCAAAATCACTTGTTACCCTGTCCACTACCATGCAGATTATCAAAGTAACCTTTAGGGTCACTCTCAAAGTTGTCTCTTGAAATGTAAGAAGATCCATTGCTCCCTGGCGCAACCATGTAGCCGCCTCCTCCACCACCACCACCACTGCCTTTCCCTCCTCCTCCACCGCCACCGCTACCGCCTTTCCCTCCTCCTCCACCACCACCACCGCCGCTCCTTCCTCCACTGCCACCACCGCCGCCACCACCTTTCCCTCCTCCACCGCTACCTCCTTTTCCTCCCATGCTTTGAAATCGTAGATCTTAGTTTGACTCTTTAGAAGTTTTTAAGATTTTGTGTTAATGAGAAATGAGAGTGAAAAGGATGGGGTATTTATAATAGGTAAAAATTACAAATGCATGGTCAAAACCAATCTTTCCCAATAAAAAAGATTTAATTTAGTCGTTGCATTTTGATTAACACAACCCAATCGCCTCGTAAACGTAAGTTATATCAAACTATCAATAAGAGACGTTGACCAAAGCATGAAAGTGATGAGATGATTCTAACATTTTTTATTCCAAAAGATGGATGTGAGAAATTTACAAATTATGAAAATGAGTATATTTATATATGTGTGTGTGTGATTAAAGAGGATGATCAAGACGGAGCTGAGAGAGATGGTGGTGGATGTCAGGAGAATGATGATCCTCAGAACGGAGTCGCTCGGCTTGAATCCAACGACCTTCACTATTCCGAACCATTCCTTTGTTTGCGTCTTGACGCCAAAACGGTGGAATTTGTAAGTGCTCTTTCAAAAAGTCGGACGCTTTGTTCACTAGCGCATGGTCTCTCCCACTCGACAGCACAAATCTCTCTCCTTTTCCATGATACCTAAAGTTTCCAAAAAATTATATTTAAAAGCGACGTCAATAGTGTATGATTAGTTGCATAATTTACTAAATCGACAATAATTTACACGTGATATTCGGGTCAATCATATCGCAAACACAAATTAGACGTAATCTCTCAGTATATATAATATTCAAACTATGTACACTAGTTTCTTCTTGAATATTTTAATGTGGATATCGTATCGTCCAAGAAATCATTTATCCCACGGCTTCAAAATTTGTCACTTTGCAGTTCCACAGAAAAATAACATAAAGGCTTTTGGTTAATTAGATTTCTTTTTGTCGAGTTATGCAAATTTTGTTTAAAATTGTTGTGATCTTGAAGCATGGCAACACCACAAAAAAGATTATGATTCATAATTATGAACATGAATATATATAATCTATTTAAAATAAAATAAAAACTGACCCGTCAAGAAGATGAAGCATAGCTTCAAGATTATGAGCAGTAGAAAAATCAACGGACGGCTTAAGAAACGGCGAGTTCTGATGATCCAACGTCAGCTCCTCCCCCACGTGGCAATAACACCACGGCAAACCCTCCGCGATCTTCATCAGCGCGTGAGGCCGACTCTCGTTCAAAAACAATCCCGGCGACTTCGGAACCACGTCGTGAACATTCACCACTCTCAGCACCTTCACTCCAAGCTCCTCCATCCTATCCTTAAACCTAACATTCCCCACTCTCGGTCCTCCGTAAGTCAACACCGTCACCGGAATCACTTTCCCGTTCTTACTCCGATTCAATCCCATCTCCGCTATATCGTACGCGCTTAACATCGCTAACGCGCCACCGAGACTATGTCCCGTCACGGTGATGCTTAAATCGGAATCATCTTCGTCGCCGTATATTTCGACCAGACGCTTCACCTCCGTTAAAATCTGCTCACGCGCGGAGAATTTTGCGAATTTGCAGGTTTTGTCTTTGTCTGTGTAGAGATCTAAGAATCCGGATTCGACTTTAACGGCCGGGTCGGGGCACCGGATATTATTACCGGATACTGGTTTTAAATAATCCTTTAGATCCGCGATCCACTCTAGTTTCGTGACGGTTCCTCTCCACGCAATCGCGATATCACGGCGGCCGAGACGGTTACGAGACGTTTCGTCGTCGGAGACAGCGACGTATCCCATCCAATTAGCGTTTTTGCTCCAAACTTTAGACCACCGTGATTTCGAGAAGAAGTTCGGGAGATTGATATTCGACGTCGCGTAGAGGTAACGCGCCACCTCGTAACCGGAATCGATCATTCCGAGAGAATCGAAGAACTCGAGCCGCGAGAATCTTGAGGTGCCGCAGTATTTGGAAGCGGGATCGAAATCGAAAGCGTCGTAACAAGCTTGAGCCATTTCGCCGTAACGGATTAGCTCCGATCTAAGAATTGGATCCATTGGATCAATTAACCCGGCCCAATCGTCTTCTCCTTGGATCTTACGCCACGTGTCTCTTAGTCTTCTTTCTTCTTCGGTTTTTTTATCTCGCCGGCGAATATCCTCCGCCGTCATCCACCGTTCTCCAACTCCTTCGGCTTCGTCGATTAAACCTTGCCGTTCCCGCCTTTCCCGCTCGAGACGAGAAATCACGGCGGATAAAGAAGACTCGTCGGTTCTGGACAAAGCTCTCGTAGCTACTCTGAATTTGGCGGGAAAATTGATTTCTGAGAAATTGGTATTTAAGGAAGAAGAAGAGTGATGACCGGTTATGGAGTTTTTGTGGTTGATGGTAAGAAGGTTGTTGTGGGAAGGAATAGTCGCCATTGTTGAGAAGCTTCAAAAGCTTGATTTCGAAAATGGTTGAAGAAGAAGCCTTTATAACACATAAAATATCTAAACGTGTTCTTCAACACACAAATGGTAACATGTAATAAAGAAATTGTCCTTGTTTACATACACACTTGATATTATTTATTTTTATTTTATAAGTTATGATCATAGCAAAACTAAAATAATAATTTTTTTTTTTTTTAGAGTTTTGAAGTGCATTGCACAATGATAAAAGACAATATGCAGGCTCTAGGGATTGAGGATAAGGATCTAGTGATCTACATGGTTATTATAATAAAATTACTAGTATAACTATAAACTTTGCAAAATGGTCATTTAGTTGAAATCATAAATTTGGACCACACTTATTAATGTTTTGAAGGTATTTGTTAAATTTTTAGTCTTGATTAAGGCATTATAAAGTTATTCTTGATAATGATCTAACTAATAATTCATTGTTTTTTGAGTTAAGATCTAAACAAAAACTAAGTCGTATTTTATGTCTCTATATTAGTTTGACGAATTTTTTCATATTAAGCTGATTAGTAAAAATATTATCTTTGTTTGTGCTTTTTCTTAGTGAAAAAGACTACAACATTGTTTAATTTTCACTTCAATTAACATAGAGACGACTTTTACATTGTTTTAGTTATATAATTAGTACTATTTTATAATCAAACCACCGGTAAGTGACAAGAGAATTGAATTACTCAACTTGCCGTCAAAAAGAAAAAAAAGAATGACTCAACTCATAATAAGAGTATGCTTTGTGGAAAAGTCATGGACCAATGGCGTTATGGCAACACATAACAAATTGAATAACATCAATTTTCAAGTAGCATTTTCGTATAACATAATACAAATGTACAATATATAACACAAAGTCTAATGTGAATTTGCTGTCAAAGAAAAAAAAACTCTAATGTGAATCCATATCTAGATCCTTCTAATAGTTAAATTTATAAGATTGTTGAGATATTAAAGACATTTTTAATGGTCTTTATAAATGACCTAAAATTGCATATCAATAATTTGACTCCGACCATATATTTACAACAAAACGACAGCTCAATCTCGTCACATTATGAAATGAGAATGAGGTGTCCTTCCCTCGTCACTACTTACTTTATGTTTCATCATAAAATATTTGGACATGTGATTTAATGAATTAATTAGTAATAAAAAAATTAGAGAAAAAATCGCGTGGTAAGATACAAGTAAGACTTGTATTTATTGGTGCATGGTTCATCTGCGAATCCAAAAGAACTCTCAATTTTGTAATTGCATTTCATTTATTTAATTATGATATCTTACTGATTTTTGTAATCTGGTACAGATCAGAATGGATGGATCCATACTGTTTTTTTTTATAGAATATAAAATATATTTTATGTAGGAAAGATTGGATGCTATATAGAGAATCGAGTTCATGCTTTTGTGGAGATTTTGTATGGTGACATCCTAACTCACACATATTTTATATTCTTTTCTGATTCGAAGAAGTTTTCTATGTTATAAATTATATATAGTTCCAAAATCGACCCATTCGTTTTTGTTAGAAATAATTTTTGTGTAAGACTTATTAAACATATGAGATTGTATATGTCATTGGTATGTCACTAGCTAGGAGGTCGCACGTTCATTGTTCTTCTCAGTTTGGTCACAGTCTAGACAATGCATAGTTGCATACCCATTTCTTTAAAACATTTCCGAATGTGAATTTTCTAAATATTTAAATTCTTGTTTATGTTATGAATTTCAATTCATATATATTTTAAAATATATTATATACTGTTTTATTTTCTTAAAAGCTAAACAGCACAGTTTTGAAACCTTCTTTAAAGCTTCTTAGCTTTTGAAACATAAATATATCAATTTGTCGGAAACTTCAGAAAGAAAGATCTGGAACTATGATCATGGCTTATAAGGTAGTTTGTACTAGCTATATGTGTGACCATAATTTGGGTTCAAATCCGAAAGTATGTGTGAGAGTTGTAGATGAAAAATATAAAACAAAGATATATGTTGACTAAAAAAAGTTATTTAAAAAATAGGGTGTGGGTATATATTTAGTAAGATTGTAAGAACAAAGAAATGTGAAAGGAGAAGAGACATATAATTCAAAGGTCAAAGGTCAAATTTTGGAAACTCCAAGTCATGGAATCATGGAACAAATGTACACTATGACATCCTTTCGGCAATTTTCCGGCGTACGGCTCGTTTTCTTTTGACTTTCGAGGTACTTGTTTCAAGCTTCAGTTTATGCTCTATGAAGAGAAAGGAACCGGAAGCGGCATGGACAACAACCAACTTCACCGACGGTGCTTATCCAAGTCATGATTACATCGTACGGAATCGTCTATCTTCCATCAAGGAATTGGGATCAAACCAAACAATTTTTTTCGTTGGATAAATTTTACATTCATACAAAAAAAATGTCAAAAAAAAAACATATATATATATATATATATATATATTTTTTGATGGTGTTTAAGGCAATATAAAAAAACGAATCAAAAGAAGAATCAAGGATATATATATATATATATATATGAAGATGTTTACGGTAGGATCGAATGTATACACCATCATCCTCTATGGCCACTTCTTCAAGTTTGGGTTTCATGATCGTGTAGTGACCACATAACCTCACCTACTCGCCTTTTCCAATCATTAATTATATAGAAAATAAGAAATGCTTTTTACCAAATCCAAAACAAAATATTTCTCTAAAGGGTAAGTCTCGATCTTACGGGAAGCCCTTAGTGGTCGTAAAAGGAAGATAGAAAGAGTGAATAATGACTATTATCACTCTTGTCTAGCCCTTATTTTAATCTGAAATATCATATCTTACTGACACGCGGTTAGAACTAAGAATGTTACATGTTTTTATTTTTGTTTTGTTAACGTAGAAGGTTACATGTTGCATTCTCCATCACCTTTCAGGTAACACAAATTAGCAAGAACGAGATCCTGCTTACTCTTCGGACAAACCCCATCTTCCATGCATGGCAATAAAAAATGTGAAAACTAAATTGACACAACGAAAATTTGGCCCAAAAAATGTCTAAATACCTAAAAAACCCAAACTTTTTGTAGCTGAAATAAAACCCTAGCAGAATCATGTAACGTGGGTTTTTATTAGCTTCCTTGACAATTAGTCTAACCATGGAAGGATCGAGGATGAGCAGGATGGAGTTAGGTTTGGTTGAAAGAATATAAAATTTGATTAACATAAGAGACGGAGCAAAAATATAATTACTAATGATGACAATTAAACATCAAAGTTACTAATGATGACAAAATATACCATTCAATTAAACATCAAAGTTACTAATGATGACAAAATATACCATTCAATTTGTAATGAGAGAGGGTTGGTTAACAGAGATATTTAGATGGCCATATTAGAATCAGAAAGATGAATTCCAAATATGTAGAGATGTTGAGTTTGGAATTATGTTAAGTTTCATGGATTTTTAACTCAAAATCCTTATCTTTCGAGATGATGATTTTTCTGGTCCATCTCGTATTGTGCTCATTTTAGGAATGACAACATATCTTACTTGGACCAAATAAGTTCCATAATCTTTAACCAAAATTAATTGGCAATTAGTATATTGGTTCATGTTATCTATATATTACTCTAGGTCTAATCTTACTTAGGACGTGGGATTTCTAACAGATTCAATGGTCTACTTTAAAGTCTTTAATCAAATAAGTCAAGTGGTAAATAGGAAAGAATCTTGGCAAATTGTTGAAAGAGAAGTGGCACACAAGAGAAACCGATAGGAGTTATTATTCCTTCATGATCAGAAGGAGATTGAGAGAATCTCACAAAGACAATCATATCTTGTTGTATAGTGACATGTTTCAAGAATTGGGTTTTTAATTGTTGACACACATGTACGATCCGATCCATCAAACCCAGCCTGATCTCTTTTTCGTGGCTGCGAACAATACCGTCAATTCAGAGAAGAATAAGCATATCTCTCTGATTATTCCCCACCACTTTGGGCTATCTCACACCCACACCCTTCATCTGAGCATGTTTCTTGAACAAAATAATATTCTTGGAGAGAAAAAGTAGAAGCTTGGTCCACTTAAAATGTAAGATTCTAATCCTCATGCAGAAAAAAGTTGCAAAATATATATATAAACATGTGCGGATGTACCATATTCTCTAGCATCTGCAACAAAGAAACATATGGTCCTGTTCAAATCAAAATGCTCATCTTGGTATCTAGGAGGAAAAAAGGGTAGGTGAATTGTGATTATGCAACTTTTCTTGGTCCTTCCTTACTAATACTAATCTAATATGAATTAAAGAAGAGAACAAAATATTAATAAAGTCACTTTAATGTACTAGGGGAACCTTTAGACGATCTCCTGTGATCTCTCTTTTTTTGGTCTCTAACATTCTTTTCTTTTTTCTTTGTTTGCCTATAAATAGCCTATGATTCAAGTAACTCAAGTCTCAGGCAACACCGAGCTTAATACTGTAGTATATACACACAAACAAACAAAAACACTCTCTTTTCTTCATGCGTTTTCAGTTTTAAATATCTTTCAATCCACTAGGGAAGGAAGATTTTGTTTCTTCTACTCCAATAAACAAGCCCTAGATTGATCGAGACTTCCTTCAAGAAACCATGGACAAAGTTGTGAGAATGTCGTCAGACAAAGGAGTGGTTATTTTCAGCAAGAGCTCGTGTTGCCTGTCCTATGCGGTCCAAGTCCTCTTCCAAGACCTCGGGGTTCACCCAACAGTCCATGAGATCGATAAAGACCCTGAATGTCGTGAGATCGAGAAAGCCCTGATGAGGCTCGGGTGTTCCACGCCGGTTCCAGCAATCTTTGTGGGTGGGAAGCTCATTGGTTCGACCAATGAAGTCATGTCGCTGCACTTAAGCGGTTCACTGGTTCCGCTGGTTAAGCCGTTTCAGGCCAATCTATGTTAAAAAGGTGTTCTAACTTTCTAAACTACAAAAATGTATTTCAATAAGAAACACAATCCTATAGCCTATGCAACCTTTGTAATGTAGCTTTATAAAATATTGTTTGTTTTGTAATTTCAGATAATATCCAATAATAATTGACTAATTTCTACTACCAGTTGAAACTTTTTAGCCTTCATGATACTGTTTCAGGGGAATAATAGAACATTCTTTTTTTATTTTAAATAATTAAGGGTAATAAATAACATTCACTGCTAATTCTTAAGACCCCCACCCCAAATTAAGAGTACAAAGTATATATATTTCTACAGATACAGAGCAATTACAGACAACAACTTGTCTTGTTGTCTGATTCACAACAAGAAACATATGAGAGTCGTTGTTGTGTTTCATTTGAGCTCCAAGAAACTTGGATTTGGATTGTGAGAGTTATCTGATGAAGAGGACATTGAAGACACATTAATGGGATATACCTCAGTTACTTCTTCAGTCTTCTCATCAAAGTAGACCACATCTTGCATTGTAAGCTGGTGATATTCGACGACTCCTCTCAGATAAAGGTTTTCTCGGGTGTATATCGAGTTTTCATGAGCCAACCGAGCTTTCTCAGCCAATAATGTTTCCAGTTGAAGTCGCACCTATATATGAAAGAAAACACACAACCAAAGATCAGAAATGTACATAAAGAAATGGCTTTGTAAAGAGTAGAAAGAATCAATACCAGATCATCGTCATCTGTCTGACTGTCGCCACTACGGTTCTCCCTCAGAACCTTATTTTCTTCTTCCAGCTGTGCGCATCGTTGCTTTGCAAAAGCCAGATCAGATTTGACCATCTTCAGCTCCCGAAGTAAAAGCTTCGCCTTGGCAGCCATGGCCATTGCAACCTGTTGAGATAAAGTCATAGAAGGTTCAGTATTTATAGCTGGATTTCAATACTAAAAACTATTATTCTCTAATCATTCATTGAAGAGATAACAGCAGCGGAAATAAGCAAATATATTTTTGCTGCTGTGAACCAATAAATGATACAGAGCAGCCACCTTACGTCGCGAGATGCCTTGAGTTGAATTTCCAAATCTGCTTGTATCTCAGGATTCTGCTGGTTCCTTGTAAGACTTGGCTTTTTTTTAATCTTTTTACGGGTTTCTTGAATGATTCCTGCAGTACGGTTCTCTACAGCAGTAATACCCTCCTAACAAAATTTACAAACACATAACAATCTCAGTCCCAACAAACTCTCAATTTGTACGGTGCAGAAGATGCACCGCAACACACAGGAATGCATATACCTCTTTAAAGTATAAACACAACTAAAGAGAGAACTCACATAACCTAAAGCAAAAACAAAACACATATGTCTCCTATAGTGCCATATACAGGTGCATAAAGAGTAAGAAACTAACCTCAACAACAGTGCCAATGGTGCCACCAATGTAATTCAACGATGAAGTAATCGCGTCTAATCTTCTCTGTAATGAAGGATTCTCGCTTTTCCTACCTGTCTGACCAGCTTCCTGAAACATGGAAATGTATATCTACTCCATAAGAATGCGACCCCACAAGACAACTGGAAGAGCAAATGCAACTTTAAAAACCTAGTCTTTAACCTTAGTTCCAGAAGTTGTTGGAGAAGGTATGTTCTCCTCCGTTCTCTTAGGACTTTGAGGCAACTGATTAGGATCATCCTCATCCAAAAAAGCCTTAGCTTTACTAGCTAAACTTCCCCAAAAGCCTCGTTTTGGTTCATTCAAACTCTTCATAGAAGTATACTCATAAGCCTTATTCACCTCCTATTCAAACAATTCAATAACGGGACATTTCAATTGAAGCAAAAACAGAGTAAACCCATGAATCATTTACAACAACTACGCCACACCAGAAAGAGAGAAGAACAAAAGACGAAACCTTGGGAGGAGTGGGAACAGGAGCAGAAGAAGGAGACGAGTAAGCAGAAGAAAGAGAAGAGTCTCTATGTGCAGAAGATGCTCGAATCGCCTTCGCAGCGAGAGACGAAGCAGCAGATGATGAAGCCGAAGATGGAGACGGAGACGACGAAGATGAATAAGAAGACATCCTCGTCGTCCTCGTCGTCGCCGGCATCATCCGTTCCTTATCTTTCTCCGTCTCCATTTCGAGATCTTCGAATCTGAAATCCTCAATTTCGTCGACTTTCTTCATCAACTTCTAACGCTCATGCTCAATCACAGTCTCCAAATTTGAGGGTCGATTTAGGGTTTTTGAAAAGAGAATCCTTTGGAATTGGATGGATCTCTCTGCCTCGCAAATGATGCCAATTTTTCAATTTTTGGTGTCGTCAACGCTAGACAGGTGCTCTCTCAAGATTCCGGTTATTGAATCCTTGGTTTTCTAACAAATGTGTTAAACCGGTTTTCTACAAATGTGTTAAACCGGTTTTCTACAAATGTGTTAAACCGGTTTTCTTCTCCTATAAACTTGATTATACAAACCATTCAAACATGCTCGTGCAGTCCTACTCATGACCTCATAAAGTTCTACATTCTCACTAGGTACTAGGGGATGTGGAATATTCTGGCTTGATTGATACACTTTGCCACTTTGGTTTGATATTTGGTAGAGTGGCGGTTTGGTTTGGTTTGTAAATTGACTGTTTGTAGAGTGATGGTTTGGTTTGGTCTAGTATTACCAATTTGCTGCTAACTGTCAAATACAACCAACAAAATTTTGTCCACACAATGAGAAACAATCTACAACAAACAAACAAAAATCTTGTATATTGGAGTCAAAATCTTTGTTAAAAGACTAAAGATCATGAAACGAGGCTTAGCAAGAGAACATTTTATTGATTTTTGGAGTAACAACGGATGAATTTGGAACAAAGAAAATAAAACTTACCTTTACGAATGTTACTTGTGGTAACTCGAAGAAAGAAGATCCTCACCACGATCTCCCATTTCTACTTTGTATAGTAGATTCGGTGGTATACGAGCATCTTTCTCCATATATAAATACGCGTAATGTCTCCTTAGATTTTTGCATACTCGCTTATTTTCTCTGACTCTTTTGATTGTGATCGTTAAGACATATAAATCATTGTTAAATGCGGCTGTTCCAATTGGAATTCGACTTTGCTTGGGTTTTATATGGTAGGGCTTACGAGTTGACGAGCTCAATTGTTGGGCTATAATTGGGCTTTTAAAATTGTGGCCGCTCTATCAACGATAATAAGTTCTTTCCACGGATTTATGTGTGAAATCTGACACCAACAAAATGTGTAACATAAAAAGGAAAATACCTGCAAAGTAACTTGTTTCCTTCTTTATCTCAATATATCCCAAAATCAAACCAAATAAACAATGTGTCTACTATGCAATCCTCGCATCATTAAATTTGAAACTTCATCTTAACTTGCAATGAATCCTCTTATTGCTCTTTTAATTGAAACAACTCTCCCTTTTTGACTTGAGAATTCGACATAAATGTTTGTGTGCATCAGTGCATGTATTGTTGGGCTTCTTGGTTATGAAACAAATGGGCTCTACAATAACAAATTATGTTTCTCGATCAAGCTAAGCAAGATCTTTAGCTCGTTTGTTGATTGTTTATTTTCTTGGTCAATTCCATCAAGCTATATTTCTTCTAGTCACGGTTTCGTACCGTTGACTCTATCCGAATCCATGCAACCTCCCCAACCATATATAACAGATAAGAGATTTGCACAAATGACAGCGAAATGGGATAAACTCGTATGGCGTTTCCTAAGAAGACGACATTAGTGTGTGAATTGGAAGAAGCGTGATTAGGGAAACTTGACGTCGACTTTTTGGGCTATCTTGACAAATAACCAACTTTGGCCCAAACTGTTCGTATTTGTGGTTCATTTTGTTTTCTAGTTGCATCTTTTCTTACCCTTTGCTTCGCTTAATGTCTCCTCGGTTTAGCCGCATCGTGGTCGGGACCGTTGTTCATTAATACACAGCCCCACTTGTAACAAAAAAATTAGTATCCAAATGATGAATTCAATCTAGAATATGCTTTAATCTGTTTTGAAAATATGGAATTTGGAAATGTTCAATCCTCTAGATGTAACCATTATGGTCGAATCGTTGATTGAAACTAGACGGCAATACAGCTCAGGGTGTTTGTACTTTTGTTAATAGATTGATAGCATCATCATCCACTTATGGTCCAACCTATTTCCAAATGAATGTTTCATCTGAATAATTTAGACTTTGTATTAAGACCTTGCCTTAGCACCTTTTTATAAAATTTAATAATTATTCTCTCTGAATTAATGAAATTTATATGTCTATTGCCTACTCATGATATAGGCATATAGCGGACAACTATGGTGTTTAATGTTCATGTACAATATTTGAATGCAAATTTAACATATATTGTTTTTTTTTTTTTTTTTTTTTTTGATAAACCCTATCGGCTGATCCGGTCAGCCCCGGTAGAAACGCACCGAAGTGCTTCAGAGTGGACTACTCCCCGAAGGGCCACCACACTGTCTGTCCCGAGTTTGGAATGCTTTCCGACTAATGCCAGGGGTAGCCAGATCGCCTGTTACTGGACTACCAGGTAAACTGCTTGGGCCTTTTGGCCCAAGCCCAGACTTCTCACACAAATGTGTTTTTTGTTTCCAGCGTGGATCGAACATGGGTTAGTTCCTTCCAACCTTTCCCCAATTCTCAACTACCACTGGACCACAGCTGTGTGGGCTAACATACACATATTGTTTGTTTAGCTAATTCAATATTTTACATTCGATATTGTGTTTGGATGCAAAACCAATTACGTAAAAGAAATCTAGAGTTTGGAAGTTTTGCATTTAAATTTAACATAAAGTTAAAAACACCTTCACAAAATACATTATGATACTAAATAATTTTCTTATCGAATCACATGTCAGTATGTCAGCCGGAAAAAAAGACTCACATGACATATTATCACATAGATTCACAAACTTACATTGAAATAGAAAAAAAATCACGAAAACTGGTAAGGATTTTTAACTTTTTATGAAGACCCATTGTGAATCTTCACATTCAAACTACAAATAGTCTTAAAAAACTAGTCGCCACCGGCAGAAAATTATTAGGGCAACTAGGCAATGTAAGAGACGTGAGATATCTTTAAAGACGATAGGAACACGTGTATAAAAATGATTGGAAGACAAAACTGAAACTGGATTCTGATGGATGATTTGACGACGTAGCTAAACCAAACACCATGAGGTTCTACGATGAAGCACGACCACATATTTGAGGTGGGCCTTATCTATGACATGTTCCTACTTCCCTAACTTCCATGGTCCTACTTCTCTCTAATCGTACATCCACTTTTAATTTCGTTTCTTATCTGTCAATTATTCACATGCGTTGCTTTTTTTTCTATATTCATCGCATTGTCTTCTTTAATTCAGAATTTTTAGGCTTTTGACATGTGAAACTTTAATTTGTTATCATTTTCTCATTAACCCAACCAAAAAAGTAAGATTGTTTTTTCATCTTTGAATGATTCACTCTACAAATTGTTGCCAACAACCAAATGAATGATTATTGGTTATCACTAATCACTATACCACATAAAATTGTCTAATCACACCATATGCATGTAATGAATTCAATCATTTAGATCCGTTATGTTCTGTCACACACTCACACTTTGTCCCGGCTTCTATGTCCCGGTACGATGAGATTGCTTACTCATAGCAGCTTTATATATTAAGCTAAGCAAGATTTTCATGTTCGTCACACATTACTATAATCATTGTTACATCTCCATGTTTTTTTGTTGTCTTTTTTTTTTTTTACCATGAATATCACTGTAACATTTACTAAAACCATAGTTGAATATTTGAATGTAGTTAAAGACAACATTAAGTTTGAAGATTAATGATTTATGTAGATATACTATTTACGACAAAATGTATGTGGATTTACAAATCTTTCAAAATAAATTTTGCTAGTAACCACTTCTAAAAACTAAACAAGTTCTAAAAATTTATATATATGTATATATAATTCCTTTCAAAAAAATAGCAGTAAACAAATCTACTAAGCATGTTATTATGTTAAGAGAGATATGTTTATAAATGTTATTTACAAAGTACAAACCATTCATATCACTAATATCGAGATCTCTATTAGTCTATTATCAAAAAGTTGGTGAAACATAAATTTCCCAGTTACCTAAAATAGCTGTCAATAGAAGTATATCCAAATAGGGAAACGTCAAAAGAAAATGGTGAAAATGATAGTAAAAGACGAAGAAAAACACAACGATTAGAGTGAGTTAACTAAAAGAGATAATAATAAACAACATCACAAAACGACAATTAAATACTTAGAAAAATAAGATAGAAGAAGCCAATCACAAAATATTACATAGCAATTGGGTGGATTGGGAGGACCCACGTTAAAGAAATTTCAATATATAGACACTCTCCAATTATGCCTCCATCTCCTTCAATACATAACCAAAAAAAATGGCGACAGAAGGAAAAAACCCCATCAACATGAACACTATGTCATCGAGTCTTGCAAGAACCGGTCAATGGTACGAATTGGTCTAATTTCACCAATAGTTTCGTCGTAGAAATTTCCCGGCAGGTTTATCCCGAATCATCTGAAATTCTAACAAGTATATATGTATTTTTGTAGGGTTTTTTCTCAAGATATTCCGACTGATGTTGTAGTTGAAGTCGGAGAAGCCAATTTCTCTCTTCATAAGGTAAACAACAACTCTTGGTTCTTTATTCACATCATTAATACTCTTGGTCATTTTGTCATATACTCATGAACTAGGTTTGAAAAGAGTAATGATATAGGATGACGATATTAATTAGTACAAACCATTAGATTACATGTTTTAGTTACAAGAAATTTTAACTATTTGTTTTCACTATCGTGTATATAGTTCATGTTAGTGGCGAAGAGCAACTACATAAGGAAGCTAATAATGGAATCCAAAGACAGCGACGTGACAAGAATCGATCTCTCGGATATTCCCGGAGGTCCCGAGATATTTGAGAAAGCTGCCAAGTTCTGTTACGGTGTTAACTTCGAGATCACCGTCCAGAACGTGGCGGCTCTTCATTGCGCCGCAGAGTTCCTTCAGATGACCGACAAGTACTGCGACAACAACCTTGCTGGTCGGACACAAGACTTCCTTTCACAGGTGGCTCTCTCTAGCCTCTCTGGAGCCATTGTCGTCCTCAAGTCCTGCGAGATTCTTCTTCCAATTTCTCGTGATCTTGGACTTGTACGCCGTTGCGTCGACGTCGTCGGTGCTAAGGTATTTAACTCATAACTCATTCTCACTTCTTTCTAAGTGTTAGATCTCCATTTTGGCTAGTCTTTAGGTTTTTCTTTTTACCTATGTAGTAGTAACCGAAATAACCCAATTTAGTAAGTTAGTACAATTTTAGGTATGTCCGATTTATAATTTAAAAAATTCATAGAAAATGCGAAAATAACCAATTGTATATGTACGCTTTAAATGACAAGAATATTTGATTATTCCATAGGTTTCAAATATTAGTTTGGATATGATTTAAAACTTTCGGCTATCAATTTTTTATAGAAAAATCAGTTTGAGATCAGTGTTTTTTGGTTTTAGTGTTTGCTTATTTAAAACAAACTCTATTTTAATATTAAAGTTTAGATCTATGATTACTGTCAGAGTCAGACTATGATTACGATTTAGATTCGATAGGAATATTTCATAATTAATTCGGTGTTAGTGTTTCTTCTTATACGCTTGTTTTTCAAATTTATTTCGGTTTGGTTTCCGAATCTTAAATTGAACAATCATACTTATATCTATGTACACTATTCCAGTTCCGTGAGTCTCAAGTATATGTATAAGCTATGCAAAATGAAATACAAGTTCATTAGTTTGACATCCATGAATTGTTCTAGTGCTTGGTTACATTATCTGATACGTTTTCTATCTATTGATTTTGATATTTGAAAGGCTTGCAACGAGGCAATGTTTCCATGTCGAACACCACCAAACTGGTGGACAGAGGAGCTTTGTATCTTAGACGTCGACTTCTTCGCCGACGTTGTATCTTCCATGAAGCAGAGAGGAGTCAAACCTTCTTCCTTAGCCTCTGCAATTATCACCTACACCGAGAAATCCTTAAGAGATCTCGTCAGAGACCATTCAGGCAGAGGAGTCAAGTTTTCCGATCCTGGAGATAATGATTCCGACGAAAGATCCCAACAGAGAGATCTTGTTCAATCTATCGTCTCTCTTTTACCTTCAGACAAAGGACTTTTCCCCATCAATTTCCTCTGTTCTCTCCTCCGTTGCGCCGTCTTCTTGGACACTTCCTTGACCTGCAAGAATGAGCTCGAGAAACGAATCTCAGTCGTTCTTGAACACGTCTCCGTTGACGATCTTTTGATCCCGTCTTTCACCTATGACGGCGAACGGTTACTAGATCTCGATAGTGTCAGAAGAATCATCTCTGCTTTCGTCGAAAAAGAGAAAAACGTCGGTGTTTTCAACGGTGGAGATTTCAACAGAGGAGTCTGCTCTGTTTCACTACAAAGAGTAGCTAAAACCGTTGATTCTTACTTAGCGGAGATAGCTACTTACGGAGAGCTAACGATCTCAAAATTCAACGCTATCGCGAATCTTGTTCCGAAATCCGCTAGAAAATCAGACGACGATCTTTACAGAGCGATAGACATCTTCTTGAAAGCTCATCCGAATCTAGACGAGATCGAAAGAGAGAAAGTATGTAGCTCAATGGATCCTTTAAAGCTTTCTTACGACGCACGTCTCCACGCTTCACAGAACAAGAGATTACCCGTAAACATCGTTCTTCACGCTCTTTACTACGATCAGTTAAAGCTAAGAAGCGGAGTAGAAGAACAAGAAGAAAGAGCAGTAGTTGTTCTCCCTGAAGCTTTAAAGACACGTAGCCAACTTCAAGCTGATACTACGTTAGCTAAAGAAAACGAAGCGTTGAGAAGTGAGCTGATGAAGATGAAGATGTATGTTTCGGATATGCAGAAGAATAAGAACGGCGCAGGAGCTTCTTCTTCGAATTCGTCGTCGTTGGTGAGTAGTAAGAAGAACAAACATACTTTCTTCTCTTCTGTTTCGAAGAAACTTGGGAAGTTAAATCCGTTTAAAAATGGGTCTAAAGATACTTCGAACATAGATGAAGATCTTGCAGGTGTTGATATTACTAAACCAAGGAGACGAAGATTCTCAATCTCATGAAGAAAACGTTTGATCATGTACTTTTGTGTTTTGGTCTGTGTAGTGTGGTGTGTGGGCTTTTGTGTATAACTCCTTTAGACTAGTGTGCATTTTTTTCCCCTTCTTGATGCGTGATTTTTTTTTGGGTGTGTGTGTTTATTGTTTAATGAGATTGGTTAATAAAAAGAACACTGGTTTCGATTTAGTTGGTTAATAAACCGTTAATTATCTCTTCTATCGTCTTCTTTGGTTCGTGTAGTTCCTTTCTCAAAAAGTTCATGGAAAGTTTTTTGTGCATCTTTCATGTGACGCGAATGGAGTTGGTGTTTGAGTGATAGTGTTACGGCTCAGTGTTTTGCGGGCTACCAGTAAAAAGCTTTCTTTCGATTAGTTTTCGATGAATCGGTCATCGCCGTTTGACAGCTATAGTCTTTCTTCTTGATGTGTTTAATAAGAGAATTTTTAGAATCGTTTATTGCTTCATTGATTTTAAAAGCCTCATTGCTATAGCTGATGTTGATAAACCATTGTTATTTACTTCCATGTTTTTTGTTTTATGAGACCAATTTGTTGGATCTGTAGTTCAAAATCGTTTTAATTTTTCGGAAGAAAAACAAAAAAGCAAAAAGCGAACTAAGCCCAATAGAAATTTACTTTAAGCCCATTAAGGCCCAGTATTGACGTTCCTTATTCCCGCAATTTTCGTTTCTCTTCCAGCACCAAATGCAGCGGTGGATACACCGGCGACGACAACTCTTCGTCGTAAATTTCCACCGGTGGCCGACGGATACCTATGTAAGTGCCGCTAAAACGTCTAAAAAGTGAAGATTATGGCTCACGGTTAGTCAAAGTTTCAACTTTTATTTTGGGGATTTTCAATGAGTAAAGATAGATTCATAAAGGCGTAGTCTTTTGGGATCTAATGGAATTCAAAGTGTTAAGTCGTTTGGTAGACTAGTTGAGGCAAATTCGGTGATATTGAAATTGCTTGTTACAGGAAAAGCTGGAGAATGCTATATTTAGACCATTGAAATTTGACATAGGAGCCAACAATAGATTAACGAATGATATCTGTTGGAAAGAGCCAGCCTTGATCTATCGTTAAGAGAATTATGACCCTTGAACTTATCTTCCAACCAGCTTCTTGTGATTTGAGAGAGAAAACAAATCTGACTTTCATGAAATCCAAAACAGAGCTCCAATGTCGGAGCTGCTTCCTCCTCCTCCTCCTCCTCCTCCCCCTGGGAGGGATTCCGGATTTGGAGATCCTGCATTGGTTTTTCCTGAGTTTGCTGCGAAACAATGCGTTCTCGAAAAAGTTATAGAGGAAGAAGGAGAAGGGGAAGATAGTAGCTATGGCAAAGGTTCTTTTGATCTGAGTTCGAGATTCTCAAGCCCTTCTATATCTCGAAACGGATTTGATGATGTTGAAAACCCGAGAAAGGCTTCGTCTTTTAAGCGGCCTCCTTCTGGGTCGAGACTGTCTGGCTTTCGAGAGGAAGAAGAGGCCGATCGGAGTAGAAACTCGGGTTCCTTTGTGGATCATATCGGTCAGGAGGACAAGAGGATATGCGCCTCTGGATGTTTCAGAAAATGCTGCGCGTGTACCTGCATGTTTGTTTCCATTGTCCTTATAATCGTCTTGTTGGTAGGATTGTCTGCAAACTCTTCAATCAAATCTATACTACCTCAGGTGCTTGTCACAAACCTCAAGTTCTCGAGATTGGATGTCGCCAAATCATCGACAGATCTTCTGATGAATGCGAACTTGAACACGGTGCTTCAGCTCTCTAATAACAACGACAAGACGGTTCTATATTACAGCCCCATGAAAGCTGATATATCTTCTGAGAACATAAACCTCGGAAAGAAAATGCTTCCTGGATTCAAGCAGGACCCGGGAAACGTTACTTCTTTGAAGATCCTCACAAGACTCAGAAAATCCAAAGTCTATGATGTTGATGCTACATTGCTGACAAACAAAGAGAAGACGCTTGAAGCTGTGGTTGATGTGTTCTTGAGAGGGAAACTGAGTGTTGATTGGTTGGGATTTAAGGTTCATATACCAATTGTTATTGCGTGCGAGAATGTGAAGCAGAGTGATGTGATAAATGGAGTCAAACCAGCGTGCGATGTTCGAACCTTTTCCCAATGAAAACAATGAGAGCTATTGATGATACACATAAGACCCTCTGATCTTTGTTTTGTTCTGTTCCTTTTTGTTGTTGCTAATTTTCTTGTTGTAGATTGATGAATACATAGAAAGAGAGAAGTGACTTAACTTTTGTTTCTCTAAACTTAACATCAAGAATCCACAAGTTATCTACTTTTTTTTTCTTCACCTAAGTCTATGTTTTCTTCATCATTGACTTAGCTTGTAAATGAAAGTTGTGACTTATCTCTATAGGTTTGTTGAAGGTTGGTTCTGATCTCTCTCTCTCTCTCTCGCTCTAGGCCTAGAGAGATGGATCAGAACTCGAATCACGATAGAGCCACATGCAAAATCTTGGGCGTTGAAGATCCGCCATTAATGCTCTCTCCCATATCATAACACAATTATTGAGTCTTTGAAACAAAATTGTACTAAAAAACAAAAAACTTTTGAGGAGATTAAAATAAGCAGGTGAGTCATAAGTAGCTGTGGAGTTTAAAGACGTGTAGAAAAAGCGTGTTCACTTTCTTGGCCGCGTTTCCAATTTTCATCTTCAACGCAGGATTAATGAATATAAAAGGGCTTCGAGAGGCCATTCTTTTGAGTATTAATCAGTCACAAGCTTCTTGTCTTTTTGCATCATCTGCGTAAAGTAAGCTTTTTTCTCTCTGCAAATTTTGTCTCTTCTTCTTTATTTCTGCAATTTGCCTTTTTTTATATATTAAGTTTCATTGATTTCTCTGCTGAAAAAAATGTGGATAAATGCTTAAACTCTTATCTCTGGATTTTCTAGAGATTTGTGACAAAATGTCAAATGGGTTGTTGAATCTTCACGTGTCCTCTTATCTCATCTAATTTGTTTTTGCTTTCATTCTTTAGTATTGTTCCAATGGTTTTGTTCAACTCAAGCACATCTTCAATCTTAGAAAGTCCGAGTCTTTGAACATCAAAATTGTCTCTGTTTTTTCAAATGCGTGCAAACGGCTTAAAGTCTTGATCTTTCTTGTAGGGTTTTTGGGTTTCTCTGCACCCTCAAGATCATGGCCTCGTCTACGGTAAAGAATTCGTTCCACTCATCTATGTCTTTAAATGCTAATTAGATCCTTGTGTTTCAGTCTCTTGGTCCTAACATTTACTCACTTTGTCTGATGTTCTCAGGCTCAGAGCAAGAAACAGTTTAAGAGGTCTATGACTAAGAAATCACACTCATGGTGGTGGGATAGTCACAATTCTCCCAAGAACTCAAAATGGCTTGCAGAGAATCTTGAGAGTATGTTGCCTCACTTAGCATTGAGATCTCCACTTACTCAAAAAGAAACAAACTCTGACGTTTTCTTTCTTGTTCTTGTTTTGGCTTGTCAGAGATGGATGACCGAGTGAACCACATGTTGAAACTGATTGAAGAAGACGCAGACTCTTTTGCCAAGAAAGCTCAGATGTATTTTCAGAAGCGTCCCGAGTTAATCCAGCTTGTCGAGGAATTCTACCGCATGTATCGTGCATTGGCTGAGCGTTATGATCAAGCTAGTGGTGAACTTCAGAAGAACCATACATCTGAGATTCAGTCACAGAGCTCTCTTGAGTTATCATCTCCTACCAAAGAGAAGTTGAGTCGCCGTCAATCTGGCCATAAAGAAGAGGAAGATTCATCATCTTTGACTGATTCCGGTTCTGATTCTGATCATTCATCTGCCAATGATGAAGACGCTGACGAGGCACTGATCCGAAGGATGGCTGATTTAGAGCTTGAGCTTCAAGAGACAAAACAGAAACTCCTTCTACAACAGGAAAGTGTTAATAATGACAACAATGTTGATCTCCTTCAGAAAAATGCTGTTTATGAGGGAGAGCTTAAAGAAGCTAATGAGAAGATGCGAATGCACGAAGAAGAGATCGCTAACCTGAAGAATCAGCTTCAGAGCTGCATGTCCTTTGACAAAGAAACTCATCTTGGTGCTGAAGAAAAGAGTCTTGATTTGGATAAAGAGGACACTAAAGAAGATGCAGCAGCTACAAAAGTGCTAGCCTTGGAGGAAGAACTGAGTATCGCGAAAGAGAAGCTTCAACACTTTGAGAAAGAGACTTATTCTTTGAAAATTGAGCTCGAACACGGTAAAGATACTGAGGAGAAGCTGAAGAGTTTACAGCATGAGCTTGAGTTGGCTCAGAAAGACACTGATGACTACATAAACAAGCTTAATGCAGAGAAGAAAGAAGTCTTGAAGTTGCAGGAGAGATTAGCGATGGTGAAAACTAGTTTACAGGATAGAGATAACGAGATACGGGCATTGAAAACTGCGGTCTCTGATGCTGAACAAAAGATATTTCCCGAGAAAGCACAGATCAAGGGAGAAATGTCGAAGATGCTCGAAGAAAGAAGCCAACTTGGGGAGCAACTTAGAGAGCTGGAATCACATATAAGGCTGATCACGGAAGAGAAAGCTGAAACAGAGGAGAAACTTAGAGGAGAAGTTGAGAAAATCAGCGTAATGAGAGATGAGAGCAATATGCTAAGAGAAGAGATTGGGAAGAGAGAAGAGAAGATAAAGGAAATGGAGAAGCATATGGAGGAGCTTCACATGGAGCAAGTGAGGCTGAGAAGACGGTCGAGTGAGCTTACAGAAGAAGTGGAAAGGACGAGAGTATCTGCATCAGAAGTGGCTGAGCAGAAAAGAGAAGCTATAAGGCAGCTGTGTATGTCTCTTGACCATTACAGAGATGGATACGACAGGCTTTGGAGAGTTGTTGCAGGACATAGGGGTAAGAGAGTAGTGGTCTTAGCAACGTGAAGCGTAAGAACAATGACTATGTGCAGGACATGCTTTGTGTTCTTTTGGACTTAAATGTTGTTTTAAGGGCCGTTAGTTGATGTTGAAAATAGGTTGGAGTTGAATAATGTATGTTGATATAGTAAAAATCAATGGTAATATTTTCTCATTTCTCAAAAATCAATGGTATACATTTGATTGCTTCTATAATAAAAAAAAAACACAAATGTAACTTATTTATTTCCACCATCTTACTATTTTTATTCATTATCATAACACTTATCTAACTATTCAAGTTGATACAACATCTGACGAGTTAGAGAAAAAATGATAAATATTACAACCATTGAACCATAACATATAATATGGTAAGTTATTTTAGTATACGTATCTTGATCACACTGTTTAAAACCCGTTGTTATTGGAAGAAAGAACCCGATACGTATGGCAATATGGTGAACATAGCTAATAAGCTAAACAATTCTGGCCAATGGGTCAATGAATCTATGGGCCCAAGTAAGAAAGCCCATGTAAGGTCATGATTGCGGTGAGCCGGTGATGACTGATGTGGGATAATAACATGAGGAGAAGGAAGGTATGGTGACAAATTTGGGCAAATAGTGGTGGATATGGTGGGGAGGTAGGTAGCACAATTTCTATATGTCGCTGTCTTTCGTGGTAATGGTAGGTGAGTATCTCTTTATATTACTTATTACTCATTTTTAAATCTATTTTTCTACATTTTTTTTCTTCAATCCTAAATACGCCACAACAAATATAATGTAAAATGATGACTGCAATAGATAGCAGGCTAATATTTATTGAAGTCAATAGAGTGGTTGTTGCCAAATTGACTCTTGACATTGAAAGAGTTCATGGATGTGTATGCGCCAAATTCTAAGCCTTGTACTGTGCCGCGCGTATATTTTAACCACCACTAGTTGTTTCTCTTTTTTTATAACCAAAAAAAAATCATTATGTTTCGTTAACGGTGTTAAATTTGACGGCGTCTCATGACGTTCAAATTCCGACCATAGAGGTCCAAGACTAATTGTTTTTCTCTTGTTCGATAATTCCTGTTATTCAAAATGGGAAAAAACAGTTTAATTTAGATTTATTTGACTTTAAAAAAAGTCATTGAAATTCATATTGAGTTCATATTTGATTTATGTCAACACATAGATACAAAACGTAATGTGTCCATTCATGACCATAATATCACAGTCACTACAAATAATTTTATAAGAAAAATTAAAATCGATACAAAATATCCAAACGAAGTTTTTTCTATTCAATTTCCACCGTTCAATTTATAAGCAAAAGTCCAAAACCATTGGCAATGTTTTGCACATTGTTCAGTTCAAAAATTATCTACAACAGTTAGTTAATTGGGCAGGTTGTCTAGCCAATTTATTGGTAAATAATTCTCCGGTTAATCGAAATTAATTTGATGTTTGTTTTCTGTTTTTTTTTAATTATTATATTTTATCAATATGACATCTCTTTTTTTTTTTTTTTTGGACAAATATGACATCTCTTTTGGAAATAGATTATCATAATCAAGGAAAAAATTTGAATGGGTCAATATATAAACAATTTTAGTTTACTAAAAATATATAAATCGGAGAAGTATTTGAATGCACCACTTGAACGTGCTTAAAGACATAACCACAGTCTCTATTATACCATAATCCTACTCAATCTAATCACCATTTACATTTTAAAGAACATTGATCCTATTTCTTGCTTCACTTAATTGAAACTAATTTGAATTCCGGTTTGCCTCTTTCAACCATATAATCCAACTCTTTTGTTTCCTCGATACTTTTTGATTCTCTTTGTAGATGTCTTTTAATTTACAAGTTGCTTCCAAAAATATCTTTATGTTAAGCTGAGCATGATCGTTATTAACTATACTACGCCTGTGCATTCGGATTTTTCGGATCGGTTTTCGGATTTTGGGTTTTATGGCCAGCCCTAAACAATACCTTCCAAACTTTCTTTTTGAGATCATCTATCTCTTTTGCTGGTATTCTATTTTTTTTTCTCTGAAACGGTAATGGTTTCCAACAATTAGTTACACGGCCATCAAAATTTGACTCACGTTTTACTTGTAACCAAAACTCTTTTAGAGTTTACAGCTCAAAGCAGCCGTTTTAAAATCCCTTTAAACAACTTTTAATTAACCAAACCAATGTAACTTTATTGAACGTGCATCTAAAAATTCCATCTTTGCTTTAAGAAATAATCAATATATACCAATAAAGAAGATGTACTCACCATATACAATTCTTATTTCAATATAAGGTATATGACTATTTTAAGCAAATACTTCGGTTTCAATATATGCAATCAAAGTTTTTTTTATAGTAAAACATTTAGTTGTTTCTTGATGACACATTCAAATAGAAAGACAAAGAGAACTTTAGTTGATAGAGATGAAAATAATCACATCCTCCTCCTACCCTCTTCACCAAACCCTTTTTTTTCACTATGTGGTCTTTCTTTACCTACCACCACCATCAACAACACCACCAAGCCCCACTATCACGTTAAATCTAACGCCGTTTATTATCTCATCATTCACCAACTCCCACGTACCTAACGCCGTTTACTTATTTCCGTTGGTTCTCATTTCTCAAACCAACCAAACCTCTCCCTCTTATAAAATCCTCTCTTCCTTCTCCATTTCTTCTTCAGCAGCTTCTTCTGCTTTCAATCACTCTCGCCGACGATTTTCTCACCGGAAAAAATAATCATTGCGGATACACAAACTATAATGGACCTTCTCTTGTTGGAGAAGTCTCTAATCGCCGTCTTCGTGGCGGTGGTTCTCGCCACGGTGATTGCAAAGCTCCGCGGCAAGAAATTGAAGCTACCTCCAGGTCCAATGCCGATTCCGATCTTCGGAAACTGGCTTCAAGTCGGAGATGATCTCAACCACCGTAATCTCGTCGAATACGCTAAAAAATTCGGCGATCTCTTCCTCCTCAGGATGGGTCAGCGAAACCTAGTCGTCGTCTCTTCACCGGATCTGACTAAAGAAGTACTCCACACACAAGGCGTTGAGTTTGGATCCAGAACGAGAAACGTCGTGTTCGACATTTTCACCGGGAAAGGTCAAGATATGGTGTTCACTGTTTACGGAGAGCATTGGAGGAAGATGAGAAGGATCATGACGGTTCCGTTCTTCACCAATAAAGTTGTTCAACAGAATCGTGAAGGTTGGGAATTCGAAGCTGCGAGTGTTGTTGAAGATGTGAAGAAGAATCCAGATTCTGCTACTAAAGGAATTGTGTTGAGGAAACGTTTGCAATTGATGATGTATAACAATATGTTTCGTATCATGTTCGATAGAAGGTTTGAGAGTGAGGACGATCCTCTTTTCCTTAGGCTTAAGGCTTTGAATGGTGAGCGAAGTCGATTAGCTCAGAGCTTTGAGTACAACTATGGAGATTTCATCCCTATCCTTAGACCATTCCTTAGAGGTTATTTGAAGATTTGTCAAGATGTGAAGGATCGAAGAATCGCTCTTTTCAAGAAGTACTTTGTTGATGAGAGGAAGTGAGTTCGTTTTTGATTCTATTTTTGAGTTTGATTTTTAGGGATTTTGGAAATTGACATTGATGAATCTATTTTACAGGCAAATTGCGAGTTCTAAGCCTACAGGTAGTGAAGGATTGAAATGTGCCATTGATCATATCCTTGAAGCTGAACAGAAGGGAGAAATCAACGAGGACAACGTTCTTTACATCGTCGAGAACATCAACGTTGCTGGTAACTTCTATTTCTTACTTGTAGGATACGTAATCAATCCTTTAGACGTCTCTGCTTGCATAAGGAATTGGACATTAGTGTTTTAAGTGAATCCTATGAATTTGGAATTGTTAACAATAATAGCAAATTAGGCTCATCTAGATTGTTTTTTGGTCTCCCCTGAAGAGGCTATGGGGATTTGTACAGTTTTGTGATGCTGATTTCTTGATTTCTGCTGAAACAGCGATTGAGACAACATTGTGGTCAATCGAATGGGGAATTGCGGAGCTAGTGAACCATCCTGAAATCCAGAGTAAGCTAAGGAACGAAATCGACACGGTTCTTGGACCAGGCGTGCAAGTCACAGAGCCTGAGCTTCACAAGCTTCCATACCTTCAAGCAGTGATCAAGGAGACACTTCGTCTAAGAATGGCGATTCCTCTCCTTGTGCCTCACATGAACCTCCACGACGCCAAGCTTGCTGGCTACGATATCCCAGCAGAAAGCAAAATCCTTGTCAATGCTTGGTGGCTAGCAAACAACCCCAACAGCTGGAAGAAACCTGAAGAGTTTAGACCAGAGAGGTTCTTTGAAGAAGAAGCGCACGTGGAAGCGAACGGTAATGACTTCAGGTATGTGCCGTTTGGTGTTGGACGTAGAAGCTGTCCCGGTATTATATTGGCGTTGCCTATTTTGGGAATCACCATTGGAAGGATGGTCCAGAACTTCGAGCTTCTTCCTCCTCCAGGACAGTCTAAAGTGGATACTAGTGAGAAAGGTGGACAATTCAGCTTGCACATCCTTAACCACTCCACAATCGTTATGAAACCAAGGAACTTTTAAACTTTCTGCAAAAAGAAAAAAGAACAAAATGACTTTATAATGATGTTTGTGAAATCTGTTAAAATATTCCCATGTTTTGTTTTTGTGAGATGTTTTGTGTAAAATGTCTTTAAATGGCTCGTTCTATCGATTGCAATAATTAGTGGTGCCCATTGTTTTGAATGGACATTGATGTTATATCATTTCAAAATCTCATCATTGCTGGACTTGGACCATAGGAGGTTTCTAGGTTCTAACGTTAATAATCTTGTTCAAACCAAATAAATCTCATCCACGTGTTGAATTACCCAATCAGTAAATTACAAAAGTCGACGATTTTCAGTAATATGGGCTAATAGAGGCCCCAATTTAGATATCGACAATGGGCTTTATAAGGCCCATTGTTTTGTCATTGAATAATGTGCACTTGCAGAGATTACGCAGCGGGAATCAAAAAACACCAAATGCTCTTCAGAAAATTTTGAAATTTGAAAGACCGTTCGCTGGATTGTCTTTGATTTCTCCAGCTGCAAATTTGATTGAAGATCATCGGCTTCATCGTTGTGTAGCAGCAATTATCAGGTTATCGTAATCGTTTCTATGCTCCGAGCTCCGTTTTGGGGACGCGATTCAGAGACTGTCGAAGCTTCTCGAATTTTCTAAGTATATCTCTTTCTCCTCTCTCGAATCTGTATGTTTTTTAGGGATTTCGTAGAAATTTTGCCTGGATTCGTTTGGATCTGATTGGAAATTTTGGATTAGGAATCAAAATTTTCAGTCTCAGTGACTAATTGTTAATGAATCGCAACCTAGATATGGAATCGTTGGGTCGAATTGTTCGGGATGAAGTTGAAATTCTAATTTCGAGATCTTTGTGCAGTCTTACAGTTTGCAAACCCTAAGAAGTGGCATTGCTAATAATGCTGCAATGGATGGGAGGATCGAGGCGCAAAGTGGCCGCTGTGAGTGACTTTTGCTTCTTCCTTTTAGTGATGCTATTTTTGTTTGAGATAAGTCAGATTCAGGTATCCATTATAATTTGTGAAGATAAAAGCTCTGGGTGTTGGGATACTAGCTTATTTTTCTTATAATTTGTTTTAATTCTGACTTGTTATTGTTTTCGCCTTTTCGGGGCACCTTTTGGGGCATTCAGTCACATACGTCAGTGAAGAAGAGGTGTGTAAGCTCGTTCTTATTCTGTTAATGATATGTTTGTCAGCAGGTGCTCACAGTTTTAATTTCATCTTTGTTGAACCTGAAGGCAAAAGCAATACTTTGAGCAGAGGAGACAGCAACAGCATCAGTTCTCAGTTGGGATTGAGAGCTGTACTAATGATATAAACAATAGTAATCAACACTCAAGAGAACACCAATCTCTGGATATTCTCAATTTGCTGAACTTGTCAACCGCTACTCCTGAATGCAAATCTTCTTGTCCAGAAAATGGTAAGTATATGCTTGTTATGACTTCCAGCAGTCGTTCTGAGTCATAATTGGAGTCAGTTTATGGACCATTTATTTGCTTTATCGCTCAGAACCATGACATATAATTCACTTTGCTTTCTTCTTGTTTGTGTCACTTGTTAACGGGAAAAGGAATGCAAGATCTGGATACTGATTTCTACAGCCTTAAGGACAACATTTCCGGAGTAGGTAAGGTCTCAAAACTCATGATTTACGAATCTGGTCCTCTTCTGCTCATGTTGTATGTAATGATGCAGGAAGTTCATTTAACCATATAGCAGAACCTACTTCCTCTAAGAGGTAAAGTCAGTTTTCTTTGTTTTGCTCTCACATAATGCCACTGCACATATTTTCTTTCTCAGCATGTATATCATCTTGGTTATCTTGCTAATAGAACTGCACATTTCATAGATATTTTGATGCTTTACTGTATTACAGGACTTTGTTTAGTCTCCCTGACAACCAGACAAGTGATTTCAAGAAAGCAAACACCACAGCAGATCTGATGGATGGCACAGAGCGGAGTAAGTAACCACTATAATTTTAGTATTGAGTTAATGTCTAGAAACTAGAAAGGTTCACTGTAGTTTTTTTTCATTCTGGTTTTACTTCGCAATCACTTTTAGCTGCATGCTTATCAGAATGTAAGCCATCTGCAAGTCTCAAATTTTAAGTTGATATGGACATTATATATTTTTCAGAGTTATCTGTCTTTGATTTGGTTGGTGATGATCATATAACAACCAACCTGGAAGAATGTTCTCCGTCTGAGGCTCACATGGCATTTTCAGTTGAAGGTATAGGTCTCAGAGATCACAGAGTAGTGGAAAATTTTAAACTTTCCATGGGTACTTAGATCATGATCAGTCTTTAAGAGGATATCCTACTGTGCCTCTCTCGTGTGACTCTTACTTTCTCCTTTCAGGATTAGGTAAAATAAAAACGGAAACTCCAGATAGTTCTCCACAACCATCAGACAGGTGATTAGCATTCACGAGTATTTTTTTTTTCTTGGCACTGGTTTGCATTTTGTTTGTTTTCCCTTTTATTTATATATATACTGTTTTCTCTTACATTAGCAGTAATATGTACCACTTAGGATATAGATCAGTGATTTTATTTAACTTGTGATGTGAAAGAACCTTTGTGTACCGGTGCTCCTCTCCATGGAAGGATACTGGTCAACCAGGTACATCACATGTCAGGGAAAGGCTCAACGACTTTGAGAACGAAGTGGTAACGAAGTCTCGTCATCTTATCTTTTAGCTGTCTTCCATTCGTTTCTAACTTTTTCCTGACCCTATATTTTCATCTCCCTCTTACAGGACACAATAATTGAAAGTAGCAAAATGTTCCAAGATGACAGCCGTTATAGGTCACCAATTGGCATACATGCTAAAGATGGGGGCAGAAAGCAAAAACTGCAGACTTTCAGTGATCACTTGCACAAACAATATAGCGACTCAAGAGGTTACTTCTGCGACGTTGCAGATTTCAACAACAGCAGGTTCTCTGACGATGAATGGAATGGTAATGTCTTATGCAAAAGGCTTATTTTCTTTCCATTTACAACTCATCATCTATGCAACCTACCACCTTCTGAAATTTATGGAAAATGACTTGATCAAAGTAGCATGTCACTTCTTAGTGAATTTTCCTAGTATAAAATGTAATGAACACAATTCCATGTGGTGTGACATGAGCTATAGGGAATCTTTTCTGATATAAGATATGTGCACCTGTTTCTTTCTTTCCTCGCGAGATCAAATAATAAAATGTGTGAATTTGATTTCTTCTCCTTCCTTCACCAGCTAAGTCCGCCTTTCTTGATGACGGGGAAGCTAGTTTTTACTGGAAGGGCGAGCAGCCATGCCAAAAGGAAAGTTTGAACCCTGATTTCCTGAAATATGGTAAGGGTTACACTGAGAGTCGCTCTTCTGAAGAACACCATAGGAAAAAGAAGAGGTGCTCTTCAAAATCTCTCATTTCGTCACTTTATGATTGTGATATTGTGCAGTTTGACATTAAAATTCTTGTGTGTGTTTAGGGATTACCTGGAAACGACCTGGAGGTCCAACATTAGAGGTGGGTTTAGTTCAACTAAATTAGGAATAACAGCTACCTGCATATATTCTGCTATCAAAGAACTTTCATTTGACCTGTTAGTTGTATTCATAAAATAACTAATCTAAGCGTATGTCTTTTGGAAGTTCATTGACTCATTGTTTCATATCATTGATTGGAAGTTATAAATCCTATCTCTTTAGTTTACTTCACTTTCTTTCAGTATTGCTTAGTTTCCTCTTTTGTTGGTGTTTGAAGTTGGAGAAATATTTAATCTTCATATTTGTTGGAATTACTGGGGTTTAGGCCTATTTATTTGCTACTTGGTTTTTTTCTGCATTTCAGATTCACCAACTCGAAGATCACATCTTTTAGAAACGAATATCGATCATCCAAGTTTCGCTAAGCCAGCGTAAGTCAATTCCTTAAAGTGCATCAAGCCATTTTTGAACTCATGCTGATTGAACTTTTAAGAAATAACATCTAGTTATTTCAGAACCTCCGACTTTGATTTTGACAATGTATTTGACCAACCGGTTTGGTCATCCATTGTACCTGAGGAAGATAAAGACAGCCATAGTTTGCGTAGGTGAGCATCTGCGATATTTTTGTTTCTGATTGTGTTTCATATGTTTTATAAAGAATGAACTGCAATCCTGACACTACTCACTATTCTTAACAGCGAAGAATCTTGCTCGTCTAGTGCAGGTATTGATTTTTATGAAGATTTCTTGTGAATCACATGTTAAGATTTTGCAAACATGTGTTTCTTCCTAAGTATTGAACCATCACTCCCCCTAAATTTTGTCAGTTTGGACAAATGAAACCCACAATTCACAGTTTGAGACCAACACAAGACAAAGGAAAAGGGAAACTAATTCGTTTCGCAACCTTGGAGACAAGAAGTATCTGAATTATAACCTTTTCCAAGAATCGTGGGAAGACTGGGATGTGGATGATCAACGTATGAAGCGACAAGTTGGGTCTGGAAAGCAGGTCAGACTATCAAACCCAGTAAAGTTAAAATCTACCAGTCAGAGAGAAGGTGGTCTAGACGCGTCTTACAATTGGTTTGCTGAAGGATTTACATCTGCAGGCTTAAACTCAGGTTTGTCTCCCTTTTTGATATTTCTGAAACATCTTCAGTGGCTTGTCTATCATCCTGTCCAAAGCCATGGTGCAGAGATCTTATATCTAGAACCATAGAATATATTTGGATCTAGTTTCAGACCTAAATATAATCATATTATCTTGGTGAACTCTCACATGTAAATTCCTGTCTTAACTTCTGTTACAGATGTTACAAGTGAGAGGGACAAGCCATATCCTTTCCTTAACGCTGAGCTTGGTAGCTCGCACTGGGGTTCATCTCGGGCCCCTGATTCTATTCCGGAAACATGGGTTCCCAAGTTTTCAGTAGGAGGCACTGGAGATGATGATGATGAAGACGACTATGTAAACTGTTTATCAGCAAACCATAAATCTAAACTAGCAGGAGACACATGCGGTTTTGAGAATGACACGTTATCAGAGAACGATAATGAGCAAAGCAGAGAAGTAAATCACCCAAAAATCCAGGGAGATGAGACCTCATCATCTGTTGCAAAGAGCCTCTCAGACGAAAATGAGTATGTACGGTGAACATTGTCACACACTTCTTTCTGTTCTTCACTAACATCTCTTACAATATGTTACCCTGACACAAAAATTACTAATTGTTGTTAGATGTAACCCCAACAAGGAGGTCATGCAAGCTCGTCACCAAGTAAACAGAGGTAAATTGAATTCTGTTTGCTAGGATAATTTGGTTATTATTTACCAGTATTATTTCAATAAACTAACATATGAATCTTGAGATAAAATCAGGAGAAAAGACAACAAGTAGAGACCCGTTCCAACAAATGATAATGCTGGAAAGACGCACACTTCAGCTCGTTTGTATTAACAAGACATTGCTCCTTGACTCTTTAAAAACTTAGGTAAGAATTCATATCGATATCTTGTGTCTTTAGTTCAAGTTATCACCAAATCTGAATTCCAAATTTCATATGTTTCTTGAGCATTATGAAATAAGTGCCATTTTTGGTATATCTTTCATTGAGCATGCACTAGGTTGTCCATATAGCGTTTGTACCTACCTTTACATACAACTGTGTTTGTCACTTACACACGTTCTGTCTTTACTATTTGAGACGTTTTTGTGGGTCTATACTTCATGAAGGCAAATATAATCACGTAAAACATGTTTTTGACCAAATTTAGGTAGACATGGTGTTGCTGCACAATGAGTGTTTTTTTCTTTTTCTTTTTGTTTAATCCTTTTTAAAGATTCCAAATTCATTCCTATGACATTATAACTTGCCGTTGATTTTTGTTTTCTTTGTTATATTTACAAGGAACCTATATGGATTACATATGACATAGTTTTACTCCCATACTGTACTTTTCCTTTAAGAAATGTTTGATACTTTATTGTTTTTTATACTTTATATGAGGGGTAATGAGATTCCCTGATATTAGTATTGTAATTATATCTTTTATGAATAAGATAAACAAAAAAATGTCTATTGCAAGCTGGGAACGTGAGCCCCAGTTACAGCTGTGTGTGTGTATCAGGCATTATTGCAGTTTCTATCAGTTGATTCTGTTTTCTTACATGCCGTCCTAAAAAGTCCTTTGCATGTTAATTACTTTAAAAATATCCTAACTATATTGTTAATTTCAAAGTGTACATAAATATTAGAAAATAACATGGTTATGATGTATGTAGTTCAACTCAGCCGGTGAATCAGTTAGTCATCATCATTACATAAATAAATAAAAAATTCTTCAAGATCACGAGTTTGAATATTGCATGCTTTGGTTAAAAAAGAAAAGAAAAAAGGTGAATCAAGAATACTGCGGCTCTTTGTTTCTCATGTCATGTGTGGTACGAGATTGATGATACTGGTTACGTTAGCCAACATCGCGTGATGACAACTATTCTAAGAAGAGGTTTCACATGGCCAAAACATAAAAGCTCCGCTTAATCATAATATCAAATTTGAGAATTCAGTACTTGATCATAACATCATATCTGTAATTCAAACTAATCACTGGATTGGATGTAAAAGTCTAGATTCAAAAGTAAAATATATAATTCCAATAATTATGATGAAAGTCATGATCATATTCTTCTCGGTACCAGTAAAATGTCATTTTTGGAATTATATGAAAACACACAAAGTGAAAAAAAGAAGAAGTTCATACGTGCTTTGAATTTTATAATTGAATTTCAATTTCAGTTTTATAATCCAGTTGTAATTGTAAGATGCCAATCTAATCTACTAATCTAGTGGTTCGGACTATCCAAGTCAGTTTCATGAATTAATTATGGGGGGAAATAAAACTATTTAATAAAAGGATAAGGGCAAAGTGGCCCTGAGTTGATTATCTCTTCTGCATGGTAAAATCAAGATACTTTCCATGTATAAAAATATGGAAAAATCTTTGACAAAAAAAATATATATATGGAAAAATCCAAAAAGGGATAATGTCTATATATTTTGCTGTCAAACAGAAAATTCCATAAGTGTATAATGAAAATTAGGAAAATAGAACACTTTTTTTTTGACCAGACGGCGACATTTTTCACCGAGTTAAAGTTAGAAGTTTACTCGTTCCAACAGTAGCCAAATAGGTGTTAGAAGCCTATAAAGTCAAAAAGGGAGTGAAAAACGTAAGAACCTAAATAGTAACTTAGTAAGGTCGTTGATATCCTGTCATTTTAGTTAGATTTAGAATATGAGTTAATGGGAAATACGAAGTGAGTAGAGCATATGCATGCATGAGCAAAAGTTAGAGCATATAGATGATATATTCTTCGGTTGTAACGTGTTATTTGACGGAAAATCACATGCGTAATAAAAAAAAAAACATGTTATTTAATCGTGTGAAGTGTGAACACTATTATACTGTATGTTTATCATGCGCATGGTCTCCAACTCTCCATAGATAGCAGGTTATGTTGAAATGTAGCAAAATGGCAAAGAAAAAACATGATATACAAAATCAATTAACAACAAATCTTTCGAAATATATTGTGTTAATTTTTGCAATTTTTCTCTTTGCCAATGGTATTTTCGTCCGTGTAAGAAATGTTATTTTTTTTTCACTTTATGCCATAATGATTTTTAAATTTATATTCCACCAAAATTTCCGATTTTATTTGCATATTCTCTATAAATTTGGTATTCAATTTAGGAATATATATATTCTATCATAAGACTATATATTTAATATGAATCGTCGATTTCTGCTCATCTAGCGGCCTCAATCCACTCTAAGTTTTATGGCATTCGAGGCGCAAGTTTGGTTAGAATACAAATACAGAGAATGACAGATAGACAATATAGCAGATACATGTATGCGATCAAAATTTTCTATTATAGTTTCTTATTAGATAAGTACAATATATGTAATATTATTTTCTTTTCTTAGGATAATTTTTTAAAACTTTTACAAACTTAAATTAAAACGATTTAGTTTTTTTTTGTTTTTTCATATTTTATACAACAATGAACTATGAAATCAATTGTAATACATTTTCCGAATCACCAAAGTTTTCTTAAAGAGTCTTAAGTCTATACGAATTTGATTGTGTCTTGGTTATGAGTGGTGTGCATGGACATAAATTTTCACTAAATATACATGCAAGTTTTGAATAGAGAAGTAAAAAAGTTTCCAATGAATCATTCCTAATGGACTCAAAATATTTGAGTCGATCACAAAGAATAAACACATACAAATTTTGATTTCTTAGAGTATTAGACAATCCACAATCACAAACCAAGAAAGTCAAAAGAGAAAAGAAGAACCTCAAGTCTTTTGTGTGCATGTGTGTGTTACTGTTAGTGTCATGCATGCAATCTATATATTTATGATTTACAAAAAATAAAACATACATGTTTCCAATTAATAATCATTTATAGAAATATGAATATCCCCAACTGTACAAAGTAAAATACCTAAAAAATAGTTGAATACATATAACCAAATATTAAAATTACGTCATCATACTATTTTTTTCCAAATTATATGATTCCTACCAACCCTAATTTCATGTCTATACTCTATATATACCAAAAACACAAAAGAAAAAAAAGTCAAAAAAAAAAAAACCAAAGTCTTTCACTTTGTGTCTCTTCTAAATCTCTGCGAGTTTCCTTTCACTTTTGAGTTTTCAAGTCTTCAAGTGTCGTGCATGCATTTTATGCGTTTCGTTCTCTTGCATGCTCTCTTTCTCTTTCTCTCTCTCTATCTCACCCATAAAAGTTTTAATTTTCACATCGAAAAATTAAAACAAACTTAAAAAAAATCACCAACAAAAAAAAAAACCTCGTTGCCTTCTTCTTCTCGCCGTTACAGTCCTCTTTCTTCCTTCAATTCGCCGTCAAAATCTTCTCTTTCTCTTCCCGCCGGTCCTTCTCCAATCCTCTGATCTCTACACACGACTTTGATTTTGACCAACGTCGATGCATGTTCATGACTAGTCTCTTCTCTTCAATTTCATCAATTCACGTCGATTTCATCTCCGATTCGTGGTTCTAGCTCTTTGTGTGGTGTTAGGGTTTTAAGATTTTGGAATTGGGGATTCGAAAATCTAGGTGGGTTTGTGATGTTTGAAGTCAAAATGGTGTCAAAGATGTGCATGAACGCTTCATGTGGTACGACTTCTACTGTTGAATGGAAGAAAGGTTGGCCTCTTCGATCTGGTCTTCTCGCTGATCTCTGTTATCGTTGCGGGTATCTTTCAATCTCTCTAATTTCGTATTCAATACACCAAATTTTGTTCGATTCTTGACTAAAGTCTCGATCTTTTCGTGACCCTGTTCTTATCTTCTTGATTCTCTGTTCTTTACTCTGTTCTGGTTTTTTGACTACGTAGATGGTTTTTAGTGCCAATCTTGACTCTTTTAATCTATAAATAGGAAAAAAATATATGTGATTTTGGTACATAAAAGGAAAAAAATTGATGTTTTGATTGGTTGTTGTAATGATTGTGTTATAGATCTGCGTATGAGAGTTCTCTTTTCTGTGAACAATTCCATAAGGACCAATCTGGTTGGAGGGAATGCTATTTGTGTAACAAGGTGCGTTTTTGAAAGTGTATGAGTATGTTTTTTTTTCTATATATAGTTTAGTGGCGATGTTTTGTTGTTCTGATTGAGATTCTGTAATGACAGAGACTACATTGTGGATGCATTGCTTCTAAGGTAACGATTGAGCTTATGGACTATGGTGGTGTTGGTTGTAGTACTTGTACTTGCTGCCATCAACTCAATTTGGTGAGTTTTGACTAGCCTCAGTTCACTTGGGTTCCGCCGTTTCGAGTATATATGTTCAAGTTGTTGTTCTGATAAATGATTCTGTCTTCATGTTTACTATATTTGCAGGGCACGAGGGGTGAGAATCCAGGTGTTTTTAGCAGATTGCCGATGAAACCGTTAGCAGATAGACAACATGTAAATGGCGAAAGCGGAATGAATATTGACGGAGGAAGAAACGAAGCCGGTCTCTTTTCTCAGCCACTAGTCATGGGCGGAGATAAAAGGGAAGAGTTCATGCCTCACCGTGGGTTTGGTCAGCTAATGAATTCAGAAAACACCACCACCGGGTATAGGCTGGATGCTGCTGGGGAAATACATGAATCATCACCTTCACAGCCATCTTTGAATATGGGTTTGGCTGTAAATCCTTTTAGCCCATCTTTTGCAACCGAGGGTGTCGAGGGAAAGAAACACATCAGTGCTTCTCAGTCCAACATGGTCCATTGCTCTGCCTCTAACATACTGCAAAAGCCATCAAAACCTGCTATTTCAACTCCTCCTGTGGCTAGTAAATCCGCTCAGGCGCGTATTGGAAGGCCTCCTGTCGAAGGGCGAGGGAAAGGCCACTTACTTCCGCGGTATTGGCCAAAATATACGGATAAAGAGGTTCAGCAGATCTCTGGAAAGTATCCTTTATTTACTACTTTTTGCTTCAAGTATTTTATTCTGTACATGCTTTTGGTGACTCCATGTTTATCTTAACAATCTTAGTTTGAATCTGAACATTGTACCTCTCTTTGAGAAAACTCTTAGTGCCAGTGATGCTGGTCGCATTGGTCGTCTAGTTCTTCCAAAAGCCTGTGCAGAGGTAACTTTCCCATTTCTATGGTGTTGTCTTTTTTTGTCCTTGAAATATTTTGGAGAGTTATGACTGAAGTCTACATCGGTATGTAGGCATATTTTCCTCCGATTAGTCAATCGGAAGGCATTCCTCTGAAAATCCAAGATGTGAGGGGTAAGGAGTGGACGTTCCAGTTCAGATATTGGCCCAATAACAACAGTAGAATGTATGTTTTAGAAGGTGTCACTCCATGCATACAGTCCATGATGCTACAGGCTGGTGATACAGGTACTTATATCATAGTTCATGTTTTAGTTAAAGCTTCAAGCATATGCTGGTATTAACATCAAATCTTCATGAACCATTTTTAAAACTATTGTTGGTTTTCTCATCGTGTGGCTTTCTTTTTCACCTGTACAGTAACTTTCAGCCGGGTTGATCCTGGTGGAAAACTAATCATGGGTTCCAGAAAGGCAGCTAATGCTGGAGACATGCAGGTTGGGTTTCTATGAACTGGTTTCTGCAGGAATGTGCTGGCTTTTATTTTCTGCTTAGCTTCATTCTTATCCGGTTCCAATATATATTAACAGGGTTGTGGTCTCACCAATGGAACTTCAACCGAGGACACATCATCGTCTGGTGTTACAGAAAACCCACCCTCCATAAATGGTTCATCGTGTCCCTCACTAATACCGCAAGAATTGAACGGTATGCCTGAAAATTTGAGCTCACAGAAGAGTGAGACTAACGGGGGCAGGATAGGTGATGATCCTACACGAGTTAAAGAGAAGAAGAGAACTCGAACCATTGGGGCAAAAAATAAGAGACTTCTTTTGCATAGTGAAGAATCTATGGAGCTGAGACTCACCTGGGAAGAAGCTCAGGACTTGCTTCGTCCCTCTCCTAGTGCAAAGCCTACCATCGTCGTCATTGAGGAGAAAGAAATTGAAGAATATGACGTAAGTGGTGGATCTTGTTATTTTTTTTTTACAACCAATGGGTTGCATGTGATTACCCTTTTTGGATCCCGAGTTAAGTCATATTTCATGTTAATGTTATCCACAGGAACCTCCTGTCTTTGGAAAGAGGACTATAGTCACTACAAGACCTTCAGGGTAAGTTCTTTCTTTCTTCAGGGCAACATATCTTCTCCTATGGTTTACTTTCAATACTTGCACTTGGTGCTTATCTCCAGCTTGCAAATGATTTACTAACAATTTTCTTTGTGGTCCAGTGAACAGGAACGATGGGCAACTTGCGACGACTGCTCTAAATGGAGAAGGTTACCTGTAGACGCTCTTCTTCCCTTTAAATGGACATGTATAGACAATGTTTGGGACGTTAGCAGGTAAGAACTTTCACAAGTTTTTTTTTAATCTCGTGATCGCTTGAATCAATGATCATTTTAGAATTTGCTTTTTTTTTCCCTTGGGGTTCTGTCGCTGTAATTAATATTATATTTATTGATAGGTGTTCATGTTCTGCACCGGAGGAGAGTCTGAAGGAACTTGAGAATGTTCTTAAAGTAGGAAGAGGTATGAAATATATTATACCCTGGCCTCTCATGGTGCCTTCTCATTAGCTTGTTGCATTATAGTGAGAGACTGCTTCCAAGTGGTTGTAGTGTGAGCATTTTATAATTGGGCGTTCATATAATTGGATATCTAGCTGTTATTTGTGCTTGTTGCGCCTTCCTTATGTTGGAATTTTATCAAAATATGGATTGTTGCTTGGTATCCTGCAAATTTGTTCCTTAACGCAGCTTACCTTTCATATACTCAGCTTATTGAAAATCTCAAGTCTCAGGAAACTAACTGTGTGTGTATTTATGTAGAGTACAAGAAGAGAAGAACTGGGGAAAGCCAGGCAGCAAAAAGTCAGCAAGAACCGTGTGGTTTGGATGCACTGGCGAGTGCAGCAGTCTTAGGAGACACAATAGGCGAGCCAGAGGTTGCCACCACGACCAGACATCCAAGGCACAGGGCTGGATGCTCTTGCATCGTGTGCATTCAGCCACCAAGTGGGAAAGGTAGACACAAGCCTACATGTGGGTGCACTGTGTGTAGCACCGTGAAGAGAAGGTTCAAAACGCTTATGATGAGGAGGAAGAAGAAGCAGTTGGAGCGCGATGTAACAGCAGCAGAAGATAAGAAGAAGAAGGACATGGAACTGGCTGAGTCTGATAAGAGTAAGGAGGAGAAGGAAGTGAACACAGCGAGGATAGATCTGAACAGTGATCCATACAACAAAGAAGATGCTGAAGCTGTGGCGGTGGAGAAAGAAGAGAGTCGAAAAAGAGCAATAGGACAGTGTTCAGGCGTGGTGGCTCAAGGCGCCGGTGATGTATTAGGAGTTACGGAGTTAGAAGGAGAGGCTAAGAAAGTTGGTGAAGAGCCGAGAGTTTCAAGCTAATATGGAAGGAGAAAAACGAAAAGCTAAAGTCATAGCCAGTTTTATTAATATGTTGAGACCAAGAGTAGGAGGAGAAGAAGAGAGAGAAAGAGAGGTACAGTTTTGTGTTTGATTCTGTCATAGTTGTAGGAAAAATAAGTTTCTGGTTCAAAACAGCAACAATGTCCCATCTTTTGTTTTTTTTTGTTTTTGTTTTTGTATTTTTATGGTATTGTGTTGAGTTTTTTTTAAGTATGTCTCCATTAATCTAGGTTTTGTGTAGAAGTCAAATGGAGTTCGTGCTTGGTGACGAAACAGTTGAGTTGATTTTTTTTTAATATTGTTTTCAACCAAATGCATAGTAGGTTTAATTTTAAAGATTTTTCTTAGAGCATCTCCATTGGTTTCTCATTGAAAAAATTTCCTAATAAAAATTCTAAAAAATTAAAAAAGCAAAAAAGAGAAATGAGAGAGGCTTCATTTGAGAGACTTTGAGAAACTCATATGACATTTGTCTTCATATATTTAGTTCAATTTTATTTATGAATTAAAAAATTATTATGCAATTAAATTATATACATATTACCGATTTTGTACTTGAATTTTTGAAGGGAACTTTTGTGTACATGATTTACTTTAGTAATATCCTATATTATAATATTTAGTCGTGCCTAATCATCAAAGCACCAGTGGTCTAGTGGTAGAATAGTACCCTGCCACGGTATAGACCCGGGTTCGATTCCCGGCTGGTGCATGAGCTGTGAAGAAATTGGTTTCAGCGTTGGTTGGGTCCTTCGCATTCTTCTGAACCATCAGTTGATATTTGCCACACCTCTGAGCTCTCTCTTTTTTTTTTCCCTTGTGTAAACTATTTTTTTTAAGTAACTTGTCACATTTTATAAACATCTTTGCATTCTACGCTATAAGTAATATTACTCAATTTCTCTTAGAAAACATAGTCATAAACAGACCAGCGATCTAGTTATTATAACTACTAGATTAATGCTCAGTGAAAATAATTGAGTTGCCAAAACATTAATATAAAATATACCAATTTTCATACAACAACACAAAAGGAGGTTTACACGATTCTTTAATAATAGAAACTCAAAACAAAACAAAAAAATTACACTTTTGTTTACCAATTGCCTTTATGGCTTTACTAGAGTGTCTTTCAGGGTTTTAACACACAACAATCACAGTAAATCCTTTTCTTTTCTTTGCATCTTCCATTCCTTTTGTACACATAACATCTCCGGCTTCCCCACCATCAGCTAAGAACCAGATGTCGATACAGTATGTATCCGCAGATATCATAACTTTCCGAGTTACAATTCCAAGCCTGCCCAATTCTGACCAGACTGGTTTTGCACAATCTTGTGCTTTAATCCTAATAAGCATCCAACTTTATTTTGTCATGAAACTGCAACAGGTCCCTTTGGGATAGCTTGGTCGTGGTATATGGTGTCTGATACTTTGCTCGGTGGCCAGTACCGGAACACAGATCTTCCAACGATGTTCTCTATTGGAAGTGGACCCCTGCATATACATTCACCATAATCAACACGATTAGCAACAATGAATGGCTGATTACAAGAATGCTTATAATCGATAATATGTATTTGATCGTAGAGTTTACCAGTTATGAGAGTCAAAGCTTTTGTTGCGGTTGTCACCAAGGACAAAGACATAACCTTTGGGGACAAACTGCAAATAAACATGAAAAGCAAACCTTGTAAACAATCTGATACTCAACAAGGATGAACAAAATGGTAAGTATAAGTTGCTCACCATTGGTTCCATTTCATATGACATTGGCTCTAAGACAAAATCTTCTTCTTGCACAATGTCATTCACCAAGAGCTTCCCATCACGAACCTGCATGGTACAGCATCCACAGGTTAGACAAAAATTTGATTAAAAACAGAAAAAGGTCTGGGTCCATTTCTGAGAAAACTTGTTGTCCAAGATAGCCTCTACATAAAACAATACCGACCGAGGAGAAAAAAGACTTCAATGGGTGAAAAGGATCAATCAACAAGTGGATTGGATATAAGGGCTTACTTCAACCCAGTCACCTTCACTTGCCACTATCCTCTTTATGAATACATCATTGGAACTGTAATCATAATCCTGCAATTCAAAGGAGAATATCATCAAATACTTTAGTTTACAATATAAGATACCACACAAAAGCTGATACATCTGAATAACAAGAACTTTGAACTGTAACATACCAGCAAGATTGGAGGAGCCTTGAAGATCACTATATCTGAAACCTCTGGCTTCCTGAAAAAGTACGAGACCTGACCAACACCAAGGCACACAAAAGTTTAGCCATAAGAAACTAAAAGAGTCTCATTCACAATCCTACATCAAGCAACTAAACAAAGCTCAAGGTGCAGTCTAGCAATTGTCTATAGAACAACCTTCACACCAATGCCATCAAGCTCACTAAAACAATTTGTACACATTCAATAAACCATAAGAGTATCATACAACTACTTCCATCCTAAACATGTAAGAACTAATTCCAGAACCGGGTAAAAGTCATACCTTCTCCGCCATAACGCGATCACCTACATCCAAGGTAGGGTACATAGACGTGGAAGGAATCGACTTTGGCTCCGCAAGAGCCGATCGGAAAAGTATAGAAACAGTAACCGCCGTGAAAGCAGCCTTTGCATCCTCAGAACAAATATTCAAAAGCTTATTAACCCATCCACTTCCTCCACTCCTCGATTCCTTATCCTCATCATCATCACACAACGTTCCTCCTTTGTCCACGTCATCAACCTCCGGCGGATTCTTCATCCATTTCGATCCTTGAAGAAACGGAATAATAGAAGAAGCCTTGAAAGATGAAACCCCCAAAACATTCATCGTCGTTGACGACGACTCATGAGCCGACGTTGACTTCAAGATCGAGATCAAACCCATCACAAGCGGGCTTTGACTCCCTTCTCCGATGAGCTCCCTCGCGATGCTACCATATATCGATGGAGGTCGATTCCGAGGAGATTTATCAAAATCACGCTTGTGGGTGAAGAATCTAGGACGAACAAAGGACTCAAAGCAGCAACGGAGATCACCGCCGGGACGGATCCCGACGAGATTCCGAGCAACATGAGTGGAATAAGTGAAAGTAATTCTAATCGCCATAACTACGAATTTGAAGAAGAACTTGAACAAGTAAGGGTAAATTGAAGTGTCGTAAAGCAACAAACTTTCAGCTAAAGAGAGACTCAGAAGAACAAATAACCCATTTCTAATCAATCGATCAGTGAATTGAAAACAGAATCGACGAATTGAAAGGTCGGACTATGTCCGACGAGTCAATTGGAAGAAGGTGAATTCTCTCCGGCGATATTGATTGGATTCAGGTGAGAAGAAAACGGGTTAGAGAGGGAAAGATCTGGAAAATCCCGAAAGGGCAGATCTTTGAGTTTGAGATTAGTTTTGCAATCAAAGGAAACTTCTTGGCGAATGGCGAGTAGAGAGAAAGAAATGGTGAACTTTTTTTTTCGATTTTAAATTAATTTTTTAGCAGAAAAGTCAAAGTTTGACCAAAAAGGAAGAAGAAGGAGATGAGTCAAATCTGGCTGCTGGGCTTTTTGGGCCACACGATCATTTGTAGTGCTTGACGATTTAAAAAATGTAGTTTTGTTGGAAATATCTCATCACCTTGAAATAGTTAAAGGTGATGGAATAAGTTTATATCTCACCTTTGTTTGAAAAATCGCTAGGCGCTAGTCGGACGTTCGGTATGGGCCTAGCGATTAATCGGAAAATCGGATTAAAATCGGAGATTAATCGGGGATTACTTTTAGGGTTATTTTAATATTTTTAAAACATATTAATCTAATATTGTTTTCAAAATTACAGAAATTGCAGTAAATATAAAAATATGTATTTTTGAGACAAATTTTTATGATTTTTATTCAAAATTTAAACATAAGTTATTGTAAAACATCACAAACTCCCAATTCAAATAATTGAATAACAAAAATAAAAAGTTTTTTTAATACTTGCAATCTTTAGGGGATTAGTCATTAATCGAGGCGGATAGCGTGGGCCTAGCGATTAAGCGGGGAGTAATCGGGACTAGGCGGGGATTTTTAGAACAGGGTATCTGACTACTGACTTGCCAGGTTGCCTAAATAGTTGTTCTTTTTTCTTTTCTTTTTTTTTTCCTTTTTAGTGATTTTTTTAATCAAAAAGCTTTCATATTTATAATTTATTATGGGTACAAACTGAAGAACCGAAGCCTATTACAAAAATAGAGAAATAAAAAGGCTCTAACCCACTAATAAGAATGCGAAACCCAACACAATGAAACCCACTGAAAACAAAGCAAGATAACTGCATAAACGATTTCCGATTTCCGGATTTTTGCCAAATCCAAGCCCAGATCAAGTAGCAAAAAGAGTACCTTATATATACACTACAGTATATCTATCTATACTGGTATTTTTGCAACACTTTGGTGACGGGTGGGTAAAAATACTTCTGGACTAATCGGATATCCGACCTATTTTTTAAATTCCTTCACAAAAAAATACTTGGATCGGCTTAAATAAAACTCAACTCATACACCGGATATTCTATATTTAATAATTTAGATATTTAGAAGATTTGATTAAGATTTAGAATTATGATTCTCCTATCATCTTTGTTTGATTTGTTTTTAACTGTTTTGAATCATCATATAATACATAAGTAAAAAAAAAATCAATTTTTTTTTCTGCATATACTGTGATTCGAAATTTTAAAAACGGACATATATTATCCAATTGACGAAAATGTGTGTTCAACGTTCTACATCGATTAAAATATTTAGACAATGATTCAGAATCATATCATAAATAAGATCAACATTAATAAAATAAATGAGTTTTTTGGCCGGACGGGTTTGGCGGGATGGATTTTTGAATCAACAATAATAAAAAGATTAAAATATCATTAATCCGCCGCTTCAATACGGATTAAATCCTTAATTTTTTTAATACTACCAATATTAGACATATTAAATCAGTCTCATTAGGAAAGATTGTATAAAACCAAAAGTTATTTTTATAAGGAGATACAATTTACAAAATATTTTTATACTAACTTTAAAATCTAGTAGTGTGTATTCACATTCCTAAGAATTGGTCTAGAAGAATTTTAAAATT